TGGATCATTTCCGTGACCCTGATCCCTTCTCTGTATCTCTGCTCCCGGATTAGTCTAGCCCTCTACACTCGTGTTGATAGGATCATATAATATCACTACTAACCTTCCAATGCATCGAAAAACATGTCTTCGCCACTGCCCTTTACTCATCCATTTTGTCCTCGGCATCTGCTAGCTTTGTCCCAGCTATATTGCTGATCGTCTTGTTTGTTCTTAGGCCTGAAAACTCCCTAAATGGAGATATCGGGTCGGTTTTGGCTCCGCAGTGGGGAAACATCCTCCTCCAACGTCTATCATTATAGTCATGATGACCTTTTTATCGTTTGATCAGCATCAAAATCATCAAAAGATATCAGCAGATAGTTAAATTACTTACATAAAACCAACTTCTCCCGGAAATTACTGAACAATCAAGGTCTGCTGATGCAGAAAGCCTGTCATCCCTCGGGTGACGAGTCATGATTGATTGATGGCGAGATGATGATGATTGGGTATAGCCGTGAGGGCAACAAAAAGGTATTCTTGGTAAGAATAAAGAGATGATCAATTAATAATGACCGTGGGGTCAGTACAGAGGCAGTGTCTTATAAAGTATTAATATTAGTATAGATCGAGTGATAATTATTTGTGAGTGATTTTGATGATACCGTAGATGCCCCCGCGGGCCCGATGAAGCTGAAACTCTCCGCTGCTCTGTTGACAAGCAGATTTCATGCTGTTTCGATATGTTGATTCGCTATTTGTGATCATCAATTAATTAATGAGAGCTTGATGATCGACTCCTAAAAAACCTTGATGGGATTTAGGAATTATATAAAGAAACTGATAGTGGTATGCAGTGAGTGATGAAGAGGGAAAGGAGGAAGAAGAGAAAGAAGAGGGAGAGGAGGGGGAGAAGGGGGAAGAGAGAAGACCAGATAGTTCAGTTTCAGTCCAGCCATGCGGGCGCGGACGATAAAAATAGAACACTGATCTTTGCCCTCAATTCCTTTGCAAAAGGCCAAAAATTAAAAGGTATCCATACTTGTATATAATGTCTTCAAAGTGGAATACCCTATATAATAGATACATGTAGTTATAGGTTCTTTGATTAAAATAAACGTCTTAACATAATCTCACTTCGTCATGGCTTGTAATAGAAGATCAGTAAGAGAAGCTCACCAGGCATGACGCGACCAGATTAAGGCAGGGGGCATAACAGCTCTAAATCTTGGTAGTACGCAAATTCCGGGTCTAGACTCTGACAGCAGGCATAACTAGATGGCAGGCTTAGGCGGGGGCGTAAAATCAGTCCTCACACGCTATAGTTCTAGCGAACCTGTTACCCCACACTACCGTGATATTCTATTCGAAAGTGATCGAAGTACTGGTGCCGTCCATGTCTTTGAACATGGCTGGCCGAGGTACCTGTACCTGCTACTACGTACTCAGTGAGAAGTAGCAGCTACTGATACAGATCTAAATTTTTCCTTCAATTCTGCCGGGCGCATTTCAGATCACTAGTTTCTTAACCCCACCTGCATTCATGAGATGTTTCGAGCCTAAATAATAGGTATATTCACCAGAATAATGGTTGACGTTGTTGATTCTTGAACGCCAAGGCCGAGTGATAACCTATGTCGAATCGTAACACGGTCCCACAATTTCCACAGGGCAGCAACCGAGGCCAATGATTCAAATTCGGCGGTCCAAGCGATGATTGCAACAAGGGCTCTCTGAGTGACGTATTACCATGTCAATGATTGCTTACTACATTACTAAAGGATATTACTACATTTTTCCCAGGACCCTGCCGACTCTAATCAAGGTTTATAAACAACAGGTCCATTGGACAACGGGATTCTTTTGAATCCCTGACCTATCCTAACCCTCCACAATCGCTGTAAAGCTTAGTTCTTTACAATTACCCAACTCCACCCCCCCAAGAAACCAGAACCACCAGATTTTTAACATCACCCAGAAGACAAACCACATCTTAATCCTACGTGTGACACCCACAACCACATACCAAACCTGGCCACTCACGAATTAAATAAAATCTGTTACGAACCGAGCAGCGAGCAGATTGCTACTCATATATAAGGGATCCGGGTGGGTACAAGACTACATGTACTACGAACCCAGCACTTTCTGTCTGTTTCCTCACCTAGTACGTACCCTGGCTTCAAATATGCCAAGACCTAAGTCCCTATGGCCAGATATCTGGAGCTTCGGCAGTCCAAGACAGTAACGTTTTCTAGAAGCTGTGGTTTATGCCACACAGGCATGAGCGTTATTTTTCCCGTTGCCCGGCTGAAGGAATATATAATAGACACGTCACGACAATATATGTATCCCTATGACGAGTTGGTCGGATTCGTGAAGTCTATATATTCTGGCTGAGGTCATTCGTTCTTCCCTCGTATACATGCGTCTACCCACAGGAACTCTGGCCACCTCCCCTTATTCCCTGGCCCCAACGTAAAAACACAGAAAAACAAGGAAAAGGGCCCTAAATATTTCTAGAACCCGAGAACTACTCCCACCCCCACTGTGACATACCTGCATACACGACTTTCGGCCTCAAGGCCGGCGCTAAGGAAAGCAAGCAAGAAACGTCCGGATCCCTGCAAAATCGATGGCTTGCATGAACGTATTCGGGGGGTTGTGTGGGTGAAAGCAGGTACGTCCGAAGCCCCCAAAAACAAGAAATCCCTGTACATATCTTTTGGGTATTCTAGGGATCAGGAATCACGGTACGGAAGAGTTGCGACGATCGTCACCAGAACTGGAAAAGTCAGGAAAGAAGGAGTATGCAACTTTTAGCTATCATTAATTACACTGCTTCGTTACAGCACAATCCGGAACAAGAATCACAGGCTCGCACTCGGCCATATTAGCAATTTCGAGGCACGCAGAACAAAAACAAATGCCTCACCATGATCATTACGAATATCTACCTAAAGGACTAGGCACACACTAGGCCGCGGCAAGACACCCTGCCATACCCTGGGCCTCCCTCTCCAGCAGCAGATCCCTCTGCCCAAAAAAGCCGCCAACCACACTGATGATCATATCGAGCGCACCAATGATATCCACATAGCTATGCTCTTTGATGGCCTCTGTCGACGGTTTAGACGAACGCGGAGGCGAGGGGGGAATCTCTTCGATTTTGATTGGGGGATCATGTACAGCCGTATCTTCGGCAGTGGGATTAGCGGTGTTGTTAATGGCAATTTCGGCAGGGTTAGAGGTGGGGGCTTCTTCGTCGTCGTCGAGTGAGATCTCAGCGGGGTTTAAAGTTGGGGTAGCGGCCGCAGGGACGGTGGAGACAGGTTCCGGATCCGAGGAGCATTCACCTTCCTCGGGTTGCTCCTGAGCTTGAACAGCCTCCTCGTTATCTTCCGGCTCGTTCTCGAGCTCCTCATCATCCTGCTCTGGCTCCTCCTCTTCATCTCCATGGCCATCCTCGTCCCACCCTACCTTCATATCAATCATGCCCTTCCTAATCTTCAGGCACTTCTTCCCGAGCTCCCTGACAACATAGATCTCATCTGCAGTCAGGCACTCATCCAGCCGAACCAGACACCCCCAGACCCACTCTGCCCAGTACCCCTTCATATTAACACCCACGAACCCTCCTTTTCCCCCACCCCGACCTGACCGTAGCATGACCGTCAACCATTCCAGCAGCGTCAACGTCATTTGCTGGTCCAGCCCAGCCAGAACCCCCGCCGTCGGCTTCGTCCCTGCCGCATGCACATTCCAGTACTGGCGCTGCCGCCACATCTTGAGGTTCGTGGCCACGAGAGGCCGTGACGCCTTGGGTGGGTTCCTGATGAAGGCAGCACGCAGAGCCGTAAAACGTGCGAGCAGGGAATCGTGCCAGGGAGGTGGTGCTGCGGCTTCGGCGGTGGGAGTGGGCAGAGGTGCCGCAGTATAGGTGCCGTCGTGGTACCAACCGGCGGCGTCGGCGTCGTCTTTCTTCTCTGTAGGCTGGTCGTCATCATAGCTAAGGGGCGCATCGCCGTCGTCATATGGAAGTTCGTCGGTTGCCTCTACGAATGTCGGTTCTCGTGGGGGTGGCTTTACGACTACGTTTTTCTGCCTGGCAATGAGCAGAGATGGAACACCCTTTGCTTCAGATCTATCTCGTACTTACCCATCAGCCAACCATACCTTCACTCGCCCCTCCCGCGTTAACCTCAACCTCCACAGTACCAAAAGACAAGGAAAGGGAGAGAAACCTACCTAACCATCTTCAGATAGTCCATTCCGTCGTTAGCCGGCCCATAGAACTCTCCGTCATCGTCCTCCAGCCCCGGGAACGCGCCGCGCTGACCAGTGTGGGGGTCGATGTAGCCGTGACGGGAACCATCCAATGGAAGTGCTGTTTCGGAGGTGCTGTTATTATTGTTATTATTATTGTAGCGTGGGCGCTTGTGGTGGTGGTGGGTTTGATCGTAGGTGTTATTATTGCTATTATTGTAGTTGCTGGGACCACCACCGCCGCTGGTGTCGTGATGGGTCTTTGGGCGTGGCCCCCGGCCCTTCTTGCGTTTATTGGTCATTACTGCGTGTCTGCCTGGTTCAAAAGCTGTAAACGGGAATATGCCGATGTGAAGTGGGTGGTTGCGAACAATTGAAGTTCAGACAGTGCTGTGGATGTGCTGTGGATAGTGTGCTGTGGATAGATGTTTTTGAGAGCTGTCGTTGACTCGCTCGCAACCGCCAAGCTCTCTGGGCAGCTCCGTTTCGGGATCCCTGCCGAGTAGCGCATCCAGTTTAGGGCGTGTGTGATAGGACGTGTGTGAGTGTGCTCCCCGATACCTGCAGGCACGGCACATCTGATCCCTCTGGTCAAGGGCACCCTAACTAAAGCATGAATCACATCGTGGGCGCTGAGACAAAAACAAACTATATCTTCCGTGCTTAATTCTTTTGTTCTAGATATATGTACTACCGCTCTGCTCAGCTCTGCTACTATGCACTGACACCTTTGTGTGAGATGCGATGGAGCGATGGGCGAGATGGACGATGGCGAGCACCACCCAGTAGAGCAACAGTTAGACGATTTGCATCTTGTACCTGAGAGAGAGGTGTGGGGGAACGGGCGCGGACTCGGGCAGCTCCATACCTGGGTGCTTGTTGAGCGACATCTACACACGAGATCTCCAGGGAAAAAACCGGTTCTGGGAAGTCGTGCCTGACTGTCTCTGTCCTTCCGTCTTTGATCTCTCGCTTTGGATAGACTAGAGTAAGGTTCTACACTCGATCTCGCTGATGCTCGACGTTTTCTATCAAATACCCCCGGACAGACAGACCCTGCAGATGTTGAGGTGGTGGTGGTCGAGATGGCGGTGGTGGTGGTTCAGTACCAGCTGTCTGTCTGTCTGTCTGTCTGTCTGTCTGTCTGTCTGTCTGTCTGTCTGTCTGTCTGTCTGTCTGACACTGTCTGTAGAGTGCCCCGACCGACATGTTCTACTTACGGTGAGGTTATTACACTTACAGCACCGTAGTTATGCGCACACACAGTCGTCTCCATTCGATTCACATGCGCTCACTCACCCCCCAGTTGCTGTCCGGGTTGGCTAGGTTTATTGCATATAGATTACCTACTCGCTCTACTGCATCCCGGTCAGTTCCCCCTTCGACAAGACAGAGCTACGTATCAATCTGCTGTTGCTGCTGTTGCTGCTGCTGCTAAAAATCCTGCACGATGGATGATGGTTGGTGCTAATATTAATACTGATTACAAAACTCCCGGTGCCTTCTTCCCAGTACCACAACCTAGCTTGTTCGCAAAGGGCCCCGCTGCTGTGCTCCTCCCACTTTCTTCCATAATTCGCTGCATATCCACATTTTTGAACCCGACCAGTTGTAAACCTTTTTTTTTTTCTGTTCCTGGGCTGTCTGCTTCTGGAAAGAGAGCAGCAGCTGTGTACCTTAAGTTCTTCTGATTCGCCCTTTCCTTTCCTTTCCTCCTCTCACCTCTTTTTTTTCTTTCCTTCTCGGCCATATTGCTTACTGGGAGCCGTGCATCCCCCATATCTTGGTTATTCGTCCATCTAGTAGTAGAGTTAGTGATTCATCCGGCACCAACCTGACTACATCTCAAATACTCCACGAACACCCACATCCATCTCTGCTGAGGCTCTTATCCCCACCTCCATCCCATCTCAACGGCCTTTCATCCCATCCACCCCCCTTCCCTAAGATTCCGCTCCCCCGATATTGTTCAATGCCCATCGCATCAGAACTCTCTGGTTCCCTCAATGCCCTCTCACTATCAAATGCTCCGGTCCCCATGAGTGACGATGACGAGGAGCTGCTCCTAATCGGGAGCAAGCTCCTGTCACTGACGAACGACCTTCTCGGGGCCGCCAACCTGCCGCCTCCATCCACTGCCACTACCACAACAAGTCTCGCGGCAGACATGGAGCAGCGAAGGTCAATACTCGAATTAACGCCGCCGCCCAGTCCTGTGGCGGTCGTGGGCAAGAAGAAGCTGGTAACGTTGCCCATGGAGCTGATTTGCCTGGCCCTGGACTTTGTCAATCCGCGGGACCAGAAGACGTTCGCGGCGGCCAGTAAGGTGTGCCGGCAGTGGTATTTTGCGGCGACCTCCCATCTGTAACAGCACCTTTTTCACAGAAACCAGATGCGCGTTCTCGAAACTAACTTATAACCAGGTATTGCTACCCCAAAATCACCTCACAGAATTACCTGAAATTCGTGTCGACGATTTCCCCCACCTCGACGGCGGTCAAGACTACCCCACTATCATCACTAATCCGTCGCCTTGACCTCTCGCGCATAGTACATGAGGGAAAGCCCTCCTTCACTGCTCGCCTTCTACGGCGCACGCACACTTCACTCGAGGAGTTTGTTGCCCCTCAGGCGTCATTTGGGTATATTTGCCTTGTGGCCCTCAGTCACTGCAAAAAGTTGCGGCTCCTGGACCTCTCTCTTGTCTCACAGAGCGTGAGCCTCGATAGCTTGTTTATCAACATCCAAGACCTCCCGCATCTTCTCACACTCAAGTTCCCCCGTTCATCTATCTTTGATCGCGGTAAGGTGGAGTTCCGCTGGCCTGCACGAATCGAAAAGTTCTCGCTAGCCGGCGGGATCAGTAATTCCTTCCTCATTAACGCCACCATTCCGCCAACGCTCAAGGAGCTGCAGATATCTCATTGCCCATTCGCCAAAAACGCCTCAATACACAACCTGTTGAACAAGTTAAGTCAACAACTCACGTCCCTCAGCGTCGGATACAATATCCCCTGTCTTCCCTACAACGCACTCGACAAGATCCTTATAATGTGCCCAAATCTCACAAAGTTGCTAGTCGCAGTGGATTACATCTCCTGCCACATGTTTGATGAAGACAACACTCCCGTAGGTCATCCACTCCGACGACTTGACTTGGACTCGAGTGGCAACCTAGGGATTGAGCATAAAGTCTCCCCGGACGAAGTCTTTATCGCAGTCGCAGAGGAACGACTAAGTGAGTTGAGAATCGTGAGGGTTAGCAAGAAACTTGGGTGGTCGGTGAGGGCACAAAGCAATATGGAAGATCTCGTAGATCTCTTAGAGGCAAAGAGTGAGGAGAGGGGCGAGAATGGTGCTGGAGTAGGCGTGTGGGAATTCGATAATGCAGGGGAAGAAAGAGAGACTTTCAGGGGGTTCTTGGGGTGAGTATCCACTTTTTCTCCTTTTTAACTCTGATTTGAATTTTCTTTTATGTTTCTTTTTCTTTCCCTGTGAGAGATGGTAGGAGCAGGAGACAGTAGGGCGACTATGATATCCCGTTTTTCATTGTTGTCTTCCTACTTAAGAAAAGTGGTTGCTGTTGACTATGCAGGGCGGATTATCCAAAAAGTTTTATGAGAGAGAGAGAGAGAGAGAGAGAGAGAGAGAGAGAGAGAGAGGGAGATTACTGTGCTTTTGTTCTTTTGCTGCGCGCATTGTTTTAGCTGCAGGTATTGTGGTTATTGTATATAAGTAGTTGTTATCCACATACCTTTTTCCCTCCCACGTAGTCTGGATCCACCCCACTTCCCTATCATGATATATATATTCAGTGACGGCCCCCACTAACTAGAACCTCCCAGGAATAATTATGATGCGCAAATCCATCACCTCCCAGTGGGTATACAACTATTTGCCAGTATCCCGATAAATGAAGAGTGCTCCGAGTGTGACGGTGAGTGGGAGGAGGCTTGTAAATCCTGTGGCGTAGACTGGGAGTGGGGAGAAGTTGGCGGATGATTGCTTTATTTTAGAGCGGCATGAGCTAAGAGTCTAGAGGATCGATTATAAAACTTAATGTAATGTTGAATACCCCTGTACTGTATCTTAAAAGTCTCCTTTGATTTTTTTTTTTAGAATGAAATTTACCTTAATCTGCCAGTAGGTTCTGGCAAAGGATGGAAGTGTGGCTTCAACAAATTCCGTAATGTGAGGTTCTTATCAATTATCCGATCTGAGTCAATCTCTCCAACCGTTTGCTTAGGCTCGCTGTGGCTTTTTGCCTTACACAAAAAAGGGGACAACGCTGACAGCTCAAGAAACAGTGTCTGATCTGGCACTTAGAGCCTCAGAGGTCGTAATAAGTCGGCAGTTAAGCTTGAGTGATGGATTCGAGGCGGTCTGAGTTGTGAAACCATCGATCGGGATTGAGTGGCGAGTGAGTGATATTTTGTGATTCTGGTTGTGATTATGCATTGTTACCCAAAGGTCAATGAGTCAACAAAAGCTCGCATGCATGGTGGGTAATACCTCTGCCTTTATAGTCCTTTCTTCATTGACGTATCATCATGTCCGCAATCATGATCAAGCCACTGGACTAAAGCTAGAACCGGCCAGCTTGATACGCGAAATACGCTGAAAACAATTATGGCACACCGATGGGAACAGATGGTGCATTCGGGATCTCATTTTAAATGGCGGTCGCCAATAAAAAGATGTAGTCTAGATTGCGTGGTAGTACCACTTTGTAACACCGAATGTTATGCACCACCGGCTGGCTTGGCACAGGCTTAGGTGAGCATGTTCGGGCCGATACGAGAACACTACAGCTAATTGGGCCTTCGGATACGGGTCTCGATTGTTACCTTGTCCTCGTAACAAACTCTTCCCCTCCCGACCACCCTCGGTCGATCTTCCATCTCGAAGGGCTGACTACATGTAGCTCCCAAACACTGCGTGTCGCCAAGAATTCAGTAGATGTATGGACTTCAATGCTACCACGGCTCGACTGTGCTACTGCGCTGAAATGGGTTAAACTACATGTACATGTAGTGCCTTACAAACGTACATGTATACTCTACCACAAGTACTTCAAGGCTTTTATTCAACGCCGTAAGAAGTTTCTACCAAGCCATTGGCGGATTAACGCTTGCGGGATTGTAGGGGGGCCCACTCACAACGGATCACTCGGAAGGGCAGACGCACAGTACCTACCCACGGTGGCCGCACTGCACGGGCTACACGCAGCTAACGATAATTGATACTTCATAATTTTTATTATTAGCAGTAATTTCTTGTATGTTAGTAAAACAGTACATCTGTACGGGCCACTAGTAAATTATACGATAGCCGCATTCGTACCACGCTAGTACTCGTAGTTCTACTAACTAAAAATCTATGAGATTGAATAGTAGCAAACATCAACGCCCCCGAAAATATTAGATCTATCAGAGAGGGTTGGATGATCTTAGAATTATTAGAGTCGATTATAAGCAATCAGGGGTGAAAGCCAGATGTCCACGTCATATATCAAACCTACATCCCCCCTCTTCCCTCTTTCCGCACCCAGGGATATATGCAAGAGCCTCTTAACCCGTATATGTAAGCCCACAAATAAATATACTTCCTCAAAAATGTATCTCCCGCCCCCTGTTCAATTATAAGCCGACCCGTAAACCAGCTCTGCCAATAAACCAGGACAATCCACGGTGGCTCAGCGAATATTCCAGCATATGCTTTGTCATTGATTCTCCCGTCTCCGTCCACTTCTTCTTAAATCCTTCTCTCCCTCTTCTCCTCTTCCTTTCCTCCTCCTCATCATCATTAATCCACTCATATCGTTATCCCCCATACCATTATCCCCATATCATTAATCCCCAATATCTTTAATCCCCATATCTTTATTCCTCAAATGGATCATATTTTCCCAACCCCATGGAAAGATCCAAACCCTCCCAGATTTTCGATGGATTTGACCCCTCGAGGAGGTAGGTTTTATCTCCAGTTTGGGAGAGGTACGGAGCCTTCCTGCCTCCTTATTCTTCTCTCGTGAGCTTAGGCTCCATAACCTTTCTGTCTCTGCTTCTGTCTCCGCCTCTGTCTCCACCCTTCCCTTCTTCTCCTCCCCCTCCTCCTCCTCCTCCTCCTCCTCCTCCTCCTACGTCATTCTTTTCCCCCGGGAGCTTCCCAATAAATCTGGGAGCTCCACGACCCAGAGCTTCAGAGGTCCGATCCTCTGGAGTCTCTATACTCCCTTCCCCAGTCGATACTGGGGAGACTCCATCCATTTTCCGGATCTCCCGTAAGTTCTTCCAAAGAATATATATAAAATTCATTTTTCCTCCTCTTCCTCCTCCTCCTTCTTACTTATCTCCTGCTAACCAGAGAAAAATCTTCCAGAGATCGCCTTCACCTCCCCAAGGCCTCAACCACCTCTTTCAAGGATGGGTGGTGGTGGTGGGTTGGGGGCCACCGGAGCGGCAGCAGCAGCAACAGCAACAGAAGTAGCAGCGGCAGCAGCAGCAGCAACATCTCCTCCTCCGCCTCGAAGCCCTAGCTCTGTACGTCGAGCTAGCGGGCTGTCGAGGGCCGAATCAACCCTGCCTGGGTGCCTTCGGCAGAGGTGGAGATGGATGCTATATCCTGCCTGCCTGCCTGCTTGCCTGTAAGAGAGACCTGGTTGTCTATAAAATGGTTTTGTGTAAGTGTTTTTCTTCCTTTTGCAAATGGGTTAAATTGATTTCGTTACTTTCAGTAAAATATCTAATAATTATTGTTTACTTAGGTGTGGGGGGTGCTGTGAGGATATACAGCAGCTCTATAAGAGAGACACGGTTGTCTAAACGCCTTTGTTTACTTGGAACCTCGGGTTCCATCAATTCCTACTGCAACGGCCAGTTAATGGGTCATATAGTAAGTTTTATTTTTTTTTAGTTAGCCTGTGAAATACTTGATTGGATTTACGTTTTTGGAAGAATATATACTAACACTTATTACCCGGGAACCTAGATCTCGATAATTTATTATCTGGTGCGGTGGATCAACCCCACTATCCTGTAAGGGAGACCCGATTGTCTATACCACAATGCAAGTAGGTTTCGACCTTTGGCATCTCGGATGCCTGAGTTTGGCTCTTGAGCCACTCATATCGTGGTGTAAGTATTCGAACATTCTCCAAAATTGTGCCATTCTGTATCCAGTATATTTCAAATTACTAACAACCGTTTAGCTGCGTGCGCTGCTGGGGAGGACATGGCAAGGAGGGCCAACCCTCCCGGGAGTCTCTGAGAGGAAGAGCTTCCACCTATGGCATCCTACTGCCGGTGGTACCTCTGTTTCTTCTCAGAGGATTCTGTGTAAGTTTTCTCCGCCCTCATTCAGTAACTGATAATTCATTCTGTATATGCTAACAACCCGGCCAATAACCACACAGAGAATCAACAGAGTCGGAAAACCTATCCGGCTGGGGCTCCCTCAGCGAGCCGGGGGCTCCACACATTTCCTCTTCCCCACAGGCCATCCTCCTCCACGAGGAGTTAAAGTGCCTGTGGCTTCCTGTAAGTTTGAATTTCCCTGCTATCCTGTTCTGAATCATTACTGACATTGAATAAAACAACAGGCGCCCTTCCCCATCCGGTGCTCTACACCTGCTGCCGCCAGAGCTGATGGCTCACAATGAGTGCTGCAGCACGCAAAGGGAGGCCCAGCTGCCTCGGCAAAACGTTCTGCGTGACACGAGGGTGCCCTCCGAAACATGAGGACCCTCAGTACCAGAGATAGTAGCTGGAGCTCTTAGGAGTGTTTGGTATGTCTTCGCTATTCATCAACACTTATTTCTCATCCTCGCACAAACCGTTTTGCTAACATTAACTCTTGCGCCTCTAGCTGTCGAGCTATGATATGACGGACAATAAGGGGACACTAGTCGATAGACTTGTGTCCCCTTGGTCCGGCCAAAACCATATCGTGCCCACGCACTCCGGACATGTTGTCCCCTGCGTGGGATCAGACGGCAACATCTGTGTTGCCTACGTCTCGACTTGAGTAAGTCAACCTCCAATTATCCTTCCTTTTGAATTCAATCGAGTTGTCGCTAATGACTAGATATATAGCGAATACTATATTGCCTGTCGACCGTGCCGGGCCCTAAGCCCTTACCATCCACAGAAGGGTGGAAGTTTTTCCAGCATATGCTGGTGGTAGGGTCGGGTTTCAGGGGAGGGGCGATAATGAAGGGAGGGGGATGATGACGGGAGGGTGATTGGGGGGCCGGAGTTGGAGAACCCTATGTAAATATTTGTAGTTAGAAAAAACAACTGCCATGCAGTGTGTTCCCAAATCTTTAGTCGTGCTTGCTCGTTTTGCTTGTGATATATCCCATTTCGTATATTTAGTATATTTTGAACCAAGGTTTTCGGCTCTGGCATAGTGTGATGTATTTAGGTCCGTTACACCGTCATTGCGTACGTTTGAGAAAAGCGGTTGTAGTCATGAGCCATCACTCGTGCGTGCTTGGCACCAAGGACTTTTGCTTGTATGGGATCAGTCCAGTCCAGTGTCGCGTTTCGTCTCGTGGTTTCTGTTCGTTGCTGTAATGTAGCAATGTTGTTGAGAGTCCAAATAGTGCCATCCAAATCGACTGGGTATTGTGCCAATGCCACCTTTTAAGATTCACGTGGTCACTAGTCCGATGGCTTCAGGCTGCTACATGTACATACATGTACCTCTGATACTCTGATACTTCCAAGCTAGCTTAAGAACGTTTATATTCAGTAATATAAAAACATGACGTCTAGCCAATTTTAATTCGCATAAAATACATACTACTACTACTGCTACATTCAATACAAAAGAAGGACCGCGCAAGGGCCAAGTCCGCACAAAACCTCAACTACCACATCCACACCAAACCTCAACTCCTCATCCACAACCCCTCTCTAAACCAGCGTCGCAGTCGGAACCGCCTCGCTCGGAATCGCCCCACTCGGCGGTGCCGTCCCATTACCCTCAAACGTCCCATTACCAGCGAAAGTCCCATTACCTCCCGGCGCACCGCCCGCACCGCCCGCACCCCCACCGGACAACAACTCCTCCGTATAATCTATAGTCGTATCCACACCAATCGTAATATACGCCAACAGGCCATCCGTCACCACATCGCCCAAGTACTCCACCGCTGCCACCGCATTATACTCGGTCGTATTCCCTTCCGGGAACCACATATCCTCGGCGTTGGTCAAGCGCACGACCGAGTTAGTGTTATACACGTCCTGCGTATCCATCACCTCGAGGATCTCCTCTGGGAAGAAGATCTGGCCAATGTGGGATGTGCTGCCGCCGGTGTATGTGCTGTTTGCCTCTGCGGTGCCGTTGATGTGGGCTGCGACGTGGATGTGTACGGCGCGCCCGCTGTACCAGCCGGGGAAGTTAGTGATGATCTGGGTGATGCCGTCCTCGTCGGTAGGCTGGATGCCACGGAGGAAGGTAAGTCCTAGAGTGTTGTCGGCTGAGACGCCGGAGTAGGTACCGGTGGTGTTGCTGTGGATGTTAGCAGGCTGCGGCATCAGATTGAGGAGAGGAGGGGAATTAATTACCAGTGCCAGAAATCAACATAGGCGTCAGTCAGGACTTCGCAGGTGTTGACGTCGACAAATTGGACGTCAAGGAGGAGCTCAATTCCGTACTGATCCTCTCTGATGTCCTCACGGATGAGCTCTCCGGAGACGTAATACGGCCCGACAGTCAACTCGGGCGTCAACACACACTGGACCTCTGGGAACAAGCTTGCTGGTGAAGTTCCGACAGCATCGGCGGCACTGCTAGTAGCAACAGCAGCGGTAGTAGGGACCTCAACAGCTGAAGTCAATGTAGTCGGCGCCTCATCCGCAGTGGAAGTCACAACTGGGGCTCCTCCAAGTGCAGTGGAAGTTGCAATTGGAGCTCCCCCAACTACACTACTGGGTGCTCCCGGAGCATTTCCTATTAAAAAGTCAGTTCTTGATCACAACACACATTGAGTGCTCAACTAAGATATATCACCCACCTTGGTTTCCACCGTTGTTCCCGCCTTGCTGGCCACCACCTGGCTGTTGTCCACCTTGACCTTGATTTTGACCCTGCCCGCCCCTAGATCCGCCGCCAACCTGGCGCTTCTTCAAGAGGTGGCGCTCCACGAGGGCATTCCTCTTCGAGGACCTCTTGTGCAGGCGGTCTCTGGCACGGAGCTTCTCGGAGCACTGCGCGAGGGAGCGACGGGCACGACTTTCGCGGATGTCTCTGGCGGCGAGTTCGCCGGTGGTGGGGTTTCCGTGGGCGCCCACGACGCCGAGGAGGGTTGTTGCTGCCAGAGCGGCGAGGGAGAGGGTCTCTGTAATTCTCATGGTGGATGCTGTATTAGTTGGAGTGGTAAAGAACGATGTTGTTACTGTCTGGTCTGGTCTGGTCTGCTGGAATTGAGTGGTCTTGGGTTCGGGGCGATATCGGTGGTTTATATTCACGGTATCTAGCTCCCAATATATGCACCAACTATCATTGACACTGCAGCAACGCAATAGCTGAACTTGCCAAGTCATGAACACGCAACAAAGAATATATCAGGAACACAATAACCAGGGAAAAAAATACTGCGAGGTTGGTATTGTGAGGGCCTTCTCCACCAGCACCACGAACGCGCGTCTCCAAAAGATTAAAGGGCCAAATTGGAAAGGAGGCTCACTCTAGTCCTACCCACAAAGACCCGGCCAATCATCGTTGATTAAATTCTAAAAGGAAAAATAACCCTATGCGCCTCGGTAGCTAAAATTCTTTCACGAAAGTGGGGACCACGAAAGCTAGCTGGGGGCAAAGAGCATGTACCTACATGTATGTACGTGAAACGTCAAGGCCCTGGTCTGGTATGCCTCGGAAGAAACCGAATTTGCCCTGTGGAGTAGGGAACCCAGATATATATGGGTTCATGCAGGCAGATACATAGTTAACAGATCTAGAACATTGGAGCCGGGACTAGGGTGAAAGCTCTACTCCTTTACATACAAAGCGCCACGGGTAGGGCTACACACCATATTTTAACCCTAACTGGCTCATGCTTAAAAGCCCGGGGACGCACGTCCACATACATTGCTATCTTGAAGCAAATCGCATTTGCACTTTGGGGCTTTTAATTTCCATCTAGTTCCGCAAGGATCCAGAGGCAAAAACCAGGGTGAGGTTGAAACAGTGGGAAATGCCAAGAAAATGGTATATAGGGGGGGGGGGCAACGTCATCACTCAATTTATCACTTTTTTCATAATGGGTTGTCGTTTATGATGTTGATAAAGCGAAGGATAATGTGGCTTTTGGACCTTTCTTATCAGACAGCGCAGTTTCCGGTACGCCAATGGTTGCGACGGATATTCACAGGTGAGTGATGGCCTATGATGCAGCTAAGTCTCAAACGTCATCAGGGCCATAAAACAGGGCCTGGCCAGAGAGGAACTAACTGCAGGTGACAGTGAGATGAGCTACCTACTAGGAAAAAACGAAACAGAGAAAAAGATATTCGCTTCAAAGGAAGGAGGAAGGAAATGGCACCTACCCCTGTCGTCGCGAGCTGTCTAATCTGGAGGTTTCCCCGGACTTAGAGCTCAGCGCCTATCGATCGCAGTCAAGCGAGATTAATCGAGAGGCTTTTGGTGGTTAGTGGAGCACGTATACACGTAAGTACTATATATTGAAAGTACTCTAGAGAAGGCATAGTCAGTCTGCATGTATGTACCAGTCGTGGTGATTTGCACACCAACCTTCCCCCCGCGAACCACCACGAGATTCTCACATGATCAGCGCAGTAGTGACGCGTCCACGCCATGCTAGTACAGCTTTCCGGCGAATGAGAGCAATTGCATTAATATGCAGGTACATACAAGCACGCAAGGTACATACGTACGGTATGTACCGTACGTATAGTACATACATGTGTACGTACGTACATGTAGAATAGCTTCTCTACCAATCAGTATATCTGCTCCATAATGTAATATCTGTTTAATTGGACAATATAAGTATCAACTTGATTGTGACGCGGCGTAGGGAGAGCGGTGCGAAAAGGCCGCAGTATGGTCCGAATTTATATATCTAGCCCTTATGCCTAAACCACGCCATTGTATCTTGAGTGCGTTGTGCGTTGTTGTGCTGGTTATTGGGGCATTGAGATTTAGCATTATGACCTAGCCGGGCACGGATGAAGGGGATGTTATACTAGACTGACCTCGGCTTTAATTGAGTAGTTAGAGCTTTACCTTAGAACCAAGTTGAAACATAGGCTTGCTGATGCGTGGAGCCTGAATATGCTTATTCTAACTCTGTACTAGCTGTCGATATCTGGTATGCAACGCACGTGGAAGAAGATTTAGAAAGTCTACTCTTCTTTCCCCTCTCCCCCCTCCTTCTTCCCCTTCTTCTCCCGTTTCTTATCTATCAAAAATATTGTTAACATGCAATTACCTCGAAATAATCTGCAAAGGTGTTCAGACCCGGGAGCTGCTGGGCTTTTTCCCTTTCCCTTTCCATTTCCCTTATTTTATTTTATTTTCAGAAACATATACTCTCTCGGAATTAGCGCTCTCTGCAAGAAATGTTGATTCCCGTGGCGATTTTCCTCTTTCTTATATGTTAGCACCCACCTTTCGAGTGGAGGTCCCTTCCCCAGATCCCTCCGGTCCTATGAGTATGATAAATTAATATGTTATATGTGACAGTGGTTCGGTGCTTCGATTGGCATTGACCAGCCTATTACATACCACTAAACGATATATTTCATCCAATTGAGGGCTGAAAGTAATCTCAAAGCAGCGACGACCAACCAAGTGGACCGTGGGATTATGGCTAGTATTTCTTGCTCCTTTTTGGTATCTCTATTTCTTGAGCTATATCTCACTGAAAGGCCGGTAGACCTGGATGTTTTCTATGAGCTATAGCTTTTGAGAAATCTGACAAATGAATTGGGTGCCATGGATACTACTCAGAGGTCTCTGTATTTTGTGAGGGTGTTAATTCTTCACCAGGTATCTGTAGATTTTCAGGTGTATCGATTAGCTACTAACTTTCCACTAATTTTCAGCTTTATAATTACCGTATTTTAGTGAGCTGATACTTTTAATCAATATTTTCAATGATTAAGCCTCCTCCTACTCCTCGTTGTATCTGCAATGACAACATAGTTAGCCCAAAATCCGAACTTTGGGAGTATCTTTCAAGTACGAGTATTGTATCAGATGAGAATCCCTAGTGACCTCTTAGCGCGTTTGCAATACGGTGTAATTGTCTTTTGGCGCGTGGCTAAAACTGTGTCCTTACACGAACGGCAAAAAACCACATGCCGCAGAATTTGGGACTTAATCACACACCATCACTCGATATAAGCCGAAACAACTTTATTGAAATATAGCTTCTGGGCCTAGGATAGGGTATGTGGTTGTCACCATGAATCACCATATGTCACTATGGTGTCAATAATACCTACATGTAGATGATGTCAACAGCTAGATAGTCCGGTATATCAAGAGTTATATAAATGTACTACAGTGGAGTCCCGATAGTAGCAACCTCGATAATAGCATATCCTCGATAGTAGCATATAGTTGGGCAATCCCAAACGGGTCGGTACGGGCAAAGTTGTTCTCGATACAAGCATATCCCCGATAGTGGCACACGAAAATCCGTTCCCGACCATATGCTATTATCGAGACTCCACTGTATATCTTTTATGTCGATTAAGCAGTCATGAAGAAAGCAGCCAACGTCACCTATATGTATTTCTAACAGGCTTTTTAAACTCGTCACTATATGTACCTACCACTAGAGACGGGGTACAGTATTGATGTAGTGTTTTAGTCCCAATGATGATCTTAAAGGTCAGCCCCCAACGCGAAAATTTCTACGGTGTTCGATCGCGAGGTTTTATTACATCCTACATTTTTATTTCTCCAGAACTTGTCACTACTACGGAGATTTTCGCTTGTTTGTTCTACCAGAGGGTTACGTATGGGGTGGTCAGAGGCTCCCCCACATTGAACTTGAGGATGGTGTTCGCCATCTTTTTCCTCTTTTTATATTGAAGCCAAACCACCAACTAGTATCCCATATAGAATTCCTTTGTGCCCTTATGGTAATCGCTTCGAGTTGTAGCTGGAGGCCATATTGCACCTAGCTGTAATATATGTGATTATCTAGCAATCTGATTAGGACAGCTAACCTAAGGTTTTACGCGCGCATCTCGCGTCCCTACAGACTAATATTCCTCGCTTACCGCGGAAAGCTTCCACTACTCGCACAGCTTTGAGTACCTCGTGCACTAATACGTATGGTTATGCAGGTACTCTATATGTACTCACTACAGCTCTTTTTGTATTGACTGTCCGCACTGAATTACATACCTACGTATAAAGTGGATTTTCAAGGAAGGAGTGAAACAGACAAAGCTAGCCTAGACTCTGAAGCTGTTCAGAGACCTAGCGATGAAGCTTATCAGACACCCGCGCTAACCGGATTCACATTTCGGAGCTAGTTATATGAGCACATTTATACTGACGTCAAAGCGCTCGCTAATCTCTGTTCTACAATCCTATCGGTGTTTTTGAGACAAGATAAATGTCAGAACCGGTACTCTTGATATTAGCACATCCTAAGGTTCTATCATACAATTTTACAGGTCGATTGTACTGCTATCGGTGCCTGGGGTAAGGGGTGTACATTTTGTAAGAGGGGGAGAGGTATCTGAAAATATATATCAGATGACGGAGGGGCCTTCTTTTTTTTTATTCTGGGGGGGGGGGGGGGGGTTTAGCGTGCTCATGATGAGAGAGGTATATAAGTTAAGAGAAAACGGAAGATGTCCAATTGCAGGAAAAACGAGAAAGAGAAATCTAAACAATCCAAGCAGAGGAAGGAAAAAAACCAAAAAAAAAGGAAAATACTCTATGATCTATGCACGCAATGATACGTTTGATCTCTTATGCTTCCCAATTACATATCTCTCTATTTTTCTTTCCTTTCCTTCTTTCACTTCTACATCAACTGGCCGGCCCCATTTCCGCCCCCCTCCATTTTATGCTCTTGAAACTGCAGATACTGCATCTTATCCTGCTCTCTGCTGTGCAGATGGCCCCTCGTTTGGTCGTCTGCCTCCTGCTCGTTTTTCCCCTGAAACGACGCAGACGACTGCCTGCTAAGATGCGTCCACTTGTTGTTAAGCGACATCGGCGCCCTCTCCAATCCAAACTTCGCCGTGAAGGCCGCCGCAGTGCTAACCCAATCCTTGCGCCTGCCCGTTTTTGCTGTATTGGCAACATAAGCCAGCAGCCATTCCTCCTGTGCGCGCGTGTAGCGCTTCCCAACAGACGCGGCCTGGTTGTTTCCGCTTTGCTCCGACTCTTCGCTCTCGTCGTCATCATCATCTTCGTCATCATCATCTTGATCTTCATCATTATCCTCCTCTACCTCATCTTTCTTGCGCAATTGACGCAAACCAGCCGGCATTCCTAGAGCCCCGTTTTTCCCCTTAGCCTCAAAGAGAGAGTATCCCTTGATCTGCATTCCCTTAAGAGTGCGCTTCTGGTTGAATGCGATGTTAAACCCATCCGTGATGTGCTGCCAGGTCTTTTCCGGATTGTCATTCGCGTATTTAATAATCCACGCCTCCTCCTCGGCGGTGTACCGAGGCCGTGCGGGAAGTGGTTGGCGCACATTATTTTCGGTCGGTAGTACAGTGGTAGCAGTACCAGAAACAACACTTGACGCTGCTGACGCTGATGCTGATGATGCTGATGCGCCTGTGGAAAAATCCACAAAGCATACTTGACGATTTCCATCATAGTAAAAACTGGTACTCTTTGTTGAAGATGGGTTATTTCCGGGGGCCGTTGCTGAAGTGCCACTGGCCGGTATCTGGGCGGCAGTGAAAATCCTACACTGCTCCCTGCGGAGGACGAGGCTCTACTACTGCTGGTATCTGAGCCAGCAGGCGAAACGGCGGGGGATGCCATTAATTATGCGGGAGGGATTCGCAGTATTCAATCAACTCGAAGTTCAAGCGCGAAATGGTTGCAATCCTTTTTTATCTTATTTTTTTTCTCTCTTGTTTTGCAGATTTGAGGAAATGACACCTTATCGACAGATGCAGCGGGTAAAAGGAAAAAAAGAAAATTGAAAAACTGAAAATTGAAAGGAGAGGTGAGAGGATATTACGCAGAATTATTACGATGAGATACAACAGGTCTTTATCGGTGCTGCTTTCCTTTGATAAAGCTGAGAAACTCGGACATGCGAATGTGGCGCTAGATGTGGTGGTTATTTTGTGATGTAGGATTAGTTGAAGCGGACGGGAGTTCTGGGTCTATATATCAGACAAGGGCAACTTACTAACAATTCGGAGGTTATAGGCGAGGCGGGCACGGTCTTGGCTCCGAATCCAGTAATACCAGGGCTAACCCTGGAAGAAATAATTCTCCGAGCAGACTAGAAGCACTTCTTAATCACTCATTGATATCTTGCACCTCGTGTGAGAGTTTGTGTAGTCTTTCAGTCGAGCTGACGAGTGAGGAACTTCTCCAATCTCGCTAAAATCACAGCCGAGAGCCGAGGATGTAGTTGGCAAATTGAGATTCATACCAAACCCTCAGTGTATGTATGTACCAACATGTACTTACTGATCTCCCGGAATTCAAGATATTTGAAATTTTCATGATTCTGCTAATAATAGCACGGCACGACTGATTGATTGAACAGGCGATGAATCAATAAATGGCAGAAAGTAGCAATGCATATATGGTAAAGAACAACAGATAAAGAACGTACTTGGACGAGGTCATAGTTAACCAACGAACGAATAAAGACAACGAGGTGTTCTGGGCCGCATTTCAACACCCTTTACCTACCTGCGTTATTCTCCAAAGCGCCATTTGCCGTGCGTGTGCTTCGCGGTAACCAGTTTCGATTCCAGGCTTCAGCTGGTGCAGTCTTAGACGAGGAACTGAGATCGTCGATGGAATACATACTGTGAAAATTCAACGGAATAAATAACGTATTCTCCGGGATTTGAGGTGAACTTTGTTGATAAGGTACGTGGCTTTTGCTTCCGTCATAATTGTAGATATACTGACTTCAAGATAGAGAAATCATGGTAATATCTAGAGAAAAGATGGGACCTACACGTACATGTAGATATATAGCCATACCTGTGGCCTACGTTGATCACCGGCTCTAACCATGTGTCCACCGGCCGTGTTTTACACTGGGACCCTAGATTGCAAAGGACACGGTAACCAGTACCAAAGTGAAGAATTGCGAAGACTTCAAAGTTAACTGAGGCTTACGGAGTTGCTGACAATCTGTCTGCAGATATACTCAATACCTCGCATAATGATAACAGTATTCATGGACACTACAAAGTTTCACCTTCATCACCACTTCTTCTTTTTCCTCCTCACTAGCTTGGGATTATCTTCCGGTTCCTCACCTACATACACTGTGTATTCGTCCAGCGAGCCTTGTCTTATGCTCCTGCATTAAACTGAGTCTCGCATGATACGCTTCCAATATAACACTACCTTGGTTGTGCCTGAACAATGTCTTATGCGAGATTACATAAAGCACAGAGTCATACACCTTACTGCTCTCCGTCCGCTCAACTCCTTCCTACTCGGCGTATAGTAACCCAGAAGCAGCCTCCTTCACTGGCTTCGGTGCAATTCCCGATCTTCTCCTATTGCTCAACCTAATCATACCTATCACTTCTCCAATGATCGTCCTATTCAACATATCATATTAGCCTAGAGGAGACCTCGAGAGGTTCAACGTATCACGACTCAACGATTCTGTAACTCACCAGATCAAATCGAAGAGCAGCAAAACACAATGCAGAGACGATAAATCTTGTTGTGAAATACGGAACTGAAGAGGGTTAGTGATATACAATCATTTCCGCTAGGATTCTCAATTGCTATTTGATATGGCTTACACAGTGGAAAATGATGGAAATAAATTTATTTGTATGATTGAAGTATAGATCTTGCATAATATATGATAAGGAAAGAAGTGTTCAATCTTGCGAGAAGGCAATTGGTATTGATAAGCTCAACGACGTTCAAGACCAGGCCGAGTGCACGGGATCGAGTGGCTATGTACAGCTTGTGGTAAGATTATTGTAGAAATATGGGAGGGGTCTTATTGGCTTGCCCAGCCATAGAAACCTTGTTTTTAGACCCCTGTTCCTACAATAATCCTACCTCTTGCTGGATTACCGGTCATGTCAAGAGGTTCAAATAAGTAACAAATATCGTACGGTCTAAATGAAAAGTGGCCAAGGATGTGGAGGACAAGATATCAACGTTCTCCGTTCAAGCTGATGCCAAGGTCTAACCTGCGGTCTGGTCTCTCTTCTCCTGGCCTTACATCTGCTACGACTAAACTTCCAAGACGGCCTACGAGGCCTTGTGGGAGAAAGGACAAAAAAAAGAATAGGGAGCAGGGGCAGTATGTGAGGGCTAGCGAAGAGGTAAAATACTAGCAATAAACCGGAACGGGCGGAGAAACCCCTCCGTATAACCGAACGGCTTCACCACTTCACTGAATTCCGATCGGACACTCTATCCCTCTCACTCTTGCCAGAAGGAAGATCCGAGGCAAAGAACTCTACAAAGCTCACTTCACGCTAAGTCATACTCGGGAAAGGTGATAGGCTAGATCAGTGAAGGGCAGTATGGTATGCGGGACAGACCGTCCCCCAAGTGGTTTTATAACAATGAGTTCGCAAAGTCTGTAATATGTCCGTAGCTATGGAGTAGCATCGACGATATAGTGATGCAGTAGCGAAGATTGAAAACAGGAAGGTTCAGGCGTTCATTAGTGGGTTTTTCGTTAGTGGACGCCTGAGAGATTAGTAGTATGGTCTTGGCAAGAGGACATGCATGATACTACTAACCCTGCTTTATTTGTTAGGAACGCATTGGCCTCTCTATTAATAACTTCTTTGGTTGATTCACTAGCACAGGATTATCGGGGTAAACCATATTTATTATCCCATGAGAGTAAGCTTAATGGCCCAAAACTACAAATGCTGGACAAGCTAATGGGAGATCAAAAAAACCGATATAAGCCGAGAAAGCGTTTTTTTAGTTCAGTCTCTCAGCTAGCAATGTGGAGTTCGGGGCACGCACCCGGGGTGCAATATAATTCATTATCATGATCTCTCACCCACTATGATTTGTCATATCAAGTCTTTGCGCATTTTAGATCACTCATAAGATAAAGGTCAATTAGTGCCTCAAAACTAAAAGCAGGACACTTTATTTGCACCTTTAATAGGCAAACTCACCTATGACAATGACCTACATCCATGACCTGAGTGTGGCCTCTAGTTGTTTCACCGTGCGTTAGCGTGTTTTAGGGAGGTAGGTCTCCATGGGCATACGCAGTTTACTTAAGGTAACGTTAATATATACATGTAGCCAGATAATATAAGCCGTATACCAAGATACATGGTGCATACATGTAGCTATAGTCACGCATGGAATTTAAGTCCTTACGACACCTATAATCCCATGGCCCACTAATCATATACATCCTCCTTACCTATAGATGGTATCATTCAGGTACTTGAGCATGGCGGCCTCACAACATCACCTTGTTAGGCAATGCTCTACTTCTCAAAAGAATGAGCGCGAGGTCACGATCTTACGCATGGATTACCAATATAAATTCAAATGCGTATTCTCGGTTTTCCGATAGGAACCCCCGGGTTTCAATAAACTTTATAAATCAGATGTCAAAATACATCTACTATTGCCATGTGAAAACCTGTCTAACACTCGCTGTAGTAAATACCGAAATAAAGCAGAGTTAGCCGGATCGGGGGTACCTTTATCTGAGGAGCTCAAGATCGTCGTTCGTCACCCTGAAAGCAATATAATATGCACGGATGCATCACAACGAATGCTACCCTGTCGAGGAACAACATGGTGGTTCAACGGCCAGATCTTCCGAAAACACGCCAAAAGCTGCAACATGTCAACGTCCAAGACAAGCTTATTCTCATCCCAACTTTGAAATCCGTGAGGTGTTACGGACATCTCCTACTAAAACTATACGTAATTATCGATTTTTCCCATAAACACTTTCAGGAGCTTACTCGTGCAGCATAGGTTTCTTGATCCGCATTCGCCTATTGAATACTATTCGGGAATGATCTCCTTATGAAAACAGTTTTAATTTCAGGGTTTCAGGGCCGGGAAGCATCCTGCCCAACTTCAGGAGTTTACTCCGTACTCTATCGGTATACTTCCTCTCCGACAATCATAAGTTTTTTCGGGCTCAACCGAAGTACTGGATCCAATCAATATAAAATTAAGGAACACGGGCGTGGGGGAGGGGAAACTCCGCGAAAACGCTCGACCGAAAGCCGAAATACGTTATGTATAAAGCCCACAAGACGAAGCAAAGATAGAGGACTTAAACCAGATCAGCAAAGTCAACTATAACAAAGGACAACAATGGCGATTTTCTCTTCAATCTTGGTCGCATTTGTGGCCGTGGCGAGCACCGTTTCTGGTCATGGACATGTCAAGACTCACGAGATGAACGGCGTTAAGTATATTGGATACTTACCTATCGCTGACCCCGACTTTACAGCCGATGCTCCTAGCATTGGTTAGTATATATATCTCAGACACGGAGTCTTTGTACGGTTAACTGACTGGTGTTTAGTTAGGAAAATTCCTGGTGATGGTCCGATCAAGACTCCCCTCCTGGCAAACATTACATGTAACCAGGGTGCTGTACCTATTCCCGGAAGAACTGGAGCAGTCGATGCAGGATCCCCAATAAAGTTCTACTGGAATGAGTGTAAGTCTTCTTGAAACACCTGAAACAAAAGTTAAGACGAAAAGAAAACTAATTGAAATATCAAAAACAGGGCCTCATCAAGGTATCTTTTCTCAAGGATATATCCATCCCCAAACTTGGTAATAACTAACTTCAATAGGGCCTATCTTTACCTATATGGCCAAATGCGACCCCGACTGTGGAAGCTTCACAGGAACTTCAGGCCCAGTCTGGTTCAAGATCCACGAACAAGGTTACAATAACGTGACCAACCAGTGGGCTACCCAGAAACTATTCGACGACGGGAATACCTGGACTTCTACCATCCCAGCCTGCTTAGCGCCGGGAGATTACCTTGTCCGTCATGAGATTATCGCCCTATCTGATGCCTACAAGTCTGGAGGCTGCCAGTTCTATGTAAGTACTTTCGGGAGTCCATTTTCAACGCCGGTTTTAAATAGTGGTATTGACGTTCATTAGCCCAGTTGTGCGCAAGTTACCGTGGTGGGCAGCGGCACGGTTAACCCTACAGGATATGCACTTCCAGGTAGGCTTGACTTTAACCTTGATCCATTTTCTCGTGTGGCTTCTTACGCCGTAATACAGGTTTCTATAAACCGACAGACCCTGGAATCCTGTTCAACACAAACTTGCCGTATACATACTACCCGATGCCGTAAGTCTTCAGTCTTAACCGTACCCTCACGCCTTGACAGACGTTTCTAACTTGAATTATTCCTGGCGAATAGGGGCCCACCGGTTTTCACTTGTCCCACCTAGTACTTCAATGGTAGAACGTGTATTTAGAACTCCACATATGCCAAGATAGAACGAGTAAACCTTCAGCCAAGAGCTTTTAACAAGCTATCAATCAATCAATCAATCCATGCAAGAAATTAGTTGCCCTAGGAAAATAAGCGAGTGATATTTCATGAAACATCGCCCTGCCCTTCAATGTGCTGCACAGCTACATCACCGATTCCATCCGAAAAGTGAGATTCAAACCTTATCTCACTAGTCGCTGAAATTTTTTACCATAGCCTTCAGCCCCAGAACCGATGCGCGGTAAGACCCTGATTGCACGCGTTACTGTATGTATGCACTTGGATTAAGTAATGGGCTGCATTTATGGCTGGCATTGGCTGCTGAGTGAGGTGCAAAATCAGCCCCGCCTGTGTCAGCTCCAGATCCCATGGGTAGACTGTACAGTTGCGGCAGGTGACCGGGAAAGCGTGTGAAAACTTTTCGGGTGTAGTAATTCAAGTTCATTGCCCTAACGACCCCTCACATCCTCGCCTCTCTCATACCATACAAAAAAAAAATAATGATAACAAAGAGAGAAAAACGCCCGCCGCCCCGTAATTCAGGGAAAACATAAATAAAACCCACATAAAAAAGACACTATGAATAAATAAAAAAAAGCAAACATGACAGATATCTTGCCATCTAATGTAGAGAATAGCGGGATAAATGGAAGAGGGAAAGGTGGGAAAGAGGGAGAATTTTTATCTAGTCTGTCCAGGGAATTTGTGTAAAATTTAACTACCACCAAACATCTCATCGTAGATCTCCGCAAACGCCTGGATAATCGGGTCGAGAATCTCGTGATTGTATTGATCTACATGGGTGTTGTGAGGGCTCTGAGCTGTTGTTGTGCTTGAAGCTGTAGCGGTGGAAGACCCGTGTGTGGTGGCAGCAAAATTACTCTGTTCATCATCGCCGACAGCTCCCTCCTGCTCTTGCTGTGGCTGCTGATTGTGTGAAGCTAAAAATTATAAAGTTAGAATCTCAAGCGTAGAAATAGAGAAGAACACGGAATCTTAAACTTACGAGGAGTAATCTCGTTTGCGTTGACGATCGTATTGGCGTTCTCGTTCTTCCCATTCAGATTCGCCCACGCCCTCCCAGGAACATCGTGATTATATGCATCCACGCAACTCGACGTACCCCCACTGCACCTCCCTATGATATACAATGTCTTTCCTTCATCTCCACCAAGCTCCAAACTAACAGGAAATGCCACACTATCCAAGTCCATCAACTCAGCTGTTGCTGCGGGGTCCTCAACTTTCCACTTCAATATCGCCTTGCCACGGTTGAGAGCGACAAAAATGGTTCCATCCACATCAGACCGCAAGCCCATCGCCTCGGCTCCATAGTGCTTTCCATCGATCCCAAGTTCCGTCAACGCGGAATAGATATCCAAGATCAGAGTTGGGTCCTCAGGCGCGAACGTATCAGGATTGATTACGAAACGGAAGATCTTTGTAGCTGTGATACTGTTTCCTTCTGTCTCGCCCGCTGTAACGTAGAGATACTTATCATCATTGCTTACCTCTATGGCGTTGATTCTGTGGATCCCCCCAGCCTTCATGACGTTGATATCCACCTTCTGCAGAATCTCTGTTTGGGCATCATACCACCAGAGATCACCACTGACCCCGGCAGATGTCGTACTAGTTCCCAGGCCGCCAGCAAGATAGAGATGCCTCTCATCACTGTGCAGCGCAATACTGTTTGGCTGGAGCATATCTGCCTCCACAAACAGCGGTGTCGTATCCCTCTTGACCAGCGGCGGTGGGGTTTGTTCCAGACCTCTCTTGCGGCCTCGACAATTCGGCTGTCTCTTCTGGAACTTACTCGCCCCCATGTTCAACCATACGGCATGGCCGGCCGCATCTGTGATGAGTTGCTGCGATGCACTGCCGTGTCTGGTGAAGCGTGAATCGGTGAATGCAACGCTGCCATCGACAGCAGCGTGGACGAGAGGTTTGGTCGGGTCGACGTCACCGTTGCGGAGTGACATGAAGGCAGTTTGATTTACAGCGAACAGCTCGCCCATGTTGTTTACGGAGGCACCTGTCACGAATGGACCCATGTGCCTGGCATAGGTAAAGCGGTCATTGGCAGCAATAGTGGGGTTATTTGTATTGTAGCTGGTGATTTTGCCAGTGCTAGCAGCGCTGGCAATGCCGGCGGCCCCGAGAAGAATGCTAAGGGATATGAGATTCATTGTGGGTGATTATCGTGGACTTTATTATAGCACTGGCGATATATGTAAAAACGGGAGATTGAAAGCTGAGATTCGGTCCCAGATCGAAGGTTAAACAGATCTAATAGATAGCCGGGAGAGAGACGTCCTCTTATATATGCTACAAATATTGTGTCAGACATGTGAGATAGATATCGTAAGGGTAAGCACTAGGAATTCACAACACAGAAAGGGCACTTACTTAAACCGCACTTTCCTCAAACTCTACAGCTGAATGAAGAAGAGGGAGGGGAACAACAGAACAAGTAAGAGCTCGAGCTTCTCAGCCCTTAGGTTAATTTCAGCCCTACATACTTAACCTACCCAGTCAGGTTGGTGTATTACAAAATATATGCGGCATGGTAACCTTCCTTTGTGAGGACTGGAATAGTGACCCTGGGTTGACCGTGGCTGTGTTTTGTAAAGTTCCAAACAGTCCCAAGCGCTGTGTATTAATCTGCACTTTTAAAGTCGGACAGGGGTCTGGAATAAGCACCTTCTTGCTGAGGTTTACTGCGCGCAGTAGGACTTGGCACCCTTTCCAGTCCTACTCTCAACTGATGGTGAAACTTTGACATTCATTCGGATCAAAACTTAAGCTCAAGACCACATTAAACCGTCTCTCTCTGGGTCTTCATTCCTCTCACGAACTCTGGCAGTGACTCTGCTCACCGATGCCTCACGCATGCTGCACAGTAAGCTTCTACATACCAGACGTTAGCGCGAATGTACTTATATCACTTTATCTGTATGTATGGTACTGACAGTAGCCGACAGTCATACTCAGCAACGTGCAGCAAGCAGAACAGCCTCCACCACTCACCAAAGGGCTGACTGTGTGTAAAGTTTATTTCACTTGTCAAAGGGCAAAAAGGTGGCAGGGTTCACAGCTGAAAGCAAAGCCGGCCGCCCTCCCTCCCTCCCTAGTCTCTCCCCACTCCTCGGTTGCGATCAGAAATAGAGTTGGCTGAAACGGTCTTAGCCACAACTGAGCCGCACATGGCGTCAAATTAGCCCTCGTGGTTGCTCTACAAACTTAGTTATATGCGTACATAGCCGCTCTGGGCGGGAGCTTGATGATGAGCTGTCGATCGGGAATAGAGTAGAGCTTTTTTCGCTGCGCGGTTTTGAGCAGTTCGGACAGAAACTCATGCCCGTTACAACCAACAAGAGTTGCAGGAATTTCTGCCCAAATGCGCTCCAAATCATGGTGTATGGAGGTGCTTCTCGAGCTCCGGAGAAACATACTGGATATAATCTGTGTAGCCCGACGTCTACATGTAGTGGGGTTGATCGAAGCGCTTGTTCTTCGGACAGCGGGATCCTATCGTTTACTTACGATCTTCAAATATAGGCATATAACTGTCATTATGTCAGCACGATGGATTGGATTCCTGGCCGGCCTCATATCCTTTGGAATCTTCGAACACGATTTGGTGCACTTAGGTAGAAACCCCTGCAACTCCTATTGCATATGTTTTTGTCCAAACTGCGCAGCCATAAATCCTCTTGAGGATCGAGGGAACTCGCCTATCTCCCAGGTCACTTTGATCCGGATAGAAAAAACAATTTCTAGTGCAAGAAAGAAATATTCGTGACCCCAAAGAGTCCTTTATGAGTACCTAGATGAAACAAGGTGTGTGTGTGTGTACGTGTGTGTGGTGTCAAGGGCTATATATTAGTAACTGTACGTGGGCTATGTAAGGGGACTATAATGATAGGGCTATAATTCCTGTCACAAATGTGTCGTTAACAAATGGCAATGAGATTGTACCTCTATGTACTTTTCTTTCTATGCACATGTCTAAGGACCATATTCGGATGTGTTTCGGATGTGTTTCTTGCTTTTCATCGCGTTTCGTCCCAGAAATTATTATAGAGTACCTACATACTTGAACCAGTCTAGAACAATCCAGTTCATAGAACGTCTCCACGTTCCATGCAGGCCGATGTATATAAGGCGTTAAACCAACCATCTAACTGGCGACGCTTAGAGGTAACGGTGCCTATGAGAAGTTGGATCATAAATGATCACTCAGCAGCCGGAATCATGACGGCTCATTAATACATTCTCTACAGTACTCCAATCGATCAAGTTAATCAATAGATACTAGCCATTACAATTGATGAGCGCACTGAAGAGATGTAAACCACATATAGACTTAACTTTCTACAAGTTAAGCTTCTGTCTTGTCCGAAATACATCTTTCAAAAAATGGCACTACATCCTTCCCCCACCTGTTCCATACCTCCTCACTCCACCCATGCCCCCAATTTTCCGCCGCCACAAACACACACTCGACCCCCATTCTCTCCAACTCCTTCACCGTCTTCTCCGACTCTCCAATCCCCACATTCTTATCCCCCGTCCCATGGAGCACAAAACTCGGCGGAAACTCCCCCCCCATCATCAACTCCGGAAACAACACCCTCATCGCCATTGGCACCAGTGCCTCCAGATCCACCCCACCACCCCCACCACCCGCCTCCCTCAACACCCCCGAAAACCCCTCCCTCCCCGTCAAAAAGTCCAACCTCGTCCCCATCACCGCCGCCATCCCCGCCAACCACGCCCTCCCACCCACCACCGGCACCTCCCCTGCCTTCCTCTTCCCCCTCCTCTCCCGCCACTCCCACGCAAACTCACTACACTCCTTCAATCCCAAAAACTCCGCGCTGCTGCGCGTCGAGTACTTCCTATAAGTCCCCAGCAGCTTCTTCTGCAGATACGGCTTGGGCGTGAAGTACGCCGGGCTCAGCAGGTGTCCGCCCTGTCCCGACACGGAAAAGAACCCCCGCGGCCGGGGGGTCCCGTGGATTGCAGCCTGGCGGGCAACATATGCGCCGCCGCTGTGGCCGGCGACCATGATGCGCGCCGTGTCGATGGCGGGGAGGGTGGCGAGGAAGGTGAAGAGGGCGGCGATGTCGGTGAGGATGTCGAAGCCCGTGGAGGGGAGGAGGAGGCGGTAGTCGGCGGATATGAAGGCCCAGTTTTTAAATAGTGCTGCGTCTATATAGGTGCTTGTTAGACCGGCGGACTCAATGGTGGGGAAAGAAAATTGAAATGGAGAGTGGGAGGATACCCTTGAGTTCTGGAAGCACGGATTTGCGGCTTCCACGGAACACGCCCCCGCCGTGGAAAAACAGTACAACGGGAAGAGCTAGAGGCGCCTCTTGCGACGCGGGCGCGGCGGCGGGGAGGTAGAGGTCGAGGTGGATTTCACACTCGTTGACCGTCGAATAGACGAATGTCTGTGGTTCGGGCATTATAATATTATGATTGATTTGTTGACTCGTGATGAAACCAAGCGTGGAATTGTAGCCACTACCTACTTATACACCTCCAGTCCCCTGCGGTGGTGCACTGTCGCGGCGTAAAGAAACCCTCTCCACAGTTTTGCGTCGCTCAGGTCCATGTTGTAGTTAACCTGTGTTTCGACGGCGCTAGGATTCGAGTCAGAGCAGAATATCAAGGCGATCATTGGCACTTAGCTACCAAGTGTGCCGTTAGCCGACAGCTAGCTAGCTACACACAATTTATTAGAAAGCCCTAACCCTGGGAGTCACTTGGATTATTACTAGCGCCATTTTGGCTTGTGAGTGATTCTGCGTGTCTACATACAAACAGGTCTGCACATCACTCAGGCTAGGGATTTGGTGCATACTTGCACCACTCCAACAGAAATTCAACCAAGAGGATCCTATTTTAACCATATGCTAATATAATATCTATTCACCAATCAAAATTATAACTCTCAACAGGATCCGCCATTGCCAAATCCTAAAATTACTAGAAAGGAACACTAAATCAAACTAGACAGGTAATTATAGAAATATCCATCAATATATACCTCCACCGCAGTATTTCTACCTCATGTATGTAGCTAACAAGCTAGCCACATATCCTTACGGCGTCGCACCAACCCTCACCAACCCCTCAAATTCACACCACTGGAGCCCCCTCACTCCACAGTTGATACATCCTCTCAAGTTCTCAGTACTCTTCCGCCCCGTCACATTATCCACCCAGAACCCTAGCTCGATCCTATCGTTCCCGCTCTCCCCATAATCATAGGCCGCAATTGTAATTGCGCTCACCGCCTTGATCGGCGCCGCAAACGAATATTGCTGAGTCCCTGGCGTGAACCTCCGACTATAAAATCCTGCCACGCTGTCGCCAAACGACTGTCCGCATGAGTCTGTGACACTAATCTCGACCACTACCCGCGGAAGCTGCTCTACTGTGGCGTCGACAGTGATATCAAACGACTCAATATCCACCAACGGGATAGGCGGCGCAGGGCCAACATATGTATCCACAGTTGCGAGCCCCAGAGCGTACGCGGCGTTATTAGGCGACGTTGAGGCAATCCAGCCTGGAGAGTTAGCGGCATATAGCGAGCGGCCGGTGATGCTCCAGTTGGGGGAGAAGATGAATTTATCGCTTGATGGGAAGGGGGTTGGCGCTGTGGTTATGGTGTAACGATCAAACTAAGGTTTCTTGTTGGTCTTGGACATTTTAGGAAGGGGGAGAAGAGAGGGCCTTACGTTGATGACTTCACTACCACGGACGCGGCAGCTGGTGCCTTCGCCGAGTTCGCGGGTGAAGACGATGCTGTCGAGCTAGTATTGGCATTAGATGTTAGCTTTTGAGTAGAAGATTAGAGGGGGTGGATGACATACGAAGTATGGTCTGAAGTTATCGTTTCCTGCTGCGGCTGTCATGAAGAAGTACGATAGCCTCCTAAAAGCGCCAGGAGAAGTCGTAATGGTCGAAAGATCAACGTGTCTAACCCGGAAAGTAAGTCACATATCCTCCACTTTGAGAAAGAGAATGGAGATGCATACACAAACTTATTCCCTCCAGCTCCCGGCACATCAATCTCCACAGTAGCCTTAACCTGCTCTGGGAGTCCCGCCCCATCATACGGATCCCTGAACCCATAAAACGTAACTACACCATAGACTCCGTCAACACACATCCTCTAAACCCTGTGGGGATTTGGGGGGCGGGGGCGGGGGGGCGGGAGTCACATACCAACACACTTCTTCCCAAGATTATCGCCATCCGTCGGGAAGCCACACAGCACCCACAAGCTCTTGACACCAAACCTCTCCGCGTACGAATTCGCCTTTATCAGCGCTCTCGGCCCGCCGGTGCCTCTAATAAACAAAAAGTTTCCGCCGGACGGGGTCGAGACGCCCGCAAGCTCCGGGTGCAGCTCGGTCGATCCAGAGTTCTTTGTCGAGACAGCGAAGGCGGTGTCCCAGTAGAGGGACTTGTAGGGCTTGGTATCTGGGATCGGGGTCGGGGCGTATAGTCCTGTCGTGGTAGGGACCTCTGGTGGGCCTACGAAGGTCGTTGTTTGGAAGACAAAGTCGTCAAGCTAAGTAGGTGGGTCTGTTAGTATATTAAGCCTAAGGAAATGTAGAAGGGACTACACACATCTACAGTAAATGTCGAAGTTGCGGTTGGGCGTGGTGTGCAGGGACCTTTGATGGCTGTGGTCGTCGTTGTGGGACTAGGGCAGGCGGCGGTATCGACCATCCTGGAAGTGTCAATGATTAATTCGCCATGTCCACAGAATGAGGAATTGAGGGGCATACTGGTCAAACGCAAAGCTATCAAGCGTGAAGGGCAGCCCGGCATTATTGTTGGCCTTCTTAGACGTCACCCAGATATCGAGAGCTGTGAGCTCTGAGAAGCCCTTTGCAGTGAGCCCTGTCACATCCGTTCTGTTACTATATCAGCATTGTCCCTCAACAAACCAACAAACCAACAAACCAACAAACCAACAAACCAACATACCTGCTACCATTCGTCACAAGTTTCTGTTTGTAATTCACTTTCTGCCCGTTCGTCTTGATCCCCACCAGGTTCACCTCGCACCCCTTCTCCTTACAGTTCGCCACCGCATCCGGCGTCCACACCTTGAAGCTCTTCAGCGCAAACACCGCATACGTGCCCGGGTACGCCGTCGTACCAATCCTCGGCCGCTTCGACTCCGTCCCGCCGGCATTGTACAGCGCCTTTGTAGAGTTCCCGCACTGTCACTTGCCGTCAGCTTACCACTGTCACCCACTCACGCATTCATTCAGGGGCGGGGGGGACCAACTGCTCCATTTGCTGCATCCAGCGGTGCATCACCAATCTCGCAATTAGCGATTTTCCAGGCGGACAAATTCTCGAAGAGGATAGGCTTTGTGAGCGGCTCGGCGGCCGTGGTGTCGCCATAGAAGATGCGGCCGAGACCACGCGGGGAGTTGAAGTTGAGGAGCTTGAAGGGGAGGCAGCCGCGGAAGCAGACGGAGATGCTGTCGAACTGGTAAAAAGTTAACACCGCAGATAAGTTAGTATAAGGGAGAAAAGAGTGAAGAGGTAAAGGGGGGGAGGGCGGCTTACTTCGAATATCTGGGGCGTGTTGCGGTACTGCGGGGAGCAGTTGGACCGTGCCTCGATGCCCGCCTCGTGTGGGAGAGCGACGGCAGCGCCATTGACCGCCAATAAGCTGGATAGCAGGAGCGTAGAGTGTAGAAGCCTCATCGTGAGTAGAGTATATAGGATCTATAGACAATATCTACCTGTCTCTATAGCCTCCAAACCAAAGGTAAAGAATCTCCTCCCTAAGCAGTATACCAAGTCTTTAAATAAAGATCGACTCCCCCACCCCCGCGGGCTCCTCCGACCCATACATAGCAGATGCCGTTCCATCCTTTCGCGGGATTTAAGCCCTCCCGTCCCGCATCACGCTCGTTATACAGAGGCAGCCACTTGCGGAGTTGTTTCGCGAGAATCTATCACGGGAGATCACTCGCTTGCCTCGCGCGTGGCACCGAGCGAATGCATGTACCCTGCCCGGTGGTACAGACCGAGGGGAGAAGGGATGGTAGGAGGGGGTTAACATTATTTATATCCCTTTGGTGGTTTACTTATCATCATCAACCTTCTTCTCAGCTGAAGGCGGAAATTGGGCGGTCCCTTGATCTCTCGTATTGAACGTATGTTCTGATTGCAAGGTCTAGGCGATGGTGGATGCAGTGTTAGTGGGTGTTACATTATGTAGCCTTAATTGTTGGATATGAGGGGTGGGGGGGTTTCTGGCCTGATTGGGCACTTTGGACGGGATCGAGGAGGGTGGGAAGGTTGTTTACTTACAGAGTTCACGATCAGTATATTTCTGCGTAGAGTTCTGTGTAGCTCGGGCTCTGGCTCTTCGTAACGACAGATAAACTCAAGATATTTAATATAAGTACAGATTCCAAGAGTTTAACTCCCATCGCCAAGCGAGGGACCCGCCACAACGTCATATTCCGAGCAGCGAACATCAGCAATTGATCAGGGGGCGATCAAGGGGTGAGGATAACTGATAACTGATCCACATGGGTATCCGTTTGTGTAACTGCAACACAACACGACGTTACGAGCGTCGCACAGGCACAAGAAGTACTCGCTTCGTTGTTTGCCACATCCAGTTAAGCTTTGTGGTTGCTGTGAGATGTGCATAATGAACGGCGTCACATTAGTTAAATACAAACAAGTACTAGGGTGTAGCAAAAAGTGATCAGAATCTGATAAGACAAAACTCATGTATGCCGCATTTAGCCATCATAGCCCATCATTCGACCATCCAGGACGGGTGGTGATAGCTTGTAACTTGCACTCGCACAACCAAACCTATTCTGCCAAAAAAAAAAAAACACCGAACCACCACTCGCCCATAAACACGTTCTGCCATCATCGCTCCTCGGCAATTCCGGCTAATACTCGACTTCTGCCTCATATCGGCCTCCCCCCCCCCCCCCTGGCCAGCTGCCAGGGCCAAATTTCGGGATTTCTTGCCGTTACCCCGCAAGTCTATGTATTGAGTTTATGCGGGGCCGATGCGGGGGGTGGGATGGTTGGAAGGTTGGAGGGGGAGACTTGAGAGGTCCCACCCCTTTTTAAGCTTGAACCGGGGATTCGAAGATGCCGTCAGGGGCAGCCGAGGAGATCTGGTTGTTGTGTCGCCCGAGTTACTGACGTTGTTTTTCCAGGTTGTGCTGCGAGACCGCATTGCTAGAAAACACTTCAATTCATAGAGGATTCTGGTCAGTGATAATTGATTTCAAATCAAGGCCTTATGATATGATCTAATTGATCAACGGACTAGCTGGTTACTGGATCAATGATCATTCCCAGCGCAGCCTTGGTTGTTCCAGCGGAACAATCCATATTGCACACTTTTACCTCAGGATCAATTCAGGGTCAGGGTATATTCGCGATATCGCCGGGCCCAGTAACTACAGCCTACATACATAGCATATATACAGGCACATCACATCATAATATAGTTCTCGTACCTGAGTCCGCACTATAAGAAAAAAAATCACCCTTTCTTCCATATTGAGACAGCCGTTCGACCGTGTCTTTCTTCCAAGAGCCTTCCAGGCTATTAAATCCACAATCTAGAACAAACCGCATTTAGTATAGCGATGAGCACCTTATGCTCATCACACGGTAGAAGTGCAGTGCAGTGCAGTGCAGTTCCCTGGAAAACGGATATTGGGGGCTATATACAATTAATCTAGAAGTTTTTCCGGCTTGTCTAAATACTCCTAATTAATACCAATCCCCACAATTTACCCATGAGGCCCAATACAATTGGCAGAACCGACCTTCCTCTCTCTCTTTCTCTATTCTGCATATTCTGCATGTATAGATGCGATGATCATCGTATTCCGGAGGTTTATAAAGCTCCCACCCCATCCCATTGTCGATGACATCCCCAGGTGTCTCCAAAGTTTTTCTTCACCGATAAATTTCCACTCTCCGGAAATCCAGCGTCCCACCGTCCATCGACATAGTACATAGATCGCTTTCCACGATGCAGTTCACCCCCAGCACCCTCCTATCCCTGCTCCTCATCGCCTCTGCCGGCGTTGTCGACGCCAGCCCAAAGCCAAAGGTGCCCAAAGGCTTCGTAACCACCAACGGGCCCAAGTTCCAGCTCGACGGCAAAGACTTCTACTTTGCGGGTACTAACGCTTACTACCTTCCCTTCCTCAACGTATATCTCCCTCCCTCACTCTCCTTCCCCTTCCTCCAGCTTCTAAGCTAATTGCAATTGGTGCAGAATGCAACAGATGTATACCGCGGTCTGAAGGCGGCCAAGGAGGCGGGACTGAAGGTGGTGCGGACGTGGGGATTCTATGACAAGAATGCGACGTTTGACCCGCTGGGGCTGCCACAGTATGGTGGCGAGGGTGCGGGCCCTTCGGAGGTGTATTTCAGGAAGTGGACTAATGGGACTGCTGAGATCAGTAAGTACCCACACGCACCCATATATATCCAACTCCATATATATACAGATCCATATATGTGATGGAGACATGTACGGTAGATACTAACACCCACCACCCGCAGACTACGGCCCCACCGGCCTCCAAGCATTCGACGGCGTCGTCAGCGCCGCCGAAAAGCTCGGCATCAAGCTCGTCGTCCCCCTCACCAACAACTGGGCCGACTACGGCGGTATGGACGTCTCGACCACCAACCTCGGCGGCAAGTACCACGACGACTTCTACCACGTCCCGCGCATCGTCGCCTCCTACAAAGACTACGTCAAGGCCTTCGTCTCGCGCTACAAGTCCTCCCCCGCCATCATGGCCTGGCAGCTCGCCAACGAGCCGCGCTGCGGTGCCGACGGTGTCCGAAACCTCCCCCGATCTGAGGCGTGTGACTCCGCGATGATGACCAGCTGGGTTAAGGATATCTCGGCGTTTATTAAGAAGGTGGATCCGTACCATCTGGTGACGACGGGGGGTGAGGGCGAGTTTAACTTTCCCGATAATGAGGATTGGGCGTATTCGTCGGGGGATGGGGGCGACTTTTATGAGGAGCTGGAGGTGGACACGATTGATTATGGCACGTTCCATCTGTACCCGGATTGGTGGAGCAAGACCTCTGCGTGGGGAACGTGAGTTACTCTCCTTCTTCTTTCTCTCCTGCGGTGTTCAATTGATACTGACTCGGGAACTCAATTGGCAGACAATGGATCAAAGACCACGGTACCGCCCAAAACAAAGTCGGCAAGCCCGTCGTCTTTGAAGAATACGGCTGGCTCACCGACGCTGCCCGTCTCTCCAACCTCGGCACCGTGTCCAACGAGACAAGGCTCGAGGTCCTCGGGGAGTGGCAACAGGCAAGCATCGACTCCAAGCTTGCCGGCGACCAGTTCTGGCAGTATGGATGGAGCGGGTGGGCGACTGGGCGTAACCGTAAGTTTCCTCTATAATTTGCATTTAGTGAGGGCGGGGGAGAAGGGCGTTGCTAACTTTAACTTTGTAGATGATGACGGGTTCACAATTTACCTGGACGATGCGGAGGCGAAGCAGTTGGTGTATGATCATGCCAAGAAGGTGGAGAAGCTTAATAAGAAATAGAGCGGGAGTGAGGATATGCATACATGTATAAACTGTAATTTTAAGCCTGTTTCCCATGTAGTGTCGATATGTAATACCCAAAATGTACATGAAGTTGTATGATGAACAAAAACGGAAGTTGTTACAAAGTTACAAAAGATACCAAAAGAAAGTCTTGGTAATATGTTGTTCATGTGCTATCACTCGCACATAACAAAACCTTGTATGACGTTGCACCGCCGTTTTTTTTCACATACGTGTTGCACCTCCATGGATCCAGGAATACCAACAGGGACCACACATCAGCTAACAATACATGTAGTGAATACATGCAGTGACCTAGTAGGCCAGAACTCTCGTTTGTCTAGATAATAGTTCTCATCCCGATCTTTAATACCATCTAGCTAAGAATCAAACATTATTCTAGCTAGCCCAGCCCCTTGGTCAGGTGCCAGAGTTCTAGTAACACAGCTTCCATCACAAGAGCAGGCTGGACGTCCCTCGAGCTCAGCTAGTACACATCAACTATTGGTTAGAAACTCTTCCAAAAAACATAAACATTAATTCATGTACCACGCTTCAGATATCCAATAATATTTACGCATTCGATGGTAGGCAACGCTCTGTAGTATTGGGAGTGAGACATCCCCATAATAGGGATTATATAAAACCTCCTCAGTTATACAGTAGAGTCTTAGAACCAGTCCTACGTATTCATTTTGTATCTTAACGCGTATGAAATTATCCTAAATCTTACAAAAATAGACAATTCGTTCTAAAATATGATTATCAAGCTGCAGTTTAACGATATAAGCTGCAGGGTAAGACATAGCTCCATGACATCTTCCAGCAATCTAAAAGATACCCTTTGACAATAGCACAATCACCTAAACCCCAACAACCGTCAACGAAAAGAGATTAGTTTAAAAGGCGTTGAAAGGGGGTAATAGCTGTGTAGAATTGGTCTTTTTAGTACCCTCGCCCTTACGTAGGATCAAACCATTCCCACCTCCTGCCACACCCCTACACGCCACACTCATCATCACTACCAAACACTATTTTCCCCATCTTTCTCGCCCCACCAAACACATCCAATTTTTGTTGCGCCGTTAGCCCTTTCAAATCTTCATTAGTATGCATCATATTGAGCATACGCTCAATAGAATCCCTTGGACCAGGCCCAGGGCTTTGCACCAATGTCTTGAATTTTGACGTCTCCCTGTTTACGATTGAGTTGCTCGGACCTCTGATTATACCACTATCTCCTTTCCCGTCCCCACGACTCCCGTTCCAGGGTTGCGAATCTGTTAAGCTCTTTCTTGGTATTTCGACGCTCTTATTGGGTTTTGCTAATGTATCTATACCGGCGTTGATTGGTGTTGAGTTCCATTCTTGAAGAGTCTTTGCGTCACGTGGTGTGTAATTGCCCGGGATGTAGTTATTCAGGTCGGGGGTTGAGCTTTCCACGAGATCTCTAAGACCGACTGACTCCTCCGACGTTAAATTATTCTGCTGTCCCTCCGGGACCAACGATAATCCTGGTGGCGGGTTGATGGTGCCTTTTATAGAGCGATTACTGGGGTTCACGCCAAAACTCATATCAAAAAAGCTGGTAAAATCTCTGGTATACCATGGTTCCCTGACAGAAAAGGACCGGGAATTTGTTTTCCTCGCTCCAAACGACCAGTAATTACTTTCAGATACTATCCCGTTTGATACTGCTGGAATAAGGTAGCCTAAGAGTTGCTGATAGAGCGCCAGAGTCAATTCAGTTGCAACTGTTTCCTTGCCTTCTGGCTTAGGGTATGGATACAGCCAGCCCTTCTCGGCTTCTTTGCAACCATTGCCCTCGATCCGCATCCGAATCTCGATATCACTAGTCGGTTCCAGGAAACTCTTCCACGACCCTTCCCCACCTTTTGCTTCTGTCAACTCTCTTCTTTGAGCTTCCAATGTTGGTCTCTTGAACGTTCCATCATCAAAATTACAAAAGACGAGCTCATCCTTTGTTGTCTTTCTCATACTAGTAGCCCCCACTCCTCCACGTTCTGGAGTAGGATTGATATCGGTTGTTGGCTTTTGGAGGAAGCTGTCGATTAAGGTCTCATGGAATTTGTGGATAACATCGCCATTACTCCCTGTATTACTAAGTGCTCTTAACTCTAAGCGCTCCGTGGTTTGAAGTGCCGAGCCGGGGGTGCCTCTCGCAATCGGCGCTGTTGGTTTATCATTTATAACATGACCGAGAGGATTCTTGTCCAATTGATTGATATCTGATATTAAAAGATGCATGTATTAGTAATAAAGACGGTTATCATCAACCTTTGGTACACTCACTTAAATGATCTGTAGAATTCCCCTCACCCTCGGGAGCATCCCAAAGTTGACTAATTGAGGCATCACTCAGACTAGCTCTCTTTTTCCCTAACCTTAAAGAGCCTCCAATAGACCCGTTACCAGAGTTCTGTATCGCCATTTGTAATCTATGGTGGCTATTCTCAATAAACCACTGGCTTTGTTCCTTTGACGGTAGGTCTGGGGCTTCTCCCGATGGGTTGAACGTCTTCCCATAAAATTTATCTGAAAGATTCGTAAAATTCTCCTGGAACTTGTTGTGAGAAATTTCATCAATACCCGTATTGGATAATATTGATGACAAGTGATCATTTTTCACTTGTTTCGGTTCAAATGGTCTCGCAGCAGCTCTAAGTATAGCCCCCCCATCATTCATATTCTTCATGGCAGTCATGTGAGAAAAATCGTAAATGGACGGCTCTAGGGTTTGGGCTCCAGCAGTAGATCTAGGCTCGCTAAACCACAATGGTTCTAATTTACCTCCAGTAGTGCCCTCTATTTCGTTTACAGTATCTTTGGGATTCTGACTATCTTGAAGCTCGGCCTCTTTTTCGATGCCCGAATCTCCCTGTGGATTAAAATCGGACGGGCCTGAAGTGGGAGGTGACTCGATCATTGAGGAATCTTCTGGCTCTTTGAAGTCTTTGTCTGTTTCTTTCGAAGTAAAGGTTTTTGGGAGATGGTTGCCCTTAGTTCCGTTGTAAGAATTAACATTCTCCTCGGCAGGGATTCCAACGGCTTTTGACTGACCATCATTTACGTTGTTTTCGCTTCGGCTGAATTGAGGAGTAGCATCAGAACGATGGTGCGAGATAGAGCGTTTAACGCTAGAAGCAGTGCCATGGCGACGAAATATCATGCTTTTAGGGACTTCTTGGCTCTGAGAGGATGTGGAAGTCCCAAATCCCACAGAAGAAGACATATATCTTGGCCAATCTCCACTTTGATTCTCTGCAGACGGTTCTCCAGAAGCGTTTCTGTCTGATGTTTGGTCCTCGATAATAGAGACAGGGTTACCGACGTGCCTCTGTTTTGCCGGTATCACCTTTGCAATTGAAAGTAAATCAAAGGAGGTTGTAAAAGCTACAGGGGAAATAGGATCTTCCACCCCGCCGGATGCTCCCGTATTCCCGCCTAGATTTCGCCCAAGCATGGAAGCAAAGGTAGGAGGGGTAACAGTATCAACAGATCTTGGATCCCGTTGGGTTTTTGTCTGAATTTTCGCCTGTGGTAGAGTTGGTGGACGAGGAAATCGATGAGGGTTATTCATCATGACGTCAATAGAAGGAACTATACTCGACCCTACTCGTTAAAACAGATTAGTCAAGATCTTCAAGGTTCATCACATAGCCTTCCTGTATCATCGGTTACAGAGATAGCTACATTGTAAACGTTTTAAGGGCATCAATGAGACGGGGGGAATAGAGAGAAGGAGCTTTATTTTCTCATGAGAGAGGGACTTACGGTGATATCTTCTATATGCTAGTGACACACTTTTCGTTCACTGCCTTGGGGATAGTTAACCACAAGAGATATCTACCGGCCTCTAGAGTGTGGTAGGCCTTTACAGATTCTTGGTGGGGCTTGGGGAAATGGTGATTTTTCTTCGGTGAGATTAATTGCTTAGACTTGGAAAAGGACATAGATCTTGACTTACTGGAGGCACGATTCTTGTTCAGTGATTACGGGAGTAACTAGATGAGATGACCCTGGCGATGTTAGAGTTGACGACTGATGGAATTTGTGGTTGGAGGTGAAAGTTGAGGAGGTACATGTAAGTCCAGCGAGTGGACGCTAGTACATTTTCTTGGCAACCACAACCTAGCATGTCGAGTGACGGCTCATGGATTAATTCCTCAGGGCAACGAAATCAACGACGTCATGCCATGGAGATTCTCATCTTCACGTCAAAATACACTTTTAAATGCACCATAATCCCCACTTCTCCCTCGAAATTTTCACTCTACGATAGATTTATTTTTTGACTGCGGAGAAGCCTCCCCCCCCCCCTCCCCCCCCTCCCACCCAAAGTCAACTTAAGCTTAATATGTGTATCCGCTAGAAGAATTTAAGCCTTCTGAATACCTAAATATACCAATGTATAAATTATATCTGACGATACAACTTCCTTCTTAGGGGAAGTCAGGCCCATCAAATCAGCACGTTACTCGGCTTCGAACTTCGGGAACTATTCCTACGTAACATGTACATACCTTTGGCAAGACGAGAGCTTTATGAGCTAGCTACTCGGAAATATATTGCAGAACAACGATCCAGGCCCAAACATAAACCTAGACGGTTAAGGGGGGAATAATTAATAGACGCGTTTGCGGGGGTATGGGGGACTACAGGTGTGTGTGAAAGTTTCTACTTCTGCATATTAAGCTCTCCTGGAGGACAAACCAAATCATTTTCTCCCCTCTACGTGTCTCCATGCCCCGGGAGCGCGTCGATTTACCTACAGTACCTGTATCCAACCAACTACCCGGTTTTAACAAGTGAACATAGTAAGCTTAAATCCCTCCAGCTCTAAGCTTCTTGGCAATCCCGGGATCCTGGTTATAGATCAAGGAAGGCTTTTGATACGAGTCCGGGATGATTATCCTATGGTTCGACACTTCAACTTCGGTTTTCGGTACAACTTGCACCGATTCAGGGAGGCACCCGCGAGTCCAGCCCTACTTAACCTACATTCAACGTCGAAGCCGTAAGGCTGAGTTCTAGGATTTGAAGATGTGATATCGGTTGACGGGAAATAGTAAATTTTGTTTTTCATGTTTCACGAATATTCTGGAATTATCCCGTTCGGAGAAACACATACATGTACTCTAGTTGCGCGTGTCCCGAGAAACCTGTCTCTCGGCCCGCAAGCACGAAAAGAAAAGAATGCATAAAAGGATGACCTGTGCAGCTACTCTGTGCAATGGTGCAGTACCAACCCAATCCGATAGGACGGCCGTAAATTTTGAATTTCCTCTTATCAAGGAACCCTTTTTCTAACTCTAGACCAGACCTCGAAATACATACCCTCGATGGACTCCCATATCGTTCTTCGTCTTGCTCCAGAATCTAGTTGGTCTTACCTAGCCAGTCTGTGCTGATGATGATCGGATTAGAGTACATGACGATTTTTGACTCTAGTTAAGGGGCTCATGCCTAGGTGTCGCCGAGATGCGCGGTATGTTTACCAAAATTCGAACGCAAATCCGAACGAGTAGTCCGAAGCACGTTTGTTTACTCCATGGATCCATCCATTGTCACTCCCCTAATTTCCACAAAACAGAGAAAATTGCCGAACAACATGCCCTGTCCGTGTCCCCCGGCCCTAAACTAAGGGCTGCGCGCGGAGGCAAAGAAAAGGAGGTTGATTTCCGAGACTTTAAGTTCCGTGCCTCCCTTCCAGAAGCGTTCGCCGGCACAGGAAGTGGCTTTGTAGATCAGGGTTAGGGTTGTAACGCAATTTCGGGTATGCACAAGTTATGCTATGTGACACACGTTATTGCATCTCCCGCGCCCTTCACTTACTCTGCATGGCTCTTTCAGGCCTGATCAAGGATGATAGGGAGACAGACTCCGATTGAATGTGGTAATACCCGACCCGTCACCCTCGTGTAGGCAAGATGAAGATTATCGAATTTCAAACTTTTGTTTATTTAAAATACTGTCAGGCTAGGTAAAGTGGAGACCACTGGTAGCGTTGCACAACACTCCAGAGAAATAATATGAATGCATGTAATATGTGTGTGTCTTGGACCATGGATGATGATGATGATGATGGGGGAGATACACATACGTACGCGTCCAGTTAGTCCTGTCCTAAAACACGTTTCCTACGCATCATGAGGCATCCCCAAGTCAGCTTTTAGATCTGTATTCGGGCAGGCAGACTTACAGCGATCGTAGATGTTGATAGGTCAGAGGGCGCAGAATATCACAGGTGAAAAAAGAGCTTCATGTTACACTGATACCGGTCAGTTTAAGCCCGTGCACATGATTTCATGCACCCGCGCCCGAGTCATGGATACCCCTGCAATTTTCGCTTTGGGAAAAGTGCTACCAAGCGAGCTCGGTGCATTTTGACAAACGGGAAGACTAAAAAGTGCATATCAAAACATTCGTAACCCATACTGGCGATCAGTGATGAGGCGTCTCCCCAAAACCCACATTCACAAGGCATCATGATAATCTCTAGAGAGTTCTCTAGAGCTTATTGAGCATTTCAGTGTGAAAAAATAAACTGTGAAAGTTATTATCAGGTGTTGGATGATTTTGAACGTGCCACCATCGGTCGATATTATCTCTCCACATAATTAGGATCCTCCGGTTCCACCACCTTCTCCACTCTAAAGTAACCAAGTAGTTGGATGCTGGTGCATAGGTGGAGGAGGAGGAGGGGGAGGAGAATTTCGGAGTGGTCAATAGCTTGATACCCACATCATAATAAATGCCGCCAGCCGATAAGGTCGGGTCATTCGTGAACCTTGGCTGTGAAGAGTGTGTGGATGATCTAGATGGTTGGTCGAAGGTGGTGCATTACGTTCCTTTGTTTTTCGGAGTGCCTACCTGCTCTTCGTTGTTTCTTGACCCTGCTGCCAATTTTGATTCCCAAGCACCCCTCTGTGCTCAGGCCGTGCGACGGTTTTGAACGACTCGCTCTACTGCTGCCTCGTCACCATTGGCCCCCCTTTCTTTGCATCCTACCCTTTATATACTCCGACTATCAAGCCTCTTGTTTTCCTTCTTCACTTCGTCTTCCACCATCGTCGTCCACTTCACTTCATCTTCTTCGCTCCTTCGACCTACTGCACTAGGCATTCATCCCCTCCTTTAATAACTTTAAACCCTCCTCAATCATCAAATATGTCTGCCCCTGCTACTGAAACCGTCGTTGCCGAGTCAACCGCTGCTCCTGTTGCTACCGTATGTTTCCTCCCTTATCTCAAACAGTACATAATTGTTTTGATATATCAGTTGTATTGGTAATTCTAACTCTTTTACTAGACTGAGAGCAACGAGGTCAAGCCCAAAGCGTCAGCTGAGAAGGTCAGCATCATCGAGAAGTTGTAAGTCTATTATTCCATTATCCCAAGGAATGAAGAGAAAAATGTGTTGGTCCGAGCATCAGCTAACGTGTCTCAACAAATAGTAAGAAGGCGATCATGAAGAAGCTCGGCTTAAAGTCCAAGAATGCCGCCGCTGCTCCACCTCCCGCGGACACCCCTGCGGAGTAGAAACTCGGCATGTGGCTATTCTTCGCAACTGTGTTCCCGTCGTCCGTAGCAACTGTTGATAATTCGTGGAGGATGGGAAGGAGCTTTTTCTTTTTCTTTTCAATTGTGCTTTAGTATGGGATAGGAAAGGGATCTCTTAATTTTTTTTTCCGGTGTTTTATGAGGTCGCGGAAATCTATTTAATCTTTTTTTTGCGATTAGTTCTTGTGTGTGTTGGAGATAGATGGTCGATGGTGTTTTTTTTTAGCTTCCTGTATGCGTTTTTATGCAAGCTTAGGAAGAATGAGTGTGGGTAGGGGCTACCAAATATTATCTTGTCTGGTTGCCATAAACTTTTGCGTTTCTCCAATCTGATTGTCGTGACCAGACCCTCAAAACCGTATAAAGGTGCTAGTAAACAGCGTTCCAGGGCCGTCTTTTTAAAACTTCTGGCTCATGTGTGCAGTGATGTAATCGTGTAGTGATTTAATCTTGAAAACAAACGTTTTCCCGTGTCGCGTGGGAGCACTACATGAACTTATTTCCCGCCTTCCCCTTTTGCCTTGTTCTTATCCGTCTCTCACGGATGAATACATACATCTCTCTGCACCTATTCTGTTTCCCGTGCATAGAGACCTTTTCCTGCCTAAACGCTATGCAATGGAGGTGGCTATTGAGGCTTAAAGAATGACAGCTGCATTCTTTTTTTGTCTGGTAGACAAATATGGCCCGGTTCTCTACCTCATCTTGGTGGTATGCACTCCCATTGGCAAGCATGGTACCTGCCACGCTCTCTTTCCTTTGCTATTGGGAGAGAAGATTACAGGAAACAAGGCAGCTTAATATTGTTGTGCTTCCGGCGGTTGCTTCAATACTCCTCGAAACCCTTTCCATGGCGATTCGGGTTCAAACTCATCCTATGCGTTAATGTGTGTACGCCACCAATAGCTAGATTTGATAAACGGTTTTGCGCTCTGAGACAAGCTGAATATGTTGTATTAACGGATATTATGTGACCGCCTGTCCGAATACCTGAGACAGAGGTTATATTGTGACAGATATCAAACGTATGTGATTACTTATGCCCTCTTCTAGATTATTTACCTGGATTGATTGCGCTAATCAGTGAGAAGCCTAGAACAGTCGAACCCGGAAATTGTTATCTTCAGTAAGGGTCTAAGACTTGCACTAGAAATTCAATGGCCTTTACGGGGATAGATCAAGATAAACTTTCCAAGACATACATGTATGTATGAGGCTTTGACAACCAACGAAAATGGTATGGTAGTGAAGACATGGCGTACCCTGTTACCAGATTTCCGCGAGGAATATCCTGGAACCTTCAACTGGTTACCCCGCATTCCGAAGGCTGTGTTCTGTGGAATTCCCACCCGTCATGATCGTTTCTGGTACCTTGGCTAGGGATGGTCTGATTTCTATATCCTTCACTCATGTAGGAACAAGGTAGATAAGTAATCAGTGCATCAAGTGCTCGTATCAGTTGTAAGGAAAGTTCAATCAACCGATTCCAATCTAATGGATCTATGAGTGCCGTGTTTTCCGAAGGACAAGCTTCTCATTCATGTGTTCATTACTGCATATCCTCAAGGTTAATTACTTTCTTTGACCAAAATTCTTCTTACACTTGCTCTGAAGCTTCGGATGTAGGTAACATCCGAGACATCCTTCGTTGAACTAATGTTGGGGTTATTGGTTTGAACCGGGGGGGACGGGGCGAGTTATTCCGAGTGATGATACATGAATGAGTCCGTGCTCTACCACCAATCTACATGTGGGTACATCTATGTACCTGTAAGGTCCAACAAATGTGTATCTATTGGCACATGTACCGCGTGTACGTAGGCGTTTATTAAGTTACAAATTATTAAGCTATACGCACTTCCATGGCCGTATGGCGGAACCTATACAACATCCTTCTCATAATACTGGTCAATATATAGCTCGGGCCGTCGACCGCTCTTGGCCCTGAATATCCCCGCAGCTCACTGGAAAAATACAAGAACTTATTATCACGGCACCTTCTTTTCCTAGTATGCAATAATGTCCTTGGCTCTGGGTTGTACGGCCCTGTTGCCCGAAAATTCTCTAGCTACATAATTCGTGCCAATTAGCTAAGCTAGAGATCGCCAGGAATACGATAGCGAGTACTTGAATCATATTTCGATATTTTTCTCCTTTGATTATTTCACTTTGTAGGTTTGCCAGACTAGAAAGTCAGACAGTCACTCTTTCCTGATCATAGTCGTCGATCGGTTTTCAGGGTCTAAGGGCTTAATTAGGCCCTGTCGATCTTCTGGGGGCCGGCGGTGAGTCCTTATTGTGCTGTTTGGTACTATTTCCCCGCCATAGTTTAAGGTGGTTAAGCATTTTTCCAGCATGGATTAAACCATAGATCAACGGCCAAACAGGCCATAAGAGAACATTTCTTAAGAGAACGCACTGGAAGGAAATGGTGCGTACATAACGTCAGACATGTGTCATGGAGTAGACGGTGACCTAGTCAACATCGTGCATGTGATTTGGCTATTGTGATGGGCATCGCTCATGAAGATAATTCGTTTTGTAATTATATATAATTTTAATAGTTTTGGTTGATTTCTCTTTGTAATTTGTACCTTAGTAGAGACTGAACAAGTGCGATATGAGCTGAGACAAATTACCCAGAGAACGGTACGTACGGAGTTATTGACTACGCCTCAACTTTGCATAGCAAGAACAGTAGAGTACATACGTACCCTGCAGGGAAAAAAGATATTGCGTGCTAACTGAATTAAGACAAGTAGGTAAGCCACTCAATGTGATTCCTTACCTAATTGGTGCAAACACTGTTAGGATCACAACTTATCACTACGTGACTAGCTAGTGTTTCGACGATGCCAATGCAAATCCGAAGATCGAAAGTTCGAGCCTCCTTTACTCGGAGTCCTTGTAGATGATATTCTACAATCACAAGACTGCATCAGGTGGCAGCAAGCTGAGTTTCGCCTCTTCGGGTGGTGGTGTTTATCTAGAGTGGGGTATATTGACCCAGCTAGTATAGGATGGACATGTTGTTAGAGTAGGGTACCTACAGTATTCTACCCCTTCATTCTGCCATGCGGCTACTCTAGTACTGACGCTTGGATTTCTGCAGATGGTGCTCTACCCTACTAAGCGAGCGAACAAACGGGTGGAACCGATTTGCGGGGGAAGTAGAGTAGAGAAGGGGAGAGACAAGTATGAAATCGACAACTGACCAGCGTGATTTTTAATCTATATTAATATAGCCGCAATCCTTGCTTCCTTCCTACCCAAACGGCCGGCCTCCCCAAGCTAAAGGGGAGGGTGGAATATCTGCCTAATATCATCCCATAGACCAACCGAGAACGTCCCGGGGTTCTTTGACAAGCGAGGAAAGGAGAAAAACGGGTTCACACGCGGCGGTTTCTATGAGGCGAGGAGAAAAGGTTTTGTTTGGTAAATTTGACTTCATTAATCGCCAATACTAATTACTTTATATTTGAACAGATTACGCCCTCGAAACGAATAAGATGACTCCAAATCAAACTGCGCCGCTGCCCGAACCAAAAAAGAATCGCCCAATAAACAAAACGACCAATCAAAGCTGGTAGTGTTATAAACCAGCGTTGTAAATTTGACCATATAACACTCGCTCACTACACTCAATCAATGGGACCATATTTGAGCCATCGGACACTATCAAAGTTTTGTTAGTTGGTGGAAAATCTAGGATGGTCTGATATTCGGATTCTTACAATTTCTTCATAGGTGTCCGTTTAACCTCCTCGGGTTCTGGCACTGGATGGTGCGTGAACTAAAGCTCAGTTAGCTATTATATTGACGCTAATGGAATCAATTCCAACACATGGAAACATACGTGAAGGCCAGGGGGTGTTGAGCCAGGAGGAGGTGATGCGCCAGAAGGTGCTGAAGCATTGGACCCTACGCTCCCAACTTGACTGATCGGCGGATCATTGTTCTTCCGTGCTTCTGACCTGTACTCTCGATCGGACATCGTGTAATAACAATTATTATTATAGGAGTAGGTGGGTACACGGCGAGTGATTCTGAGCGCGGCGTTGGAGAGAGGCGGGGGGGAGAGAGAGAGAGAAGTAATCAGCTTCAGCCAAGTATATAGTGGAGTACAGGTAAATTAGAGAAGAGGATGGGGATTATATTATATAGCTGAAGGTGATGGTTGATGGTGCTGAGTTGGGTTATATAGCCCACCATATACAGGCGGCGAACACGGCATATCTCAGTAGCTTCATATTCTGCATGTCTCAAAAGAACCCGACAACCAACAAAATCGCGTGTGTGGAGAAATGGCGGGGTAGGACGAGCGAGCGAGGACCCAGGATTGTCTTTTCTTCTGGGGTAGACAAAAGGGGAAGTCAATCTACTACCTTGGATGCGGCACCAGGTAGTAGGATAGTATGCGCCATAGGTGCAATAGCACCGCTCGATGTCAGGTATGCATGTGGACCCACTCATACACTAGGAAGGTTTTTTAGAAGCTGGTTACCTACCCTACATCTTCTCGGTGCCATCCGTACAGTGCAGCAAGGTACAGGCTGACAGGGCCCTTGTTAGTCCTCGCCATCGGAACCTCTGAGATTCAGAGTGTTTTTTACTTGTGCAAATTCTCAAACCCCCATCCCAAAAAATTGTTGCCATCCCGTGTAATGCTATGAGGTCCTCCTGGAAAAGTGTTATATCAGTTGAGCAGCTAGAATAACACACAATCCCTGTAACTAGAAGATCCATGTGCGAGCTATGTACACTGACTATCATTTCATCCATAGTGCAGTCTTCCACGTGCAATAAATCATAAAGTAGTTCAAACCTGGAACACCCCCCTCTCAGTGCCGAGGAATAACACTGCAGATAAGTACATTGCTCATGTACTTATGTACATATATGTACTTTAGAGTACTTTATCTATCTACATGTAGAAGTACATGTAAGTACTCACATGTAGGTACTCTATCTTCATAACACGGCTCGGAGTTTGTTGGTGGAGGAGGTCGAGATCGAAAGCGATGAGGCACCGCACGATCAATATTAGTTAGGAGCCACACATCTTCCGAAAACGAAGGGTTAGAGTAGGTACTGACGCCTTCATTGCGCCGAGAGGTTTCACGCATAGGGAGCCTGGAACTTTGACATTGAGAGGTTGGTGCATGTAGGACATCTGGGGTTCAATTTGCTAGCTCATAACAGATAAAGCGATAGATACTAGCCCGCCCACAAAATCTTTGATCGAGGTCGCTTAGGCCAAACGTTGAATGAGGTGTAACACTGTCTCTCGTTTAGAGTTACATGTAGCTACAAGCATTTATGTACTCCACACTGCGTATTACTAGCACACGCGGGTGGAGGAAAGGCGATGCTCAAGAATCGAATCCATCGAGCTCAGTGGGGATTGACAGATTCCCCAGATACGGAGAGAACGGAACTCCGCTACTTCATTCATGCACAGCGAAAATCGGTACTAATTTCACCCAGTACGGATCTGTTTCCGTGGCAGCCTACAATACCGCTATTTGAATATAAAAGCTCCGAGTACGCGTCCCTGATCCATATGGCTGATCCGAAACAGTTCAATGATGCAAATGCAGACCACCAGCAACGGTAACCTCGATCGGCACAGGCAGACCCCAGGTTTAGTATTCGAATAGCCGATGTGATACATATCATAGTTGAACGGGGGCGGGGGTATTTGAATAGTAATCTAATGATGCAGCCGTTTGAGCTATGAAAAGCTATCGATTCTCGACATGTACATATCTACTTTGGTATATGCAGTTCTCCCTTCTTGCCGTGGCTTCATCAATAAAAGGTCATAGCTATGTACGTAGTACAGATTATCAGCTGCTAGTAATCAAAAATGGAGGTCACGGGGATTATGGTGATTATACATATCTTTTGGTTTTTTGCGTGTGGACGTGAGTACTTACCGCAGGCTCTCGATCCCGCCCCTCTCATCTCTATTATGCAAGGAGAGATATTAGTCGGTGTTGGAATCCCTCAAGTCTAGTTCTCGGGTGAGAACGATATGTAACACTGCCGGGGCCGGAGTAATCACTCTTTCTTAGAGTATAGGAGTCCAGATAGCTCTAAGTACATGTACGTACATGTATGAAAGAGATTGGCACCCCTACATACATAAATGCAGTGCCCTTTTTCTAAACAAAGCAACTATGATGTCTGTAGTCTTGTACTCGGGTCATATCTGGTAAGTACATGTAGATATCGAAGCTGTGGTGTTATAATTATATTACCAGAGGTATGTATCAAGAATTAGCAAAAAATACAATATCGCAGCTAAAACGAACCTCTCGAGAGGGGTGACACAGCCGGGCGGAGGGCTGCTCAGAGATAGATTATATCTCTGCGTTGCTCAGGTAACAGAGACTCTCGATGATAACCAGCTCTGTTTAGATCGTCCTACTATCACAAGTGTAGTCATTTTTAAAAGCATTAGTAATTTCAGTGACACCTAATACCTAGGCCTCTTCTCCAGAAGGTATACAAACGTATTCCAAAACCACAAGGAATATCTTTGAATAAAAAAAAATAGCAGTCGTTCTATATAATCTATATTCGCTTTTTCTAGGCCAGGTATGGTGGTGATACAGGGGTGTCGCTGTAACTGTGCGGGTTGTAGTCGGGGAAATAGTTTTTAAAATCCCCCAAATCATGATCCTACACTATAGCTAGCAGTACTCACAACTACTAGTATAAACAGGAAAAAGAACTCTAGATCACATTTAGTCCATACCAAACTTTGTTTAATCCCAACAAACCAGCTCGGGCCATAATCCAAACGAACCCTTAACTACGAGATATCAATGGGTGTTTATAATGAATCACCAACAGTTTTGCGCCTGTAGAAAATCTCACATGGAAAGTAAGCTCCTTGCCCTGTCTCAGGACTAACTAGCAGGGTTTCGATCCTGGTATGTAAAGGTTTTAGGGGTATCCCTATAAACTGGCCATCCGCTCTTTAACTTGTAGATAAGAAAAGATGGCGAGTTGAAGATATGATCCCCTGCCGGAAGGTCTCCGAGGGTTATCGCGCCATTCCTGTTGCTCTGCAGTCCTCCACGGCTGAGTGATCAAAGTTTTCTGATAGAGAACTACCCCCCCCCCCCCCCCCCCCAAAACCCTGATTTGGGATACACATACATATATACATACATACATACATACATGTGCCAATAGTGGATGTGGGTCGGCGAAATATCCCGGGGATATAGTAAACACGCGAGATAGAAACCGTTTCCAAAAAAAGGACGTTTGGGTTGTCCCCAAGGTACTTTTTAGAGATATCGTACTGTATGCCCAATAGGCTGATATCATGATATGACGATTGGCCGGAAAGATGAACATGTCACCTTTATATTTGTGACTAATATTTGGATTTCACTGAGATTACGATGTGTGGATCTTAGTGGATAAATAGGGCTGCATCTTTTTCTGATAATTGCAAATATGCAGTGTATCCAAGACTTCGCTAATTTTTATGGCCTCTCGTGTCAGTTCTATTCCTAACAAACGTCTAGTCACGGGAGTTGCATGTACGTACCTAAATAGGTTGTGTACATAAGAGTATGTAGAAACTAAAATCAGTTAGCTAAATCTTGGAAATTTGACAGTTCGCTACAAGCATTGCCGGTCCTTCCAGCTACATACAGCCGATCCATCACGAAGATCTTGAAAGGCCAGGGGTTGATACCTTAACGAGACTAGTTTTGTAGACGGTTCTTTGTGACAACTGCAACAAACGTTAAACAGAAGCGATCACTTCTGCCTTTTCTTTCTAGTAAAAAATAGCGGGTACGATCAGTAGGACGAGTAAGCCAGCTGTAGTTGCGCCGGCTCAGCCGATGTATTGTGCATTCTTCATTCAGTAAGCGCTTTCATATATAGGCGCTCCTCTCCTTGCATAGGTTGCTGGCAAGGATATTCTAGGCAATGCCTGGACATATGCACCTCTCCTCCCTCTCCTTAGTGTGTGTCATGGGTGATCACTCGGTCAAATATTCGTCTAGGTACGTGCATAGCAGCCAGTCAACTGCGCCTTCAACGGATCTATGCCCCGGTTTAGGAACATTTTTGTGAGTAATTTTTCCAAAAAAAAAGAAACTAACTGTATCAATAAGTATCAGCTACAGTTTTCTCCCAAACACACTATATTCGAGCTCAATACCGTACCGACAGCCCTGTTGGGGTTCCACAAGCATTGTAGTCGAGAAATTTCCGTAGAATGCTAATGACTAGCATGTATGTACCTCGATCCTCCTATCGCACACAAAACATGAAACAAAAGACCCGTCAAGCCTACACCTCCATGGGATACCCCGCCGAGATCGCTGGCACGGGGATTGTTCTTGTTGGGTTGGGAGGCCAGGAAACTTATTGCCGTATTGTCCAGGAGGGTGGCACTCTCCACTTGGTGATATCTCCAGTCAGGATATCACAATGTGTGACCGAGTACTGGACGCGATCAGCACCATAGATATGACATGTCCAATTGCTAGCCCAATATTCGGCAAAGTCTCAACTATCACTTTTGAATTTCAGCGGTGTGCGTGACAGATTTGTAAGGTGGTACTCCTTCTGTTTTATTTTCGGAACTTGCCGGACGTTTTTTGTAGTTGGGGTGAAGGATGCATCATGGGGAATGTAGTAAAGACTGGGGAGGCAGAAAATCAAGAAAGCTTCAACAAGTAACTGGTCCGATGAAGATAATTTAGGTGTTTGATCGTAATTAATGATAGATTCGAAATGACTTGCGGGGTGAGAATGGATGGCTTTACGGATTATAAATGCAATATTGGCAAGAACCATGAGTTCCCAACTGTAATCTTAGAGTACATGTAGCTACAATACGGGAAACCCGGGTGTGATTAGAGCCGTACAAGTTTTGCAGGTTTAAAAGTGACGTAGTAAAACCATAGTAACAAAGACACCGACTTTTCAAAGAAATATTTTTCTATAGAAGCACTTTTTTTAACATATAGTAGAGAACTGGTGTTCTTCAAAAAGGGTCATTTTGGTCACAAGCTGCTTTTTAGAAAAAAGCGGGGTTTAAAAAAAGCCATACCAGCACGCCTTTAATATACCATTAAAATACCAAAATATTCAAAAGCATAGTAGGTGTCTGGAAACTAGCAGGTCTCCGATATATAATTGAAAACTAATACAAGTAGTAGGTGTTCTGAAGATTCCTCTTGTACATGTGTATGTTGAGATTGAAATCAACTTCAAGATAGAATTACAATTTGGCAATTACATCGAGGGGTTGCGGGATGAGTCCACATGTATGTACAGTATCTGGTAAAATTATTGCGAAAGTGGGTTCTCCGTGACCCGATAGTCCTATTGGCCCTTAAAAGGTTTTTTGCTGCGAGCACAGACTAACAAATCTACTCTTTTAGCTCTGACTTTTGCAATAATTCTACCGGATACTGTATATACATGTAGGAGAGTTGTGAGTATAGCATGTATCATGTAGGTCTAGCCTAGTGCCATACCCTGATACTTGCGCAGTCACAGAACTCAATTGTGTGACCAGCTAGGCTGAGCTAGCTAGCAGTATTGGTACGGCTTTTTTGAGCATACTGTTCTTTTGGGATAGCGTATTTGCATGAAATAACCTTTGTTTGCAATTATAGTATTCATATGAATACCAAATTAACCCGAGCCGAATGAGCAAGCTTAATGCTCATAAAAGCCACATCACTACAAGACTACTACTACTCTAATCACACCCCATTTTCCGCCATTGTAGGTATGCAGGTATACAAATACACCTCGATGCCACGCATGAAGCTGCTTCCTTAGATCGGATCAACTTCACTATCACACTCTGTCAAACTTCACCTTCTCTGTTGAACGCTCTTTAAAATCTCCGCTCATTCCCCCCAACCATAAACGAAAATGTTTCAAATCTAGATTCAATACATGTAATCTGTACTCATCAACCCTAATATAGGCCCGAGTATTGATTAATTACCGTAACCTTTACACGTACATTGCAAGTCGGCTACAGGGAACAACCATCAAGATGGATTAGGAGTACAACCTGACCATGAGCGCTCTATCGCCCATCATATAAACAGATAAATACCCTCCATTATAGCTCCCTAACAAAAACTAGGCTTTAATCAAAATTTCGCAAGATACTACAGCAAGTCCCCAAAGATAAGCAAACCAGTTTTGTTTTTCCCAAGGTATTGTCCAGCAGCCTTGGTTATCTGGTTAAATGGGCCAATCTACTACCTACGACGTAACGGCTAAATTTTAAGCAAACAGAACATCTGGGCATATGAAGCTCACAAAATTGCGGATACGCGTTTCCTTTATTATGGAGTTGGCGTTGAACAAACAAACTCAATTGACTGGAATGATCAAACTCCCGAGCACGTCATCAGCAAGTAATAGCAGGATACTGAACTACACTTTCAGAGCCTAGAATATAGTATAAATGCTATAGTACGGCCTGGTAATTATATACTCAATGAAAGACATTGGATGATGACCGAGTGATCGAGTGATCGATGGTGATCGTGAAGTTTCAATGGCTTGTTATTATTGATTAATAAAGGCTAGATCCAGTAGAGCTTATATCATTAAAAAATAGACGACCTAAACATATCGATAGACTCCCCTTGCCGTTTAAGTTTAGACGGTGAAACAAGCTTATCCCTACAACGTGTATAATTACTTACATATGTATTATGGGTTGTCAAAAATAATGGGACGCAACAGGCTTCATTGCAACGTAATAATCTCTCAACCACGACCGACCACAAAGAGACCACAAACAGGATAAGTGATAATAAGAACTACTGGAGTCCCAAAATGTATTTTCGTTAGTATTGTCGTTCGTTGGTGGCGGGGTTGGGTTGTCGTTGCTGTATTCGTTGCCCCGTTGCGTCCCATCATTTTTGACAACCCGTAATACTTCCCGTCTAATATTTCCATTAATTCTGGGAGGATCCAACTTTGGGTCATCAAGAGCTTTAGAAACAAAGAAAACCCACCGAAACAACTATTGTAAATGCTTAAACATTTATGATGAATTGTGTAGTTCTATGTCTGTGAAAGTTCACGGCTAGCGTTCAAGCCCTGGAGATGCCTTGGGAAACCAAAAGGCGTAACCACAGGTTCCAAGCCGAAGTTTAAGTTATAAAGCGGGTTAGGTTGGGAACTTTCGCTTTTGGATGCGAGCACTAGTAACTACATATTTCTTGTCCCCTCTAGGCTCCTCCGTGTGGGTAGTGTAAAATGCGTTAGAAAGGGGTATCTATACCTTTACTATATATTTTTAATCCGTATTAATACATGGATATTCTCTCATATTACAACGAACAGTTCTACAGAGTTTCTATACGTAAATTCGTAAATTCTCACTTCAATATTTCCCCGAGTGATATATCATGATTTGAATTCCCTTTAATCCTTCTGCTCATGGATCATACAAGTCAACAACTTAAGGCGTGAAAAGACAACTTCATTCTATTTCGCACAAAACAGGTAGGGTAAATACGCAGGACCATAAAATAAAATCAAGAACTGGGGGGAATATTCAACAATTGTACAATACACTCGATACACACTCAACACTCCAAACCCTCTTAAGACAACATTATAAACGTATATGTGAAGATAGGTAGAGAAATAAAAGAATCTCACGGGCTCAATATTTAGTATGTGTTGATCTCATGGAGACTAGGAAGGGGGGGGGGATAGATTTATACGAACCAGACGAAAAAACCAAAGGGGGAAAACGTGACAATATTTGACACGTGAATAAGCGCATAATTGAATCAAAGGGAGAGATGAGACGCGGAGAGATAGGTGGGTGGGAGATAACAAACAAAAATAGGAATAGAAAAAGGTAATTTCCAATAAAAAAGATCTTTCGAAAAGAAATCGAAACAAAAAAAGATCTCCGCTCAACACCAACAAACAAAAACTAAGGTATTTCCCAATAACAATAACTAACATATAGTTAGCCCAATCAAAAAAGCTATAAGATCCCTCCCCATTCTCCTTCCAGCGGCTAATCACAATCATTATCCAGCCAGTGAATGTAAACTAAACAGTAAATCATCACAATCACAAAAGGAAAAAAAAGAAATTACATCATTACTTATATAACGCCTCCGCTAGCTCCCTGACCCTGGCTCCTAATCGGACTCCTGCTGTCCCCTGACCTACTATCACTCCTCATCGCCGCCTCGGTCTCCTCCTGATGCAACTTCTGTCGCCACTGTGCGAGACTGCTGCTCAACTCACCACCCTCTGTGCTTGTTGGCGTCTTCTCGAAATCAAAGGTACTACTAAGTCTATAATTTTTGTTGGTGTTTTCCCAGTGTGTCCTCAATGCATCAAGCTCGGTAGCCAGACTGTCCAACGCAACGCTATTACGCCCGTCTGGAGCGCCGCCATAGAAGCTGCTGTGGGTAGATTGGGGTTCACCGCCACCGAGACCATTCGGACCGGTAAGTGTGCTGCGACGGTACGCATCGACTGAATCTTCGACACGGTCGAGAAGGAACGACACGCGCTCCTCTGCGTCTTGCGCTCTGCGCTCTAGGAGAGAATTCTCGTTCTCAAGTCTATCGAGCTGAATTCTGGTCTCAGATAGCTGTTGCGAGAGGTCCATAAGCTGTACTTTCATCTGGTTATTCATGAGATTGGTCTCATTCATAGAGTCCAGTTGTGCCTTGGTCTCGCGGATTTGCTTATCGAGTGCGGTTGCTGACTCTCGGACTTTGCCACGAAGATCGTCAATCTCCTTATTGAGAAGTTCCCTTTCGTGCTCCCACTCAGTGTTAATTTCCCTAGATCCATGCCGGGAGTGATCGGGGCCCTTCCGCTGGAACTCTTCGAGCTCGAGTTGAAGACGTGCATTTTGAGCTTTGTTCTTGGCTAGCTCATCCTTCATGCGTTTGAGTAACTTTTCGGTACCCTTGACATAGTGGACAGCCGACTGGTAGTCATTCTCGAGCTGCTCGAGCTTCTCGCGGAAGTGTTTCTCGACTTCCTGGGCCTGCATTTCCGCCGTTGATTTTGTCTCACGGTGCGCACGGAGGCTTTCTTCAAGTCTGAGTTCCAATTCTCGCAGGCGGTTCTGTTCAGGTGTAGCGGAGCCTGATTGGGGGCTGGGGCTGAGGATGGCAGATCGTCGCTTCTCGAAGCCAACTTGAGTAGAGCGTTCCGCAAGAATGTCCTTAAGCGCAGCATGCTTGGCTGAAATCGAATCGACTTCAAGCTGCCTTTCAACCAATCTCGCCTGGATTTCTGCATTCTCCTGTTTAAGTTTCCTAACTTCGTCAAGGGATTCTGCCATTCGCCTTCTAAGGGCGATGGCATCCTTGCTAGCCTGGCCCTGTTGAAATTCCAGACCAGCAACCCTCTGCATAGCTTGGGCAAGCTTTTCACCGGTGTCGTCGGCTTGATCTTTACTTTTCTTGAGAAGAGATTTCGCAGATTCAACCTGTTCTTGTAAAGCCTTTACTCTTTCATCTGTGAGTGCAGTATTGGTCATGATTTCCCTATCCGCAACTTTCCGTAATCCTGCTGCCAAAGCTGCGTTAGCTGCCCGAGCCTCCTCCGCGTATTTCTCCATCAGCTCCTCCACATCTCTTAGTCTAGTATTGGCATTTTCTAGATCTGCTGCCTTCTCCTCATATTCACTCTTGACCTGCGCCAGCTTTCTCTCAAGCCCTTCCTTAACAAGTCTTTCCTCCTCCAACTGCCTTGATAACGTCGCGGTCCTACTTGCTGTCGCCTCCATTGCGTTCCGCATCTCGTCCATGGAGTTGTGATAGTTATTGTTGTCCTCCAAAGCTTCTTGGAGCTTCATTGAGAGTTCATCTTGGTCAATCCTTAACAATTTGGCATCGGCGGTCGCATCAGCTCCTGCAGCAGCCTCGTCTCGGAATGCTCGTTCGGCATCTAATAATTCAGCCCGAAGACTCTCCATCTCTGAAGCAGCGCGATTGCGGAAATCATCCAACTCAGAAACACGACTTTGTGCAACCCCAGCGGTCTCATCAGCCAAATGGCGGGCTTTCCTTTCAGCTGAAATTTCAGCCTTTAAAACTTCGACCTTTGCACTCAACTCTGCTTGAGCTGCCAGTGATGCAGCTAACTTCCGGCTCATATCTGTCATTTTCTCCGCGTCCATATTGGCCATATCTGCAGATCGATCGCCTGGTGTAGGGGTTGAATTACCGCCCAATGCTGCCAATTTTGCCTTAGCATAAACTGCTTCCTGTACAGCAACATCGCGCTGCCGTTCTACCTCTTGTATCTTCCTTGCAGCCTGGGCAGCTTGCTCATCAACCGAGCCCTGAACCTTCTGAAGTTCACCCTTGAGTATTAACATAGCCTCAACGAACGGCCGTTCCTCTTCAAGCAGCGAATCGGCACCCCGCTCTTCTAAAATAGCATTGTTGCCTGTTTGAATTGTGTAACCCGCCCGCCTCGCCAAAGCTAGCTCTGAAGCATACCATTCGTTCATATGCTTCAATTTTTGGAACTCCCTCAACATGTCTCCTTCGCCTGAACTACTTCCCTTGCTCCCCCGGGACCTCTGCTCTTTTGGTTGCTCTTTCGGTTTTTCCTGGATAGGAGTCGCATCTTGAGGTCGCATTGTTGGCTCCGAACTAATGAGGCCGGCATTTGGTGTTTGGCCATTTGTGAGTCCCTTTGGTTGTACCATTGAATTGATTGGTTGGGTCGTTGCCGATGAAGTGGGTGAATGATTGCTGTCTGTAGTGGCATTTGAGTTAGGATTAGGACCCTGCTGTCTAGATCCAGAGCGCTCCCTGCCTGCAACAGCAATATCTTGACCAGAAGCTTTCCTTTGGGCGGTGGGATTCCTCGTCCCGTTAGCTGCCGTTGGTGAAGGTCGTTCCTGGACCGGTGAGGTAACATCCCTCGTCTTCGGCAATGTTCCACTTCCGGTTGGTGTTCTACTCCTCTGTCCAGGTAGAGCAGATCCGTTTGTTCGAGGCGGAGGCGCTTGTTGATTTGGTGGAGGGCCGGCCGGTGTTCCCTGAGCAACCCTAGGGAGTCGAGAAGTTACACTTCCCCCAGAGGTATTGTTACTAGTTAATGGGTTTGGGCCGTTTGGAGGGGTTGACTGAGTTGGGCCCGCCGTCACACTTTCCCTAGTCCCCGTTCCCCCAAGCTTTCTTGACGTTTGGGCCCCAGGGCTGTCAACTGATCCGTTCCTAGCACCAGCTCCTTGCAACCGCTTGTTTTCATTGCTTCCTGTAGGACTGGTAGATGATTGGTTCTGATGGTCATTGGGGTATCTGATCTTTGCGGTATCAAGAATATATATCAATTGCAACTCCTCTTGATTCCTAGTTGGCACACTAGGCTCTCCACCAAGAACAATAATTTTCTGTCCACAGGTAGTCATCGAGTGCCCCGATCGCCTTGAAGGCGATGGTCCCATATTTTGGAACGTGTACCACCTCCTAGAAGATATCCGGAACGCTGCCAAGTCGCCCAGGTCATCGCCCTCTGATGTCCGTCCTCCGAAAATATACATAACGTCACCAACTAGCGATGCAGCATGCCCCTCTCGCGGTGAGGGTATATACCCGATACAGTCTAGCTGTGTCCACTGGTTCGTTTGCGGATCATATGACCAGACATCGTTGAACCAGACTAGACCGTTCGTACCTCCAAATCTGCAATGTTCCTCTTATTAGTTCATTGAATATGCGCAGGATTATGATGATGGATTAGGCTCAGCATACAGGTAAAGTTTGTCCATCCAAGTGACTACGGTGTGATTGGTTCTGCTTGCAGGGACATCCTGATTTTTTTCATTTGCTGAAATTAACTCCTCCCATCTTGCATTGTTGCTTTGAAGGGTATTTAGATCAAATGCGACCAGGTCGTTGAAGAAGAAGCCATCTACTTGTCCTCCGAAGATGTACAATTTCGAACCCAGGATATTTATTGTATGGCCGTATCTTCCGGCAGGCCGAGGTCCATGAGTATTGGCACGGGACCATTGACGAGTAGCTGGCGAATTAGGGTCAATAATTAAAACATGTAAAGGTTGGGAGTGGGGTCTCACATGTATTTAAAAGGTATAGAGTCTCATCAAGAACATCCGCAGGGTCCAATTTTGTGTCACCACCAAAAACTTTCCCCACATTAGCGAGTTTCTCTTATTTGTAGGTGAGAATAAACGAACCGATGAACGCATTTCCCACTAGTAAACTCGCATGACCAACTCTTGGCCCAGGCCCTTCACTGGTGGTAACAACCGGGTAAGCCGCCAACTGACTTCCTCCCCCTTCAATCATCCATAAATCGCCCCGGACTGTCTGTGAGCGAATCAATCCTCCCATAATATAGACATCGCCGTCCTTCCCCGCAACCCCATTTGCGGCGTGACCGTACCGGGGGAAGGGCGAAGGGTGTGAAGATGAGAGTGTTAGTCGCCGTTGCGACCAAGGGTAGAGCGCTGAGTTGGCGGGATTGACTTGAGACGGTGGAGCCTGAGACTTCTAAAAATCAGTTTAGAGGGCAAGCTCCCGATAAAGTTATCGGGATACAGTGAAGAGAGCCCGGGATAGAATAAGCCATACCTGTACCGGCGCAGCCCCTTGTTGCTGCTGTGAGCTAGTCATACCAATGTCCTTTCCGGACATTTGTTGCAGCGGGCCCATTGATCGTGGTACCGAGTTCATAGGAGAAGAATTATTCGGGGGGCTTGCAGCCGCGGGCCGCTGATCCTGTTGAGATACTGGAGTCGCGCCTGAACCGTTGAGACTGTTTAGAGTGCCGACTGAGCTTGAAGGTGTCTGTCCTGACGTACCAGATCCTGTTGTTGCTGTAGGGCCTGGGGGTGTTCCTTCACGATGACCATGCGCCCCCTTCTTCTTTCCGAAAAGAAATGCCATGGTCTAGTAGTGCTAGGAGCGTGATTGGTGTTCCCGCGCTCCAGCTCTGTCCGGCGTTGCGGGAGAGAGCAGCGAGCGAGCGGTGATGATGCAGAATATTGAGGGTTTTCGTGTTGTAAATGAAGTAGCGCGTGTATGTGTATTATTTGGGGTGGTGAGAAGGTTTTAGAGTGAGTGAGCGATCCAGTCCCCTGTTCAATCCTTCTTGTTTTCTTTTTTCTCGTTGGCTCAGCTCGTGTTCGTTCGTTCAGGCTACTCAGTGGCCCGAATAAAATCAGATCTGGATTATGGGTCGATTATAGATCTTAGGGTGGTATCCCAGTGGTCAGTGGATGTGGAGGTGGGTGGTAGGTGGTGGTGTTCAGGGTGGTTGTGGTGGCGGGTGCAGTAATGGGGGTGCAGAAGCAGTGTTAGGTGCAGGAAGGTCTCTCCCGTAGAATCCAAAAGGGACAAATTCGTCTTCAGGCGTACATAGAATAAAATTCGAAGTTACAATTTCCTCTTCTCCCTTCCCTTCTTTTTCTTTTTCTGTTTTTCCTTTCAGTGAGGACTAGTTATTCTTTGAATGGGGGAAAAGGACACACGGACCGTATGGGACGTTCCGGTCGAGGACAAAAATTGAATGGGATATTACTACTTATGTAGGGGTATCTTTAATCGTCTGGGTCATGAAGGAAAGGAGGGTTGAGGGGAGATGGGACGGGTTTGAGAAACGAGACAACCACAGCAGTAGAAAAGAAGAAAAAAGAAAGAGAGGAAAGAGATGGCGATAGATATTGCGGCGTACAGGGAAAGAAACAATCCCAAAAAAGACACAGTAGCACAGGAAACACCCCAGTTTTTGTCTCGTGAGGAAAGAGGGTGCGTGAGATCTCGAGAAGGAACTAAAGAGCAGATCTTGTCGGCTTTGTTGTAGAGGGAGAATTGATATTAATTGTTTACCTTTTGTTTTGTCCCTTCTCTCAGAGCGATCCTTCAAGATATGATGGTGGACATTTTTGGTCTAATTCGCCGTTTTGATCCTTTCCCTTCTTGATACCCCCCAGTCCCTTTGTGCCTTCGTCGTTTCAGTTGGGACCTCACAGGTACCGGGGTATGTGTATCTACACTTTGATGTTCACAGAGAAAAGGGGTTGATGGGTTGGTTTCCCTCCTAATGCTCATCCGCCCCCTGCAAACACGCATCACCCTGTAATCGAACGAACAGGTGTTCACCGACTACATAGGCGAGCAAGAAACATTTAAAGCGACGTCACATTCGAATTCGTTCACTCTTCCAGAGTTCTTCGCTGCGCGTGAATGTTGGTGCAGGTATGTAGGCACCTGTACCTAGAGGTACCTTAGACATTGTGGTCACTGGCGCTGCCGCTGTGAGAAATACCTACATGGCCGAGCCTCCATCCGATGATCTCTGGGGAACCGCCGCCTATGTATGTGTCTAGTCTAGGTATCGGCAGTCACCTCGTATCTGCCACCTACATGTACGTACATGTAGGTACGACACTGGTACTCCCTAGGTACATGTATTTAAAGAAGACTACGGAGCCCAGGTACCTGGCGAGAGAAATATCACCATAAATACAGCGGCTGACATCAGCCATAAGTGTCAATGATATTCGTTCACCGGCCTCGACTGCATTAATTGTCGTTGATGGCAAAGGGATAAGCGGCACTCTCTCACTTGCAGAATAAAGCCTAAGGCTTTATTCTAGATCTAAATTCCTCACTACCTTGAAGTATTCTTGGGAAGAAAGCATTCCCTCCTAGACGATCTTTCCCAGTATGGGGTATTTTGAACTCGTATCACAACTAACGTACCCAGAGTACCTGTAGTTAGCCCTCGTACTTACATGTACATTTAATTGCCTTAGACCTAGATAAATATTCATTTATGAAAGAAGACCTCAGTACCTTTATTGAACGTCAAGATTCCAAGAATTTGCTTCCCAACACAAAACAGTCCGGGCACGAGACTAGATGCTCGAAGTGTTGAGTTACTGTATTCATAACCCTCGGCAGAGAAGAGAGCGTGACGACTGATTGCCGATAACCAGTACTATCGATCGATGTTGAGTAAACAATCTATCTGACATTTACGGCGAAGCACCGGTTCCCAAAATAGCCTGAAAGTAGGTAATCTAGAGAGTAGAGTGGATGAGATGGGGCTCAAGGAAGGACCGCGTGGAAGTAGAAGTTCGTTCGTCTCCCTTTTCATCGGTACGAACCGCCGTCATTTCCGTTGTTTATCTGTAACTGGGGTCCTAGGCGCATTGATCACTCAATGTCATTCGGTCCCACGAGGGAAGGAAGAAAGAGTGATTGATCATGGTGCCGTTTTTGTGCGATTGGTTAGTGATGAAGAGAGAAGCGCACTATGAGGATGGACTTGCTATCTACACGTAGCAGGATAATAATCTCAATGGCATGTGCATCGGTATTTAAAGCATTGAGCGAGCGGAAGAATTCGAAGCTTACAGCGATTCACAGGTATTTGGCGAATACACCCATTTGGAGAATTTGTATGTAGCAACCAGCCAGCAACCAGTAAAACTTCGAGTTTGACCAAGATATCTTGATTCTTATTGGCCTTAATCCCTGTTCGCCAAATGGGTGTATTCGCCAAATGACTGTGAATCGCTGTACTCATGATCCAAGGGAAGACTGGTCCATAGAGCTGGGGGAGGTAGTAAATACCGACCGCGAGATTAAATAATAAATAAATATTTACCGATGCCGATCTAGGCTTTCGGAATGGATATACCCCTACAAAAACAAATCCTCGCTCTCTAGATATCTAGTTGTAGTTGCGACATTTCTCTGCGGCTCTTACGAAGATTGGCTAGAGACGAAGGGATAAGCGCACGTTAGAGCTTAGCGCGAAAAATGAAAAAATTGCCCACCTCTTTTTCTGAGGGGAACAACCCCCACCAACATTACCTCAACCCCTCCAAGTATCATCACTACCATTACAACTACCACTACCCCCCCGCAATCTACCCATTATACGAGGCCCTCTCGTCGAAGATTAGCTGTAATCCTTTGAATTGCGTTTAGACACTCCAACTAGTTCGTTATTCGTCATGTCCGCACCAACTTCTCCTCCTCCGGAGAGCACCGAGGTCGACTCAAAGACCGTCATTGGTATCGCCTTCGGAAACACAACAAGTTCGATAGCATACACCACTCCAGTTCGTTAAGACTCTGACTTTGATATATGTATCGAGAATTTTAATTCTAATGAGTGCATGTGCATATAGGACGGAAAGGCTGAGGTTATTGCAAACGAAGAAGGAGGTATGTTCTTATTTTTATTGCTTCTGTATCAACGGATATGCATATAATGGGATAGATGAATTGGTGCTGATTAGAGGGGGAGTTTAGATAGGCAGATTCCATCAGTGTTGTCTTACGTCGGATCGGAAGAATATCACGGTACACAGGCAAAGTCACATTTGGTCAGGAACGCAAATAACACTGTCGCTTACTTCCGGGATTTTCTGGGAAAGAGGTAATATTATAGCCATCGATTTGAAGGTTTTAATCCGCCCTTGTAGCATCAAATCATACTGATGCTGTTTTCTCAAGCTTCGCCGATATCGACCCCACGAATAGCCACAACTCGGCACATCCTGCGGACATTGATGGAACCCCATCTTTCAATCTTCAACAGAGCGACGATGAGACTACCACAGCTGTCAGCGTTTCTGAGGTTGCTAGACGCCACCTCGTTCGCCTAAAGGACTCTGCATCGGACTTCCTTGGATCTAAGGTCACTGGCTGCGTTATCACTGTTCCCACTGATTTCTCCGAGGCCCAACGGGAAGCACTCATTGCTGCTGCTAAGGCTGCAGAGCTAGAGGTATTGCAAATCATCCACGAGCCAGTTGCTGCTTGCCTTGCATATGATGCTAGGAACAATGAAGTCCCAACCGACAAGACGATTTTGGTTGTAGACCTTGGTGGTACCCGATGTGATGCGGCAGTTGTTTCGTCCAGAGGTGGAATGTACACAATCATTGCCACTGCCCACGACTACGAGCTTGGCGGCCTCCAGCTGGACAACGTTCTCGTAGATCACTTCTCAAAGGAATTTTTGAAGAAGCATAAGATTGACCCCAGAGAGACTCCCCGCTCGCTAGCCAGGATGAAGCTCGAGGCTGAGGGAACAAAGAGGACTTTGTCGCTCGGTACATCTGCCACAATATCCATCGAGTCTTTGGCTGGTGGCTACGATTTCCACTCCACAGTTAACAGGCTGAGATACGAGCTGCTCTCAAAGAAGGTTTTCGATCAGATCGTCAAGCTTGCCGAAAACGTCGTCGCAAAGGCAGATCTTGATTTGTTAGACATCGATGAGGTAATCTCCGAAACCTTTTTTTTCCGAACATGTAAAAGTGCTAATATACAATAGGTTATCCTCTCCGGTGGTACCTCTCATACCCCTAAAATCGCATCTCGCCTCGCCCAAATCTTCCCTGAATCTACACCTATCAATGCCCCGGCGACCTCTGCCACAGCTCTCAACCCTTCTGAGCTTTCCGCACGTGGTGCCGCCATCCAGGCTTCCCTTGTTGCCGAATTCGACCATGAGGATATTGAGCAATCAACTCACCCCGCCGTCACCGTCGCTCCCCACCTTGCTAAGTCCATCGGCGTTTGCATTGATGGTGCTGAGCAGGCATTCCAAACTTTATTGGAGGCTCAGACCGCTGTTCCTGCACGCAGGACGGCCCAGTTCATCGCTCCCAATGGCGGTGACGTGGTCGTAAGGATTTGCGAGGGTGTTCGCGAAATTGTGGTCACCAAGCCAGAGAAGAAGCCAAGCAACGGTGTTAAGGATGAGGATGAAGAAGATGACAGCGAAGAGGAGGAGGAGGAGGAGGAGGAGGACATCAAGAACAGAGTTTTTAAAGTTGACCGTGTCATTGCTGAGGCTGGAATCAAGGATGTGAAGAAGGGCGCCAAGATCGAGGTTACAGTAAACGTAGCCGATGATCTAAGCCTTAATCTTGCGGCCAGGGTTGTAGGCGGACAACAGACTGTTAGGGGAAGCGTGGAGGGGCCGGCGAAGGCAGAGTAGAAAAAAGGAGGTTACGAAAAGATATGATAGATGAAGGGTGGGTGTTGGTAAAATCAAAAGCTTACATTTCCCAATACGTCTGTCAGCCATTACTTGAAATATATCTCTTTTGTTCGATCCAAGTATTTGCAGAAACAAACGAAATTTTCACTAAAGGTGCAGCTTTTGGTTCTTGCTAGATGTATTTTGTAAAATTACAGGGTAGTCTGTGCATACATACAACGCTAGATCAAAAACACTCTCTTCCAGACCCTAGTAAAAGGAAAAGGGAGAGCGTCTCTCCCACTCATTTTTACCTAGCCACAAATTTCTACCAAGCCTGGGAGGTGACTCCAACTAGCGCGTAAACCTCGGTCCCCCAGGGCACCATCTATGCATAATCGTGGAGCTACAATGGCAGATATGGTGGGGGCTTGTTTAATAAATATATGACTTACTTGCCATGCCTTTTTTGGGGGCGCGCTCGGTGAACTGGGGTAGCATCGTTTCTGTGCGTGTATTACACGGCTTTTGCACGTGGTGGGACTTGAAAAAACCTAACCGCGTAGGTGAGTTTTGTTCTAGAAGTTCTTCTCCAGATAAGGGTTAGCGGTGAGGTTCCCTGAGAGTTAAACGATACTTTTCAGAAATGGTCGTCTCAGAGAGGTGGCAACGAGTGATGGGATGAGATCGAGTGATGGGGAAGGGGCGAGTGATGTAATGTGATGCACCCCTTAAGTTGCCCTCTGTAATAGTTCTTGAGTAAGCACATGCAGGGAAGGGAATGGGTACAGTTCTAAAGGGCAGGGCAAGGCAAAAATATGAGCGTTTCTCCTATGTACTTATTCCTTTTAAGGACCTATGCAGTTCCATAGTCTTTCGAGCAAGCATCATGGGAGGTTACCCAGGCCAACGACTGATCAGTCACCATGAGATAAGTCTGGGCCCCCTCTAGCTACATAATAATAGATGTTGCTTAGGTAGGCTTGAATTAAGGAGACTATTTTGGGCGCAGTTCCATGATTTCATAGGCCTCAATCACAGAACATCACTCGGTATGTCGAGTTATCAGAGTTTTTTGAACTATGGACGAGATTTGGTTGCTTTATTGACTTTATTGACTACTCTACTATCCATCCGTCTCCACTAACTACATTTACTAGCGACACCATACGTAGTGACTATTATAAATGACTAATGCCGACAGCTATATTTGCTCCTAGTCTTAGAAGTCATATATTTTAATAGTGATGTTAGAATCAGTGACGAATACCAAAGGCTCAACTCTACCTAACGTTACATTCATCCTATGGTTTCTACAAGTGGTTTCCGGCCTTCGGCCGGTACTACATGTACATATATCAATCAGTCCAATATGTAGGCAAGCCGCTTTGCGACGTGTTTTTCTATTTGCCTGGCAGGCAAAGTCCATCACTAGATATCTGCTCCGGTCGACATATGCTTTTTCTAATATCCCTCATATATAAGACAATTTCTCCAGTTCAAGCTGCACGTATACCCCTTTAACAACCACCAAGCTGCTAAAATCGGACTACTAATCGATCCCCAGAACTGAACCTATTAACAAGTTAACCCACTTAGTATAAACCATATACTTATATTCAACGTAACATGTTTTAAGTGAAACAAACCTCACTTAATGAGCCAATCAGAGGCTTTTAAAAATATGCAGGTTATACTCGGCACGACACCCCCAGACTCTGGACCTATCTTACTGGGCCCGCAGGTAACCGTATGCCCCTGAACGAAGAACTTGAATTATCTAGGAAGTTCCTCCTCGCAGCTACGCAGCAGCCTCATATAGAGTACATATATATACTAGCGATGCCGGAAATTTTATTGCCCACATGACCGCTGTATTGGTGTGAAGCGTGAGAGTGGTAGGTCACGTGGGCAATAAAATATTCGGCGTCGCTAGTATAACTAATCTGATTATAATTTTTAATATATTATTTGGGTTAGGGTTGTTAGTCACATACATTCAGTAGCCAGTCAGAGAGCGATATAAGCGCTTACCCCCATACCCTTGACTTCGTTCAGGGAATTCAGTACTTCGTCCAGGGAATCCGTTTCGTTCAGGGCATTCACTTAATTCAGGGCAATTATACTTATTAAATGTGCCATGTCAGTTAATCAAGTACTTTCAACAACTGGCGCTCTGATGCTTCATACCTGCGAGTGAGAGTTTATGATCCCTTTTATATTTCGTACTCCAATATATGCAGGTAATACATCTCATTGCCATATATCACCGCCAGGTAAAGACCTCATGCTTTAAGATGTCTTGATGGGTTTGAGCGGGTAGCTACACTATCTGCTGCCGTTAGACAAATACAACGCCCAACAGCATCTATCCACTACAGAAATCGGTACCGAAGTATGCACACGAAGAGATCATTCCATGTTATAATATATACACACTATGATATCGAAAACCTTGCTATAAACCTCATCAAATTGTTTCATTACAGTCGTTAATAAAAACCAAAAACAACTAACTACATGTACTCAACACGATAAGCCTGCTTATTATAAACATGATACAACGCGTAACCTAATAATTACCAGCCTTCAAGCTAACAAGTGACGGTGTTCCCGTCGTAGGAGGGTTGGACCACCGGGTCTCAACGAATGTCTTCATGATTCCATATTCCTTCTTGTCAAAAGCGTTGTACAACTCCTTGAACTCATCGATCTTGAAGCGATGGGTGAGGATGAACGTGGGGTCAAAGACACCTTCTTCGATCTTCTTCAAGAGGTCATGCCAGTACATGTGGACGGGGCACTAAAACCTAACGTCAGCCCACTCATAATTATAACAGAAGAAAGTAAGCAAAGAAGCAAAGAAATAGTTACCTGTCCAGCACCCTTCATTGTAATGCCCTTCTCCATCAACGCACCAATGTTGAACCCGTTCGTGTACGCCGCATAATCCGCAATCAATGAGATAGTTCCAAACTTCCTCGTGGCCTTTAGACACTCGTTCAGTACCTCGCTCGAGTCGGTCTCCATCCCGACCGCTCGCTGTACCTTGTGCACAATCCCCTTCGCGTATCTGAACCCAGCAGCATCGATACTGCAGTCGACACCGTGCACCTCCCTCTTTAAGATCTCACCAACCACATCGGGTGTCTCATCAAAGTTAATAGTCTCAATGCCCAACTTTGTCCTAGCGAGTTCCAGGCGTTCCGGAACATTGTCGATACCAATAATGCGGCGGGCGCCCTCAAGCTGCGACCAGCGGGCGGCGAGGAGCCCAATAGGGCCAAGACCCCAAATGGCAACGGAGGAGCCACCCTTGACATCGGCGCACTTGACGGAGTGATAGGAGGTGGGGACAATGTCGGAGAGGTAGAGGGCCTTCTCATCGGGAACGCTGTCGGGGATCTTGAGGAGATTGTTATCACCGAAGGGAACGCGGACGTATTCAGCTTGGCCACCGGCGAAGCCTCCTGCGAAATGGGAGTATCCGAAAACGCCGGCAAAGGTCTGGCCGTACATAGTTTCCTGGACGGAGGATTTGTTGGTGACGTCACACATGGAAGAGAGACCTTCTTTACACATTTTGCATTCGCCACAGCTGGAGGTGTTAGTTTTTGGTTATAGATTTCCTCCCTTTCGGGGAGGATCTTAACTTACGCAATCTGGAAACTGGCGACCACTCGGTCTCCCTTCTTCAACTTTGTGACCTCAGGACCAACTTCGTCCACAATTCCCATAAACTCGTGGCCCAAGATATCACCATCCTTCAATTCAATGATCCTACAGATTCCCCTAGTCAGCGCTAGGCCCTACTAAAACTACGAGGAATAATACATACTCTTTGTGGTAAAGATGCAGATCACTTCCACAGATTGTTGTTCCAGTAACTTTGATAACAACGTCCTTGGGGTCTGTAACGGCAGGCACGGGCACTTCTTCAACCTCCACACTGTCTTTTCCGTGCCAGCGGAGAGCCTTCATCTTGGCACCATCAGGGCGGTGCTTGTATTCTGTTGATGTGGCCACGGGCTTTGTGCCAATGGCCTTCTCCATAAGGTTTGCTCCAGCGTTCATTCTGAGTATATTTTTTAATAGTAAAAGAAATTGATGATATCAGTTGTAGATAATGTAAATTGGTTTGTAAATCGGTTTGTAATTGGGTTGAGAAGGTCGGACTTTTGAGGGTTTATTTATTCTCAATGTCTAGCTCCCTCCACAAACAAAAATATCGACGTCATGGACATTCCGCAATTGTTAACGTAATCTGAACGTCATGATGATTCTTTCTTCTAACAATGTATTAGTAAGGCCGCCCTTAGGATCCACTGGTATCTTGTTCGAGGCCGCCATCGACGCAGATCAAAGTTGTTTTAGGAGCACAAATCAAGGCAGAGCGACATGCTCTGTGTCTGAATTGGGAGTAATGTTGGCTTCGGTTGGTCCAGCTATAGTACTTCTTACTGTAATTGGCTTGGCATTGTCAACTACAACCCACTTGATCGTTATTTCCACGATGGCCATAGAGACCATTGTTAAGCCCGAGATTCAGCAATCTCGAGAAACTGGGACTCTCTAAACTCGTGGGTAACTTCTTGGCAACAAAGATCCTGATCCCGCTGTTAATTGAACTTGTCTGTATGAGAAGACGCTGACAAATGTAGCCTCATAGAAATCAGGACCTTCTCTTCAGCAACATTATCACCGGCCCTCATTCAATTGGCCTATAATCAGGTTATCAACACTCTACAAGTCAGAAAGTATCACATAAGAGAAGCTGCTAGCGTCAGAATGCGCCCAATGACATCCCTAGAGACTCCAGATACATACATACATTTATTTCGAATTCGACATTCTACTTGCAGCTGTTTCATCATAAACATCTCTTACACGAGTAAGAAGGATCTTAGTCTTGTCAAGAACTAGAAGAGGCTCCTTAATCCTCAGTAGAAGAGAGGTTGACTACATGTATGAGAGATGCAGGGGACTGGCTATCGAAACAGCCTGGATGGGACGTCCATGCTATAAGACGGTTGTAAACTGTTATAAAACCCATAAAGCCACGCCAAGCTAAGCGGTGTGGCTTGCAAAAGTCCCGTGTGTGCCAAGTCTTAAGCGATATGTCAGCCCAACCTAGAAACACCTATAACTTCAACCAGTGCGCGGTCCTACCAGCTAACTCCCCAAGTAGTACTAAGGGAATCTTATCCGACATCTATCTCAACATGATACCAGAGAATGAGAATCTTGCTCTCCCAACCGCTCGTGGACCCATCCCCTACCAGACAAGAAGGCAACAACCATCTTGGACTGAGAGTTCAGATATTCCATATCAACCTGATGCCAATTATTACAACAACGATTCCAGTTTCAAGGCCTAGGTAATGGTTATAGTGTGATATTGCTAAAAATTTGCCTAACATAGCGCTCACTAAGAGCATAAAATTACCTACTACAAAGTGGAGCTCAAGGACCTATGGAGTGGAAGGGACAACCGTTTCAAGGAAATGTCATATCATGCTCCCATCCGGGCTAACCACAGGTAAAGGCCCCCCAGTAGTGGGAAGATGCTCGTCCAGAACCTTAAAGATGAGCAAACTAAACTCTCGTGGTACCAGGCAAATGATAATGGTGACTCCACAGTCGAGTCTGGTTTGTGGGGGTTTGGGGGCGGCGCTTGGAGGATACCACAGCTGATATCCTTCAATCTGCACGCTTGGTGGTGTTGAAAGGAATTAGAGTTGCAAAGTGCCTTGGAGCTGGGAACATTATCCCGATTTTTAGACAGCGGAGATTTTTTTTTTTTTTTTTTTTGTTTAATTCATTAATTGACAGCGGAGATTTGATACTTAGGTCAATGTAGTAATTGTCATATTTTCTGTTTGCATCTGATTATCGACCCACCCATCTATAGAACCATAAAACTACTTCCTTAAAAAATTATCAATCTTCAAAGTTTGAGAATGAAGATAACTCTTCTACATCTGGTACACCCTCTTCGGCCGATACACACCATCAACAGAGCCCAAGTAAGCCAGTATACTCCTCTGCTAACCCCCCGCCATATCTCGTCCTTCTCATTGAGTACTTATCCGCTTTACCGGCTCCCCAGTAGCGAATCAACCTCCAACGCCAGTACTGACTGCATAAGCCTTGCCGTACCATCCATAAAATGCAAGTACATCAGGTACCTGCCTCTACGACGGCGTCCTCAACACCACGACCGCATGCTGCGTGCGCGCGCAAGTTCACGGATGACACCTCACGGAAGTGGGTAGCCGATAGCATGTACACGCTTACCAGCGTAAGAACCAGAAAATGCAGTTGCTCAGGGCAAGGATAATTTGTATGGAGTGGCGTCGTTCTCTCATACAAATAATCCCTGTTTCCGTTACTTGCATTTTCTGGTTCTTTTGAGGGTAAGCTGTAGAGTAGGTTGTCGAAGTCGTGCACAACATATTGTACCACCTTAGAGCGCATGTAAAGCACTCCTCGGGCATGCTACGTACGGAAGCTTCCCGTGGTAGACTTGGTCTCGGGAGGCTTTCATTATCAGTCGAATTATGCAAGTGGCCATGTGGCAGTTTGGCAGCGGGGATAGTGAGGGGTATGAGTCAGTGCTTGTGATGATTTAAAATGAGATTCTCTTTTTACTTGCTGAGTTTGTATGCGCCAGAAGTAGACGGCACTGTAGTATTCCTTACTTGAGGTAGGCGTTTATGTAGTCATTCTTTGCTTTAAAAACTGATGGACGAGTCTAAGGAAGGTGTCACTTATAGATCCACCACAGAGGGCCATTTAATCGAAAGGCTCTTGAAAACTGCGTTAACCTCGACACTCATCAAGTTGGCAGATGTGTTGCTAGAGTCTATTCGAGGCGCAATGATGCAGGTCCAAATTAGCATTAGTGAATTGGCCAGTATAAAGAGCACTGTAGGTCTCATCAAGTAAGAATTGGCTTTATGTTCGTGAAGACAAGTAAAAACGTAACCTGGGCCAGGGATTGGATTTGCCCCTTGTGATTATGGATGGTTACAGTACTGAGTTTAAACCAAAGCAACAGAACCACCTAGAAGGTTAAAAAAAAAAATGTTCAATAAACTTTTGAGCAGAGTAAAGCTCATGCATGATGACTGGTGGTAGAAGTAGAGTAGCACTTAAGTTGGTTAGGTGCTTGTATGCAAGGCACTCAACAAAATCGGCTAGACATGTATGCTCCTGTAGCCCTGTGGATAAAAAAGGCAAAGCACAAGCTTGCACTGGGGTCGAGATGCAACAGCAGGACCTCGGACCTGGTAAGGCGACGAGGATGATTTGCGCGATATTCGTCTCCGACGGGAATAACCATGCGGCTAGAAAGAGAGAAAAAAAACACATCCTCGTTCCTGAGCTGAGTTCATTGGTGGACGAACACATGGCTAGGTGCCGTTGTGCCTAGTGTACCACGAGGCCAAGAAGATCTCGCGAATCACAGCGGACGGGAGGGAGGGAGCACGGTGGAGGGCGAGGGGGCTAACACAACCACAATCGCACCCGGATAAGAAAATCTCTGTCTCTATCCCGCGGGGGATATGGGAGTGCCGTGAGGCGCAAGCCATTTTGGTGATAGGATGGAGGGGCATCGCGATTTGCCTCCATCTTCACTGAAGGATTTTATCTTTTCCTTTTCCTTTCGCCTTCACGGATCGGACCGCAGAAAATAGCTTACTGAATTCGATTTAGAGAGAGATATTACATCTGTAGGTACATGTACAGCGCTGTAGTTTCTTTAGAGCTGATATCGATAGCCGTGCATAAGTTGTCGGGGCAAGGGAGAAAAAACAATGGTTATTTTTAAGTACCTTCTTTCTCGGAGAGGATGGTACATCCTTTTGCCTCTTCTGTTTCGGGGCCGTACTTCTATCGCAGTTAATCATTGACAGGGTGATTAATAACCTACCAACAGACTCGCAGGGTAGAGTACGAAGGCGCGAAGGAGCTGGCAGATGACGTGTTAAAACAACAAGCTCAAATGAGCACGATATGTACGTTGATTATTTTCATGGACATGCTGATTGTAACCCTACGTGTGCTCACCAGCTTGCAATAATGCTAGGCGGAATTAAGTAAATATTAATAACCTATCTCTATGATGAGCAATGACTAATGCACGTGCATACTCGCGGCCAGCAACAAGAACCCGAATATGCAGCTGCAAGTCTTTGGTATATTTTTCACTTCTACTCCAATGGAAATTGCAGATTAGGACGTGCATTTTCGGGTTCTTGTTGCTGGTCGCGAGTAGGTAGGTACATGGCACTCATGTATGTAATGTAGGTACATAGATACCGAAAGCCAATCGATAAATAACGGTTCAAACGGTATACAGTAGTACCAACCGCATAATAGTGGGGGGTTCGAATCCATAATCTCAAAGTAAACTTCAACAATTGAGTTGCTCAGAACGAGGATGATCCCATTGATTTGGTCTGGTCCTTGTCCTGGTTCCTTGTAGTAGTTACCTGATTGATATGGTCTCTTCCACGGTGTTCTCCAGAGAGTCCTACACTCCGAATGTCCTCCAAAGGGTTTCTAGATAATCTTCCAGATTGAATACTAGACCCGAGCGTCTTCCCAAGTGAAATAAACGTTCCGATTCTAGCTCTAGAATCCACGTTATTGTCAGATCTGCAGACAGCACTCCGCAGGCTCAAAACCAAAACAAGAGATTTCAAAATACCTAGAGGCACACAAACAACAGACAAGGCCTATTTTAATATACCCTGTTTTTTGCCCTCCATGGATTCTCTTCCAATTACCAGAACCCTCATGGGTTTTGTACCCTATGTGTGTTTATTTTCATGCCTTATCAAGAACAAGCTGCCTAAAAGTGACTTTTTCCTGCATCGAACGAGATGCACATACCGAAAACACGTACCTATCTTGCTTGCTGGATACGAATCAGCCGGGCTTTCTCTCGCTCTCTCAATTTTTTTTTATTTCTCTCTGGATAGCTGGACGAACGAGATATTGCAATTTCCCAGCCTCGCCGGTTAAGAGATATGCAAATGAATTTGAAGCGACCGCAACGTGCCGCATAGACTTCTTACTTGAGGGATTCCACAGCCACCAGCCATCTCGTTCTTGATAACTCTGAAGGTGGTCCAATCAGGCGCAGAACTTACTCTGCCTCTCTGGAAGTATGGAAGTCTGGCAGTTTTGCGGTCTGCCTGCCCCCCCCCCCCCCCCCCTCCCGCCAGTCAGGCTGAGCTCTCGCAAAAGTGTCAAAATTTAGAACCGCCCAAGAGGATTGATTTAGTAATACTCGTGTTGTCTTACATTACACATGGAGCAGGTACTACCAAACTGTATGTACCTGGACCAAGCTCATGATGATCCTATTCTACCTTCTGTTCTGGTTCCTGTTCCTGCGTCCACCCTACTCTACTTCTACCCGGAAAAGAGAAGGGAAAAGAAAAAATCTCGGCAAATATTATTCAGGAACAGGAACAAGGATATTTGTATGAGTTACGCTAGACCGTTTTCTTCCCTGTACAGTGCCTGAGCCTGTGTGTGATTGAAATTTTTTTCTTTGCGTCATCCCTGCAGGCACCGAAATTTTGACGCAAGGGGAGGTGGGAGGGGTGGGGTGGTAAGGTGGGTAGGGCCGGGGTGTGCGTCGCTTTGGGTCAGGTACCACCCAGGAACCGCTGTTGCTCCTGTCGCGCGCCATTGGAGGAGGGAGGCGGCGAGCAGTGAGAGGAAAATAGAATTGGAGCCAATGTGAGAGGAGAATGGGCAATTAATTGCGTGAGAAAAACAACAAGACATTGCATGAGGGCTTGAGGGCTGGAGAATGCCTATTCGTCTCTGGGGATTGCGATTCGTTCTGCGTAAAGTATCACCTGCCATAACTACTGTCTGCTGTTTAATTTTCTTTTCGAGCGATGGATGGATGGGCTACTCCAGTTGGTGTTCGAAATCTAAAGCTCAATCTTATACCTCGCCCAGCTGGGTAACTGCAACAGTACTGGCAGTAACCAGCACACATCCCGACTGGCGGTAACCCCACGACAGGTTCATTTCTTTTTTGTAAGCAGCATAGAGTAACGAACTGACTAGGCCAGGGTCTGAGTATAGAGTATAGAGTAGAGTGTGCAGAGAAGCGTGTAGAGAAGTGTGGTACCGGTACATACCTTGCGCCTACTCATTCCCCACGCCGCCGTTAGTTAGTTTGCATTCCCTCTCACTCGACAACTTTATAACCACCAAGGACCCCCTTCCCGGGCCACGATCTTTTTCTTTCCACCATTCTATAACTCAACATTCCCGCGTTCCCTTCCATCTTTCAGCACACTCCTTTGCTGTCATTCTATCCATCTTTTATCGTCACTCCTTCTTGCGATATAACTTCTTGCTTCCTGTGTTTCAAGTCTATTCATAAACAAGGTCCATTTGCAGCAGTACACTTGAAACTCCAAAACACTCACACACACACTCGCACAACATATATTTCTACGAAACTTGAAACCACACGTGCAGTACACACGGGAATTCCTCGCATCTTTAAATACCAACCAACCTCCTCCTAGCTTGAAAAATTTAAAAGCCAATCAACACACATTCTCTATCACTATCACTATTTTCAGCAAGCATCTACTGCGGAATTGAATTTTGCAGTATACACAACAGTCCTTATCGTCAGATCATAAACCGTCCTTTCTTCGCACGAATCTTGTATTCACCACTAGTAGTCTTCACTACCAAATATCTACAAATCTACAACTTTCAAAACTCTTAAAATTTTCACAATGCACTCCACCACTCTCATCTCCTTCCTTCTCCTCCTCCTCACCCCCCTCTTCGCCGCCGCCCAAGACACCATCATCGGGCCCAGCACCACTGCCGCCCCTGCCGGCGCTGAATCCACCTCCTTCTCCAGCACCACCACCGTGCGCACAACCATCACCTCCACACAAGTCACCTTCATCACCATGACCGGTGTCCCCCCGTCCTCAAGCACGTCAGTTGCCATTTCCTCTTCCACTTCTTCCCCTGTTGCGAATGCCACTGCAACGAATTCTAAACCCTCTGTTAGCGTTACTGGTAACGGTACTGCCATTGCGACCGGGAGCCCCTCGGCTGTTCCATTTGTGGGTGCTGCGCCTGGCGCGTTCAGGGCGTCAGCAGGGATGGGCGCTGTGGTTATTGCGGCCGCCGTATGGCTGTTGTAAGGCGGGAGTTGGGATGGAGCTGTCTAAACCAAGTAGTTGGTGACAGCGTGTGGGGAGGATTATTATATGTTCTTGGAGAGATGGCAACCTAGTGTTGTGATATTTTTACTTCTACTTCTTGCGCTGCTGTTGGGTATTCATTCTTTTTTTTTTTAACCAACTGGTGGCAGTAACTATTATACCTTCTTTTTTTTACTATTATTACTTTACTTTTCTTTTCGTTCTTTCTTTTTTTTGGCCGTTGACCACGTTGACGCATTTGAAAGCCTTATTTTTGATACCCACTTTTTATATATATACGATACACCTTGTAGAAAACGGTTTGGAGTTTTTATTATTATTACTTTTTCACGAATTTGGATGACTGGGGATACGGGGTTGGAATCGGATTGGTGTTTTGGGCGGCTTCTTTTTTAGGCTAGTTATTAGTTACTAGTAGTTGGCGGAAATATATTAGCCGTTGTTGAACTGAACTGAACTGAGCTGAGATTGGTTGCTGCGAGTGAATTGTGAGTGAGTGCTGGTGACTGGCGACGGGGTGGTGGGTGGTGATAATGCTTAAACCCAACAATGAACACCCGCAGGAAAAAAGTGAGGAAACAGCGGGTGCAACCCGTCCGAACCCCAATGCAAAATTGGGGATAAAAATGAAAAGAAGTAATATAACTAAACAATAAAATACAGAATAGATACTATGGCCTCTAAACTATATTCACCACCCCCTATGATCTCCCTAGTCCTTTACTACTGCTGCAATTCTCTTTGGCATGCTGTCAATGATTTTTATATACATTTCCCCCAATCTGGCCTTTCCTACTCTTCCCTAGCTTGGGCTTCAATAACTTTTATATTTTCATTCGGAGTAGCCTCTATCCACTTTCCAGACTTGTCAAAAGGCATGGCCACAGAATACTCGTGGGGTTGTATTGCGGATGTCAAGTTGGAGGCGCCCGTTGTCACGCTACTCGCTGTTTCCTCGCTTTTTTCCTGTGGGTGAACTAACCAACAGAAACCCAAATAGAACTCCCTATTGTCCACTTACCATGGTTCGAACAAGACCGCACCTCGATCCGCACCTACCACCACATCCCCAAACCCACTATCCACGGTCCATCACCACCAGAACGCATCATCTCGCTTCTCCCCCAAGGCGAAATTAAACTCACCTCGCCATGCACCCCACCTCTCCTTCTCCACACTCCACCTACGTAGCTACACAGGACCCTGAGCTAAGGTGTACTTAGTAGTTATCGCGCTTCGGAAATGATACCGACACCTAGCGAAATTACACATCGACACAAACCCCACACGTGCGCTCTCTACCCCCTATGTAACCAGGCAATATTGCGTAATCTTACTTTTTTGTTTCACGAGTAGCTAATACTAAGAGTCTAAGACTACATAATACTAAGAGTAATATTAAGACTGTGTAAAAGTTAAGTCTCGAGAGAAAGGAGTCGTGCGCTCCGGCGAAAAACAAAAACAAAACACATCTAGCTGAGTCTACTTATGATTAAGAGTACCAACATCTCAAGCTCAGTCCAGCCGGCCAGTCCGGTCCGGGCAGGTGCCAGTAGTTGAACCACGACAAGTGATCATTTCGCAGCTCTCTCCGAAATTGGTCTCACGTTTGAAATCTGAAAGTCTCAAGTCTGGAGTCGAGTTGTCTCGTCTCGTCTCGTCTCGTCTCGGTAAATTTAAACATTAGGCAAGTAAGCAAGCCACAGATTGCGCGCGCTAAGACAATGTTTGGCTGCAGGTAGGATCTTACCCGTTCTGCTTACCCAGAGTTGAGGGCGTCATGTCATGCCATGCTGCAGATGAGATGGGGATCATCGCCTCGGCTGATTTGCATTTAGGTTGTTAGAGCCTCAAGTGTAATTTGGAGAAAGGAGTGGATTACAGATATGAAATCCACCATACAAATTGCTAGCTAGCTACAGTAGTTGCTATACCGGAGCTTGGAAAGAAAAACGCCATTATGCGCAATTGCTATTCTACAGCAGGATTACTTCCATGACTTCGCTTCACCTAATCCCACCACGCACACTGCAAAAAGGCCTACCACAGGCCTAAAGAATATGTATGTAAAAAAGGAAAAAAGCTACCTCCTACCCAATTACGCCCCATTCACAATTCCCACCCCAGTATGCACCTCCGCCCCCATCCCACCATCATCACCTCCCTCCACCTCCTCCTCATCACTCGCCCTCCAGTCTGTCACACCACCCCTATAATCCGCGACCCTCGCCCACCCAATTCTGACCACCACAACCCTCACCTCCTCGCCCTCCAGATAGCACCTATTTTCGCTCTGCGGGTTGTTCTCCATGTGCACGCGGCGATAGTACTCCTCCTCCTCAGACCCCTGCGGGATCAAGTGTGCATAGCCATTCAACGTCGCCGAGATCGAGCTCAGCGCCGCAGAATTCAGGTTCGTCAGGAACGCCGATAACGACGACGGCTGGGGTGGCTGTTCGGCGGCGGCGGTGGGGAACGCGTGGGTGGTGAGCGTGGGCGAGGTGGAGAAGGGGTTCGTGGAGGATATTGATGGGCGGTGCGAGACCCAGTCGTGGACGAGGAGGGAGACGCGGGGGTTCGTGGTGAGATTGAGCGTCTTTTTGGTGCCGGGGTGGGTGGTCATTACGATGACGGGGCCGGAGGTGGAGGTGCTGGAGCGGATGTTGTTGGGCGGAAGGCGGTAGGGGGTGGTGGGGAGATAGGTGTAGTTCATTAGGGAGACCTGGAGGGGAGTTTGTTAGTATCTGGAAGCTGGGTTCGAATTGAGGGAGTGCGGGGTGGAGCTTACGTGGGGCCAGAGACCGTCAGAGGTGGCGAGGTGAAGCTGTAGATGATCTATTAGCCCAGTTCAAGTCTGTGAATAGCTAAAGAACGTCACGATAATACTCGCGTCAGGGAAAAAGAACCAGAACATGCAAGTGAGAAAGCAGGGATTATTTGTATGGAGTGGCGCTGAGCTGCCATACAAACTAGGCATTTGCATGTTCTGGTTCTTTATCCTAGACGCGAGTAGACCCTAGAGCCAGATCAAAAGCAAAAGGTAGGAAGGGAAACCCACATATCTTGCATTCTTCAAGCACGCAACAACCTCTGGCGGAAGCTCGCACGACGCCGCACTCGCATTCGGAATTGCTGTAGCCATGGTTTTGATGGGGGAATGGTTTTTATCGAGCTCTTCACTGTGATATTTAAGCAAAATGGGCAACCTCCTTGAATTGGTTGGTGGTTGACTGCCTGACTGTCTGAGATGGAGTTATGTCGAGGAGGACCGATGGCGTATGTGACGACAAAGGCCGAAGATCGGATGTGCTGGGCCCCGCTAAACTCGTGACCTGTGGTTCTTGGCGCGCTTGGAACCACGGCTTGCAGGGGTTTTGGAGAGAGCTCACGACCTTGCGGGGGATATAAATCTATTTATGTAGCCGTGTAGGGAGAGGGGAATTGAGCAAACTCAGAGGGAGTGGAGATGATAGATGGTTACGTGGGGTTATGTAGTCTGTCTGTCTGGTGAAAGGCATCAGGATAGCTGTGGTGTATGCAGATGTAGCTATCATATCTGCCCTTGTGACCCGCCCGTATCAGTTATCAGGTTTGACATATACGGTTACTCTGTACCCGCACGACTGCAGTCTTCTCTCCGTACGCGGTGCATACATTGGGTAATGCCCTAAGAGTGTCACCACAGCATGCATAACAGCTCCTTAGCAGCTACCGCAAAGGCAACAACATTCCTGTAGGAGATGGCTCAGTATGCACACTCAATCCAGAGCTACAATTCTCTCCTAGATATAGTTCACGGATTTGCGCTGCTTCTCAATTGGTTGTGAGAGCATTCACAGGACATCACTCGACCCCACGTTGATGTAATGCCAAGCCTGCGGCTGACCAACAGCTACCTCTTTACCCCCCGCCGCACGTGAGGGGGAAAGCATTTCCCCGCAAAGTCTCGATTTCCTTGGAACGGACGGGAGAGCAAGCAAGGAAGCATAGGAGCCAGGCAAGGAGCTGGCAAATAGGTAGTCAAGCAATCATGTAACGCATGTAACGCATGTATGTATGTATGTAGGTCACATTCAGGTACAACGGTGGCCTATTTGGTATCAAGTGAGTTATGCCTCACCTTCTTCTTCCCCTCCTCACACTCCCCTCTTCATCTTCCCCTCCTCATCTTCTCATCTTCTCTCCTCTCAGCAATTGTACCTGAACTTCACCCACCCCCCCTCATCCACTCAGAGCTACAGTCCCTACTCCATAGCTTTATAGTATCACTACATCTCCACCACCATCAATCACTCGTAACCACACATCCCCACTCCCACCATGATACTATCACGCCAGCTTCCCCGCTCTCTCGCCCGGACAAGCATCACTGCCGCCGTCACTCGCCCCCTCAGCACCTCCGCCCTCCTGCAATCCACAAAGATCCCCAGCCTCGCCAGCATAACACACAGCGAAGAGTCCACCACCGACTTCAAAACACGAGTATCTGATTTCCGAAAGCAGCTCCGTGCCAACAAAAAGAATGCTGAGTCCCAGACGCTTGCTTCCGCCGGTGCCGCTGGCGACGACCACCACCACCACCACGAGAAGAGCGGCATCGTAAAGAGTATCCTGTACGGATCCGAGCAGGGACAGAAGGAGGAGCGTGAGATGGAGCAGAGCTATGGGAAGGTGCTCGCTAGGGGGAAATATGTGCATGCCATCGAGTTCCACCATGTGAAGCCGGACAAGGTGGCAGAGTACATTGAGCTGGTGGGGCAGGAGTATCCGAAGGTTGCGGGGGAGAGAGAGAATAGCTGCCATTTGGTGGGCAGCTGGAAGACGGAGATTGGGGATTGTGAGACATTTGGTTAGTGGTTCACTTTGAAGATATCATTGAGTGTCAATTGCACGAATACTAATATTTCTGAATAGTTCATATCTGGGAATACCAAGGATGTGAGTATATTACTTCATTTTACTACTATATTTATCATTTGCATTCCAAAACTGCCTTCCCTCTCTATATCACAACAAAGAAGAGCTGAGTGGTGTGCAATATAACTACAACTTTCAAAAGAATCCCCAAATTCAACCTCGAAGCTCTAAACAGCTACTTCGATGCAATACTGCTGCTCAATAGCTCAAAAAAACTAACACTCTCCAGACGCCGGCTATCATCAAACCCATTCCCGCCTCTCCCACTCCCCCTCCTGGGGGAAGTTTCAACGCGAGCTCCCTAAGTACCTCACCTCCCGCCGCACCGACCTCATGCAAGAATTCTCCTTCTGGCCCACCACGCCCCCGCGCGCCCTCGGCGGCATCTTCGAGCTCCGCACATACACCCTCCGTCCCGGCAACCTCCTCGAATGGGAGACACACTGGAGGCGTGGGCTGCAGGCGCGCAAGAACGTGATGGAGGGCGTCGGCGCTTGGTTCTGCCAGGTCGGCAGCCTCAACACGGTACACCACTTGTGGCAGTTTGCGGATCTTCGGGAGCGCCAGGTGGGGAGAGAGCAGAGCTGGAATGAGAGGGGCTGGAGCGACACGGTGCATAAGACGGTGCCTCTGATCTCTAAAATGGAGAGTAGGATCTTGGTTCCGTTGCCGTGGAGCCCGGTTAGTTAGGTTGAAAGCAATAGGGCTGTAGATGGGGATGGCTTTTAGTAGACGGTGGGGTGTGGCTTTATTTCTCTCGTTTTTTTATCTGCTTGTTGGTAGTTATGGCAATCTTGCGGGAATTGGGTAAGTTCTTATTTACTGAGTGGCTAGAGGTGTATAGCTCATATAGCTAGCTAGATACCCGGTGCTTGGGTCTGAATTACATATCATGCTCGTTGGAGTTATCGTGTTACAAACTAAATTCCTCATATGGGGATTATCTACAATCAACTGGTGCTACTTATTATTCACGTAGGTTGAAAAAGAAAAGAAAAGTTGTATTGCTTTATAACTAGTAGCTATCTAGAACTCTAAAGAAACCGAATTATGTCTTTTATACCAGTTACCACAAACCGCAAAGCCAAACCACTACCAAGAAGCCTCCCCTCAAGAGTACACATGATGTTTCCTAGCCGCCAACTTTGTCTAATAGCCTGTGAAAATCCCCGAAATCAAGCCCACATTGCTTTGAACTTTTCATCAAACGTGGTTTTCAGCAGCTGGAATGCCCTCAAGACTTTGACTAGCTCCATATCGCTCTTCCTCAGGTTCATCGTTTCAAATCTATCCACATAATCCTCGTCCCCAAAGTCTTCACTACCATCTCCCTCGAGATTCATATCAGAGGACTTTTCTTTGGTGATAAGGAAATCCTCAGCGTCACCCAAGCCAGCAGCATCAGCAGCGTCGTCATCGTCCACGCAAACTAAAAAGTTGCTGAGGCTGGTGACGATGGTAGCAAGGACAAGACTGAAGTCATTGAGCACGAACCAAATGTCGCTACGGCGGACGGCGTTTTGTCTTACGAGAGTTACGACCTCCCCATGCCGGTAAAAGTCGAGAAGGTATGAGTTGAGAGGGGTGTTTTCGCTGGTATCCAAGTAAGGCACAGCTGCGTTTTCAAGGAATATTCTACTACGGACAGAGTCTGCCAGATCGGATATAGAGGTGAATTTGTCATCTGGACCGGAGAGAGCAACAAAAGATGATCTAGCAAGTGTGGGTGGAAGTGGCTGTATTGGAGTTGGTCCTCCGGTGCCGCCACACACAGAATGACTAAAGGGCAAGATATTGTCAGCGGTATCATTGCAGTACTCCGCTGCAAAAGTCTTGACATAAGTTGTATAGACCTCAAGGGTCCTTTTGTTATGCTTTTCCAGGATTTCAGTGGCAGTAGGAGGAAGAGGGGGTAATATTGGGACATTTTTATCGCGAGATGGCTGTCGACAAAATAAACACGCCAATACATGCATCAGTTCCATGCAAGTTTTGTGTGGCTTTTCTAATATTTCCGCACACAAAGAGTGGAAAAATCCAGACCTAAGCAGAGCATGAAAAGCAAAGCCACTGTCCTCTGTATGACACAGGTGGCCCGTAAGCCTTGAGAAGTTGATCGGCTCACCGCCGGGTCCTATCAGTCTCTGCCTACGGAGGAATTCAATGGAAAACCGAACGTGATGAAAGACCTGCTCTTTAAAAGTATCACCGCCTATAAACAGCCTTGGCTGTGATAGTAGTGCGCTGATAGATTTCTTGGCATGTTCCGAGCCATTGGATTCATGTAGAAGGACAAAGAGGCGAAGAACCAAAGATGTTGTTATTGGGAAATGCCCAATTAACGAAGGGAGCCTTGAACTGATGAGCCGTCGAATTTTGCCTAATGGTATTCCAAGGAATATGACGTTTCCTAAGTCGTCGAAACCACGTCTTCCAGCTCTTCCAGCTGACTGACGAAATTCAAGCGCAGTCAACCAAATACTATCACCCCCAAAGATGACAGTCTTACAGGGCATGTTTATTCCGAGCGAGAGGGTTCCTAAAGACGATTAGACCCTCTTCATAAAAATAGTAATTATAAGCTAAAATTTACCAGTAGCAATGACAACACGTAAAAAGCCTTTTCGGAAAAGTATCTCAACCCTGTAATATTGGGTAATATTAGCAAGGTTATTCAGGTGATAAAAGAAGGAATGATTGGCCTACAGTTGGCGATAATGACCTAATTTCAAGAGATGCCGTCAGTAGGATATTCGGGTCAGTGATTAAATATTCAAGGAGTGAATTCTTACGATTGAGTCCAGAGTGATGGATACCGATTCCACGCTTTAAGGCATTAAATGCCCCGTCTGGTAATTTAAACATGGAAAGGAACTCGAACTCTTTCGTTAACTCTTCCCGGCTATGTTTACTATTGTCCGCAAATGAGAATTGAGGAGATGGGATATCTGGGTCGAAGAACTCAAAAAAACTCGATTCCTTTGCCGTCTCTTCTTGAAGTTTTTCTGCTTTGGTGCCCTCAAAGTTTTTGGCATCCTTTTTAGCCCTTTGCTTCAAGAAGGAGTTATTCTTGACTTCATTGTACTCCTCCCATTTGCGCAGGGTCTCATTCCAGCCGGCATCGCTCTCCCGCCATTTTGATTCGGCAGAAGCTAGCTCTTCTGCAACATGATTGCAAAGTATCTCGCATATGGATCGATCATGGGAGAATATAATTGCGGGAAGAGCGCCTTTTTTGTTGAGTTCGTCAAGGAGAGGGAGGGTGGATCTGCGAAGGGCTGGTAGATTACTGGCCGCTTCTATAGCCTCCTCCAAAGATTGTCCATCCCCTTCAGCCGGATAACTATTCATCCGCTCCCAGTTCCTTTGGCGGACCATAGCGGGCTCCTCCCACAAAGGACCCATCAACTTTTGGACAACTCTATGAAAAGGTGAGCCAGCTGAGGTCATCCAACGTCTAAGGACAGTCTTAAGTTCGGCCTCCCAATTTATTACATGGATTTTGTGTATTATGGGGAACTTTGAGAAATATAATTCTGGATCAAGTCTTTGCTCCACGGGATATTTTTTGGTTGACCTTTCCTTCATGGCCCGATATAACCATAGACAATCTCTCGGCTCCAGAGCGAGGTCGTCCGACATACCACGAGAGGTATCGACCAGAGAGGAAACCGGATGCATCGGAATAAAGCTTGGTGAACTTTCTAGTCTTGGGAACTTGCGTTCTGTTACGAGACCAGAAAACTCATAATCCTTTGGTGTGACGTAAACCATCTTCCGTAGATCAGAATATCGGTGGTGATGTTGCACCATTTCCAATTTGATACCAAGAGGCTTTTGTGTGGATTTCATCCATTTGCTGAACTCTTCTGGATTTCCTACAGTTGCTGACAGGGCAATGATGGGGCATGGTGATAGCATGATGAGCTGCTCCCAAACAGCACCGTCCTCCGCTTGACCGATGCAATGGACTTCGTCAAAAATGATACGCTTTACACGCCGGGACCAGGAATCTGCATTACTCGGCGCAAGAAGCATGATTTGTAGTATGTGAGGTACGGTGACGAGAATTTGGCATCCGGTGGGGTTACCAACACGCCGGTCTCGGGTGTGGATTGCCCAAACAGACTTGCCAGCGTGGGGATATCGTTTTTGAAAACGTGCCAAAACTTCTGCTGCAACTTGATTGACCTATAGCCTTAATATTAATTTACAAACGAGAGAGAGTGATAGTTCACGATTGAAAAGGAGGAAACTTACCAGAGCTTTGTTTGGTGCAACATAAACCAAGACATCGTCATCTCCAGACCGTAAAACCTGTTGATATGATTAGAATCAGACTGATGTGATATAAAGAAACTGGGAGCGCTAACCTTCTCCATGGCGTAAAAGGAGATGAATGTCTTTCCAGCAGAGGTTGGTGCAACGATAAATACAGAGTTATTTTGATCAATCTCATCCAAAACCTTTCTTTGCCATCCATCAGGTTCAAAGGAAACCCTAGGATCTGGCTTTGAATCCATATCTCGATCCATATACTGCCCGCAATGCAAAAGTTGAAACTCCGTGGAGGTCATCTGAAGCCTAACATCTACCAGAGAATTTCCATCCCAAGGCATCTTAAAGGTTAGATTACTTTCCAATAATGGATCTGATATCAACCGAGGCGGCAGCGATACGCCTAAAGACCCAAAGAGATTCTTCAGTATCTTGTGGATCTCTTTCGTCAGGCCCTTTGAGCCTAGTAAACTTTTCACTTCACTGAAGACCTTCGCTATAACATCGTATCCATCCTCTCTTTTATCTTTTCGACAGTAGTCCGTCCAAAATCGCAGTAAGATCCAGACTTTGTATATCCGAACTTCGCAATCCACAATATCGCCTTTCTCTGACAAGGTGGAGTTGATTTTGTCCAGGAATTGCTCTAGCTGCGAAATCTTTGCAAGATCATCTGTGGTCTCCTGGATATCACCACATAATGTTTTCCATATCCGCAAAAGAGTGAGGTCGCCCTTACCAACGAGCTTTTTGTTGTTTTCAGCGCGAATAAGCTCTTTCTTACTTAACGGTCGTTCCTTTTTCCCCGCCTTCTGTGTGGCTTTGGTCGCTGGGGCAGGTTGGGTGTTTGGTTGAAAGCTTCGAGGACCGTTTGTAATAACAATAGGTTCCAAAATTTTTCCCTTCGCGCCAATGAGAGACGCGGCGTACTTCGTCATATCAGAAGCACCCCGTTGTTCATATCTCCTTGCTCTCCCAGCAAGCCATTTGTTGGTACTAGGCTTCCAAACTGGGAGATTTCGGTTGGTTTTAGTTATTATTCTGAGCTTCCGATTGTCCCTATCAGAAATTTCCCTCTTTAATTCGTTGACCTCTTGTGAAGCAGCCAAAGAATCAACGTTCAGTTTTATCTGAGATAAAAAGGTATCAAATGTTGGATTTGAAAATGGTAGAACTTTCAGCTTTGTCTGGTTCATTGACCCATTGATCTGTTTGTGCTTTGGTTTGTTCTCCGCCTTCTTTTTCGGCTTCTTGGAAGAGGGCAGTCGAGATGACTGCTCTTTAGGTTTAAACAGCGTGCTCAGTAAGACCGTATGTCTACATGATAGCTCGATCGCTTTGGACATGCGGGTAAAGTCAGATACAACAGCCTCTGGGATAGATTCAAGGTGAATATCGCCGTGCTCCAATCCGTGCTCCAATTTCGCGAGTAATCTCCCGTCGACAAAATCGTGTATATTTCGGCACTTCAGCTGGGAGGCAGCATGCATGTAATCTTTGTCGTTTAGGAGATGGTAGGAGATAATAATCAATTGCCTGGTTTTTGATCTTATCCCATTTGTTGGTGCAGGGACAATATGTCTTTGAGGCAAAGATAAGTGGCCGAGGAGTGCAACGTGCAACAAAAACGACGCTAAGTCTGAGTCCGCTGCACTGAAATCTGCACTCGCTCTTTTAAGTAGTGTAGATATTGAAGCCACGGCCATCAACTCTCGTTCTGTAAAAACTTGGTCTGTGCAGATTTCGGAGAATTTGTAGTCATAAGAAACATCGGGGTGTTCGCTGGCGAGCGATTCGTAGGCTATGTGCAATTGATCTGGTAGTTGCTTTATCATAATTCTGGGCCCACCCTGAACAATTGATATGAGAACCTGGGACAAGATTTTTATTAGTAAATGTGCAAATATATTGGGAGATATCCTTCTTACTTTACTATCCCGAAACTCAGCTGTATTGATCCATGCAACATTATAATCCGCCATAATCATCCTCCAGACAAATCCCACCATGAGGAGCTTGACTTTTTTGTTTATTTCCCCCTTACTGTCGTGACACATGACAAAATAAGGCCTGGTAGTCTCAAGATACTGCTCAAAATCGTCATGATATGGATCTCGGAATTGAAAAACGCGGAAACCTGTTTCTCCTGCTTCGCTCTTGGCCTCGATCTCCTCCTTTTCCGAAGTATTTACGAGGTGCTGGATGATCGCCGAGCGTGCAAATAGGTACTTGTAGTTATTTTCTTTGCTCTTTGATTCCCCTTCGATAATGGAATTATACTTGTTTTCTATTCAATTGAAAATTGTCAACTTAAATAGTGATAAACCATAGCCATAGGTATATCTATGGCTATAAGTAATCTAGTGCGACAGACCTTCAAAGAAGACTAAGTGGAAATTACATCCCCGCTTCTTCAAGTTGAGTAGAAAAGATTCCACAACATAGACAAGATGCAGCAATTGAAACCCATCTGGTCGTGTGGATGATCGATTAGTGGAATTCTGGTTTACGATGGGGGACGGATGCTTTTAGGTGGGGGTATCAAATACCTTCTATATCTATCCTTTCATCACTTAGGGCCTGACGAAGAAGAGAGTCCCCTTCAACGATAAAAAGCTCCCTCCCTGCATAATCCCCAACCAGGTCTATACGTCGTGGGTGTAAGTGTTCCTTCCAAGCCCTAAGTATGCCATAAATCTTCGCCATGGTGGACGAATTGTCGCGCTCCTTTCGTAAATACTTTGAGATATTGAAGATGTAGTGAGAGAGGAAGCTTAAGGGCTGGGAGTCCAAGTTATAGAAGTCTTTTCCTTTATACCAATTACCCGGTGTAAGGGAATTAAGGCGCCAGTGTACGCCTGAGGGGGGTGAAGAGAAAAGGTCCTGTGGTGGCTCCTACAATGTTCTAAGTCACTTCCCACACAATCAGGCCAGCCAACTTCGGCAGCAACCCTAACCCAGTATTTAATTAACTACATATACCTTATGTGCACTTGTTCCGTTCCTGTGATCCTTTCGGGCCGGTCCGCCTGCAGCCGCAAGTTACTATTAGATCAAAGTTTATATCCATCCCCAATACCTCCAGTGCCCACAGAATAAACAAGCATGTAGTAGGAACAGTGGCTGCTTCCTGAATCTTCCGCATTATTTTTTTCATTTTCACTAGACTCATAATATTATACCCAATCGATTAGGATAAATTTGCGTAGGTTGACCATGATCGACAGGGATTTTGTATCAAAACCGAAGTCTGGCATACGAGTCCCTGATGAGCCAAAACTCATGACTATACAAAAGACACTCAATGGATCGGAATTGCTCTCCAAAGATATGGAAAGGTAAAAGTAGAGCCTAAACCGTCTCGAATTTCGTCAATCGTTAGACAGTTCAGGCAAACCCTCATGTGTAGCCCTGGGTCTAGGGTCACGTGCCATTAAAGGACCCCCTACTCGGAATCTGAATTTGGTCTTGCTATGCCTATACCTATATTATGCTTGGATGCGTTATATCAGGCCATTCCCATTTTTGCTGGAACGTAAGTCATGAAGCGGTCTCCAGATTTAGGCCATACTCACATGAGTGTACTTACACAATTATTCATCTCTTCACTGAACGGGTCCATATCAAACGAGGAGAGCACCTCATAAATTCTGATAACCCTTACAATGATCGGTACATGTAGTTTGACGCTGAGAGGTTGGTGACAATTGCGACTGCCAATGTACCATGCTACAATACCCCGATTTGGTCCCCGGTTCCACACCTACATAATGGGACCTGGCAGAGCACTGCTTATTAATCAAACCCGAGCGTACCAGCATCTAAATCACATATTGAGCCTAACAATCCAATAGTTCGTATATATCGTGGTTAAACGATTGCGGACGTTCAAAATGTCAGCGAATAAAACAATGATGCCAAGGAGCCTTACGCTGCTTTGTGACAAAGAAAACTACCGTATTAGCGAGAGCAGATGTCCTCCCGAAGAAGACTTGTCGGAATGCGAACCGGAACCCGACGATATGGTGTTGATGTAGACCATAGGGCTTGATGATAAATAAACTCCACTCGCCCCATCGCTGCATGATTTCTGGGGTATGTAGAGTACTCTATGTGTTGGTACATACATGTATATAAGTTATCCAAGGTAAGATGAATATCCATGGCTATCGGGGAAGGGTGTTTTCTTTAAGGAGGGAGGGGCCAGCTTGAATATATATGGATATCTGTATTTCTGGCATAGAATTCCCAGGTGAAGATTAAAGGAGCAGGGTTAGGGTTTAGCGCAAGAGACCTCCAGAATCCACAGACGACGGAAGCAGGCTTATCCGCTCCCATGTAGGTACCTCTACTAGACTCATGTGGCTGGGCACGAGACCATTTGCTTGAGGAAAGACACGCATTTCAGCAGGGCATTCCCGTAAAAAAGAAAATGAAAAATTCTCTCTGTTCAACAAGCCATCCATTCTTTACGGACTGTAAAGTGGACTAGTATCACAATTCCGATAGGATACATGTAGGTATCTTGATAAGAATATCCCCCCTCAATTGAAAAAAATCCTTTACCCAGCCAGTGACAGGCTCCACGGACCTTAAAAGCAAGCATAAAAAAAATTCCTTCACAGTAGAAACTTTACCAATGGGTAGCCCCAAATGTCGACCAGGAATCGCCGCCCTGGTCGATGCTCAGCGACTTAACGATGGCGGTATGACCACGTCCCGATACGCATACGACATACCTATTCCTTACGCATTGGTATATACCGCCAAAACTCGAAAAATTGGCTATCTCCGGCCAGGGATTATCAGTCGAGTGATTGGTTGAATGGCATCGATCTGCATCAGAAGTTTCCCATACAAGTAATTTTGATCTCTGGAAGCTAGCCAATTTTTCGAGTTATGGCGGTAGGCCAAGCCTCATTTAAACCATACATAACCTGAATTCAGGGTAGGAGGTATTTAGAGTTAGAGAGTGTTTAGATGTGTTCACGTTTGATCTGAAGCTTGAATTGCATGAATTGCGGCTCGCACACTTGCCCTAAAGCGGGGGACAAGTCAAGAGACCTGTCATATTCCCACCACCAAGAATAGCAGTGTGAAGCCCCCTTGTTCCTCCTGAAGAGTGTTAGGGTGTTAATCCATCAAGCAAAAAAGAATAATATATTAGACATCACATCCTCCTCCACCCCGCAGTCTCTGACAGTCTTGAGCGGGTTGGGTTCATCACTACTGACCGACAGACTGACCGATGCAAAACATATCCCAGAAAATACTTGAACAACAGCAGCAGGAGCAGAAAACCAGTAAAATCATGGACTCCTCTCAGACTATCGCGGTCGACGAGACAATCGTGAGTAGTCACCACCGATCGCATCTCCATCAACAACAGCAGCATACAGGCTGCTCTTGTGGTTATTATGAAGCTACACGGAATCTCACTTTACCAAATAATTGTGTTCTCCAGGAAGACTACTCAGACACTGAATCGGCCTATGGCTCGATGAGGTTTGCTTTCTCCATGCTACATGGATATTCTTCTTGTACGACTTAAGGCAGCTGATTGGTGTATCTTGCACAATAGGAGCGAGTACTCGGCGAATTCTCTCAACTCTTCAATCTACGAGTGCGGTTTTCACGTTCTTTTTCCCTCTTTCTCTCCTTTGTTGTCAAAAGTGCCGGTACCTCGCCCCTTACATGCCCGGAGTGCAACCACCAAACCTCACACAATCTGAGCTCCGAGCCAACTCAACACTTAAATACCACACGAATCTCTAAGCCAAATGCTACACACAAGAAGAAAAATGGCAGAACTATCAAGAATCTAGGGTGGGAATGGTTCAGATATTCGCTTGATTGGCATGGGGTGGTGTGGTTAGTGGTAATGAGTGAGTGGTTGGTTGGTTGCACTCCAGGTTTAGGGATACCGGTTATTTTTGACCCCCGACGAGACAATGCTGGTCAGTGAAACTGATGTTATCCCAAGCTACCGATATGAGAACGGACGTCGGTACCAAGCACGGAAAGCAGGGTAGGAGCTTCTGATCTAGATAAACTTGAGTAGACAAGGTCAAGGACTGACGATTGTAATTGCGATAGAGAATACTTGCTTCCCAATGATGAAGTATTTCCTCCGATACCCCCCTCCCCCACATGGACAGCGGGCGGTTACGCCTACAAATCCTTGGAAACTCAGCTAATAAAGTATTTCGATGATAAGGTTGAACAAGAAAGGCTAGTTTAGTTTCCTCTCAACTTTTGGCGTTGGAAAGCCTGCAATCCTGACTGGAATGGAGAAAAAAGGCTGGATATTATACACCACATATACCTTCTCGGTATTACTATTATTCCGGTGAAGAGAGAACGCTTTATGCGGGGGGGTTGCGCAATTAACACAACTCTATTTTCTATCTAGTATTGGACGACAAGTTAACCCTCACACCAATCGACAATCCGCAACGAATTCTGGACATCGGGACCGGCACCGGCATTTGGGCGATTGATGCAGCAGAGTAAAAGCGCCCACATATTTCTATCATCGTGTTGCGAAACGCTCTAAACTTACGGGATATAATAGGAGATACCCATCGGCACAAGTAATTGGCACGGACCTGAGTGCTATTCAACCATCTTGGTAGGAATAATTGAATCCAAGGGCAAGGAGTTGAGAAGCTTAAAAGGGCATATATACTGAGTCAATCTTACCAATAGGGTACCGAACGTGGACTTTCATATCGACGATGCAGAGCTGGACTGGACATACGAGAAGGACTCGTTCGACCTCGTCCATATCCGCCACTTGTCCGGAGGAATCAAGGACTGGAGCCATGTCCTAAAACAGGCATATGAGTGAGTCTCCTACTCTTTCACTAGAGAAGGCTTGAAAACATTGAGAGCTATTAACATCGTTATGCAGTGTATGTAAGCCTGGAGGCTGGGTCGAAGTGATTGACTATGAAATGTCTATCTATAGCGATGATGGGACAACCGATAAGCCAATGGCGCTTCACCGGTACTATGATCTGGTCTACCAAGCGGCGGTCAAAAATGGTTTGTCTAATTGCCCCTTTTCTCCCCGAGTGGAAAAGCGTGGTTTTAACTCTGGTTCAGGTCGAGATTTTTCGCTCGTCACAAAAATGATGCCAATGCTGGAGGAGCCGGGTTTCGTTAATGGCTCACACCAAATATTCAAGGTTCCGCTTGGTACCTGGCCGGCCGACAAGAAGCAGAAGGAGATTGGTGCCTATGTGTTGCTTTCTGCGGAGAGCGGGTTCGAGGCATTTGGAATCGACTTGTTCACAAATGTTCTGGAGATGAGTCCGGACGAGTCTACGACATTGATAAAAGATTGCATACAGCTTGCAAGGAGCCGGAATATTCACAGTTATTCTTTACAGTAAGGCCTCTTTCCTTCTCCATGGCGATATATATTAGCAACAACTAATACCAGATACAGTCATTTTTACTACGCGCAGAAGCCACTTGAGTCTGCGGTGGCGGGTAGAACTTAATATTTCCATTTCTCCTCAATCATTTTATTATCACAACATGATGAGTTGAGTTGTTTTTGTCGCTCCTAATTGCATTCACATCACTGGAATCGACTAAGACAGCTTTCTTTAACGAGTTTTTCCTTATTCTCCTTTAGTCAGGCCGGGAACATGTCCATTGCTTCAATATATCCGTCTATTCTTGCTCCCCTTCTATACATCCGTCGTGTACTTTTTTTGTGGTTAAAAACTCAATAAAAAGTAAACCACCATGGATATCGACCATAATGATAATTCACAACTCTTCTAATTATCGATCCGCTCTTTCTCCGTGAATGTATCAGCATACACACATACATTGCTTGGCCATTCCAAATGCTCTACTCTAGATAAACAAACGAACATGCCTATCAGGCCGTGCCTGCTCCGAGAAGAGAAAGGAAGAAAACCAAGGTCTTTTAACGCGAATCTTTCTCTTTCTCTCCTGTACCAAGAACTTACTCTCACGTCACATGAACGCAAACATCCGCATTCGCCAAGTTCTTGCATGACTTGCAAACATCCCCCCTCTCCTTGCAGCCGGAACAACACACCACCGAAGCCAAATACGGGAACTCCCGCTTGGTGTTGAAATAAGAAGTGGCGAAGGCAACTAACGAGCAAGAGGGCAATCTCTAGCCCAGGAAGGAATAGGAAATTTGATCCCTGAGTGGCGGCGATGGTGATGATGGTGGGTTGTGGCGGTGGTGCGCATCACTATTTACTGTTCAGGGTCCCTTTGCACTTGCCGCTCTTGGTAGTGATGGGTTGCAGATGCAATAATTTTCAACCTTAATATTTCGGACATCTATTGTAGACGCCGCTTTCATAAACCACTGCTCTGCAACTCAATAAAGTGGAGTGGGGTACATCATTTGATGCTGTGTGTGATATCTTGGCGAGAATTTGAGTCATGATGTATCACTCGGGCGGTTTTCTGCCTGGCTGGGTTCCAGAAGGACAGATTACGTAGATGCATGTACCTAATGTAGATAGGACACGTAATACAAGGGTTGATTGCAAAAATACACGCGCCGTTGAGAAGCTGTGTATCGTGACTTTCTTATTCTTTCAGCTGGTGATTGACATGGTCTTGATGTTTTTACTGATCGATTGATTGATGGTTCGTTCATCTCGTAATACTGATAAATACATCTCAATGCTAATACAGTGGAGTTTTGATAGTAGCATCTGGTCAAGAAAGTCACTCATGTGCTACTAACTATGTTGTATGGAATCTGTTGCGGTCACCAAAATACAGAGCGTTAAATAAAACTGACTACTAAAAGGATATAACTTAGAACGCTAGATATTCACGAAAGATCAATCAGGAAGCAGGAAAGACAACTAATAAAAATATCATTTATTCAAAAGAAAAACGAAATTCGAAAGGCTAAAAAAAACTGAAGAAAAAAAAAAAGACTAAAGGCCCAGCAGGCCATCTAATCCCCCAACTCCATCATGTCCTCCGTCTCGACGTATTCAGGTCCTTCTGTGACTACTCCGACCATCTGTAGCACCCCTCCCACTTTTCCAAAGGTCACCGTGACCTCCTTTGGTCTCCCCAGGAACACGTCGACCGTCGTATCTCCCTCCTGAATGTATACCACAATCTGGGACGCTCCAGACTCCTCTGGGAAGATCTTTGCAATCGAGTTGCCGTTGGCGTCGACGGTCTCGTCGAGTTTAAATCTCGCCGTGCAGGCAGAGAGCTGCGCGATGAGGTTGTAGACGAGGCGGGATGTGTAGAACCCGAGAGGTCCACCGTCTTTGCGTTTGCGGCCTTCTGCGAGGATGCGCGCGGCACGAGCTTTCTCGTGGTTGATATAGTTTTCGTTGGTCTCCGTGGCCAAGGTAGCTGTGAGGGAGGCAGAGACAGATTCTACAGCTGGTGAGGAGAGGCAGGAGCTGGAACCATTGCTTGGAGCTGGCGAGGGGGCAGAGGTAGGGTCTTCACCTGGCGAGGAGAGGCAGGAGCTGGCGACACTACTTAGAGCTGGTGAAGAGGTAGAGGGCGAAGAAAAAAATGTTGGAGAAGCGGTGAAGTCGAAAGGAGACGAAGGTTGTTTAGAGATAGATGAGGGACTACTGGATGCCATTGAGGTGAGAGGAGAGGCAGCATCGATTGGGGATTTTGCCGCTTTAGGAGAAGCAACAGCATTAGGCAAAATGTTATACTTGGGCTTAGCAGCGGCGGAAGCTGCAGAAATAGGGGAGGAAGCTCCGGGGACGGCAGAGATTGTGGAAGCATCAGGAGAAAAGAAAGATGACGTGCCAACAGGGCTGGCTGGAGAAGATATTGCAGCGGCCACTAGAGACATCAAGGCCCCAACAGGAGACGAAGGGATATCATTGATTGTGGAAGGAGATTCCTCAGGGGATGACAGAGGTGATGAGGAGCCCGAAAATTGTGGAGGGGTTGGATCTCTGGCCGGTGTTGGGGCCTTGCGAGCGCGGCGACGGTGGGCAATTTTTCGTGATTTTCTCGTAGCGATAGGGGTTGCAGGGGGGCAATGGACGCAGGAACAGAACGTTTTGTTGCTCGTGAACGGCGCGGGACGGCCTTTCTTGGGACGAAGGAAGGAGCATATCTTACTGGGGCTATTGACACCCTAGTGGAACGGCGGAGTGGGGGAGGGCCGACTGCAACATGACCGGAGGCAGAGGAAACGGGGACAGAAGAAAATCTAGACATTTTTTGTGTCTAAATGAGAGGGTATTAGTTTAGTGACAGGCAGAATAGTAGAGTATAGGATGGGAACGCAGGCATTGGGTGGAAGGCGGGAGACAAAACAAAGAAAGAACACAGAGGGGGAACTTACAAAGGAGCAGCTATGTAGCTGGAGGGACTGTTGTTAGTGGTGATGGTAGTTGGGGGAAACAACAAGACAGAAAACTTTCCTACAGACCACAAATGTTAGGGGGGAAACGAATCAATTGTGAGAGCATTGACTTACACTCTAGAGAGGAAGAAGTTACAAGAAAGAGGCAGCAGCAGGAGCAAAAATCGAAGCAGCAATATAGAGAACTGTTGTGACGGATGGTTGTGATGCTTAGTGCTTCTGTTTTCTGTGGTAGTGTTTGGAAAAAGAGGGGGAGGAAAGATCGGTGGGAGAGGGAAGGTATAGATACAAAAAATATGGGAGAAGCGCTGCTGGGCATCTTGGTAACGTTGCCCAGCCCCTCTGCAAATTTGTTTGTGCACATCACATTACTTGGACCAGACGCTCATTCTATGGTCAACCAGGGGTCAATGATTACACGGCATGTTTTTTACGGCTGCGCTTGGTTGCCAGGCAGACGTTCGCGGGGCAACCGTTATTGACCTCCACGACTTGGTGATAGGGTTAGGAAATATCAGATGAGTATTTTTGTAGGTACATGAAGTCTTTTTTATATTCTCATTCTCATTTTCTTCCTCATTTTTTTCCCTCCCTTTTTTTTTTTTTTAATGCTGATAGTATGATTATTTTATGAGGCTATGGCGAATCAACACCTTCCTGTAGTCAACTCTGGAAACAACAACGGCAAAACAAATACCGGCGATATTCGTTTATAGGGATGTAGTTTATTATGATGTAGAATAATGGTGAGATTCGAATGCTACCATGTTTTTCCATAAAATGAACACTATCAGTCCCATATGCTAAGGTTTTATGCACATACAAATATTGTATTTGTGCCTAGCTTAGTATCGCAAAAGTTTATTTTAGTGGCCGACCATACAAGATGTTGAACTTTTCTTAGTATTAAAACATATTTAAGACAATTATCTCTCATATTATAAAGTCTACACTCCAGATAATAAAGCATACCTGTATGTATGTAACTCATTAGTGTCTATTTTCCCGTATAGAGTACGTATGTTGCCAGAACATGCACTTGTTCGTTTTAGATGAAAAATATATATTGCGGTGTCTACCAGTAGTTACACCTAGCTATTCCAAAACCAAATACCCCCCAATCCAAGTAACCTTTATTTCCCTTATAAATACATTCGCTCGCTAACTCCGAGACTGTATGTGTATAAATCCCAATTCCAATCGCATCCCATAAACAAAAGAAAAGTTTCAAGGTGCAATGTCGTAATATTACTATTTCCCTATACCCTCTCTTTCATTCTTCAAAGAGCCAATCTCATCATTGCCTACCAGCAGCGCCTCTTTCCATTCTCGCATTACCACCGCCGCCCAGGTTCACGAACGGGGTCGCCAACCACGTCCTCGCTCTCTTCAACCCATACCCGCCCCCTTCTGGCGCCTCTAATGCCGCCTCTTCGTCCTTCTCCTCCTCCTTGATGGACCTCGGTAGGCCTTCCGGGAACATCTTTTCGATATCGAAATTCATTATACTTGGACTAAGCGGGCATACTCTCGAGTGCCTCCGCGCAGCTATCGACATCCGGCGCTGATCTAGGGTTGCGGGGTCGAATCCGTTCTCCATGTGCACGGGATGGAGGTGTATTGCTGGCACCTCGGTAGTATCTTCAGGGGGGTCGGGGAGCGTCCAGCCGAAGCGTTTTCGGAGCTGTTCTGGGGTGCGAGTTATGACGATCTTCTTTAATGTTTGGGTGAACATGCTGCGGCCTCGGGTACGCAGCGCAACGAGGAGGACGGTTACGATGAGGAAGAGAGATACGGGCGCGCAGACTGCCCAGAAGCGGCGCTGGGTCCAGGTGGTTTCGCGGATGTCTTGAACATTCATACCGAAATACTGGATTGGTTAGTGAGAGTCAAATTATGAAGGCATGGAGAGAGACAAACCGATGTGAAGAAGCTCAGAGGTAGAAACACTACTGTTACAGATGTAAAAACAGTCATCCGAACATCTTGTTTGACCTGCAACTGCTGCTGTAACTTCTGCACCTGTGCTTGCTGCCATGCCACATCTTCCAGTGTAAGACCTGTATTCTCCTGCATTCGAGCCGTATTTATCATCATTTGATATTTAAGGCGCTGAAAAAAAGAAATATTCAATTAGCTATCCATCTACTAAGAAATCAGAGCAGTTGATAACTCACATCTTGCTTTGCGACCTGTAGGTACTTCAACCTATTCACCATCGTCTCCACATCTGTCTGGAAAGTCTTGCGGCTTTTTATGACCTTATCGATTGCCTTACGCATGATCTTGAACTGCCCTTCCTGGCTGTTATAATCGAATTTCTTCAGACGGCGAAGGATCGTGACTTGAAGATCTACAACTGTGACAATTGTTGACAACTCGGTACGCATAGTGTATAGAATATCAATCAACCCTGCCAGCTCATCTACATTGCCGCTCTGCATTGAATATTCCTGATATCACATAGACCAGTTAGGGTTTTGCATATACTAACGGAGTTCAAGGCAAAGAGACAAACCAGCTCAGAGATTTCGTCACGGATATCGTCAAGAAGTGATAGCTCCCATGAAGGCAGTATGTTATCGATCATATTAATGAGAGTATGATATGCCCCAAAGCTGTGGTGGTACGGGGACAATGGTATGTGTTCTGGATGATCATCGTTTGCGGTTCTAAACGCCGCGATGGTCTCTGCATGAGTAACTTCAGTCAGCAAATTGCCGCAGACCGTACAAAACAGAAAAAAACGATGGCGCTAAACAGACCATTATCAAACACCATAAACCAGACCTGATGCACCACCATACAATTATCCCCAATCTTTGTCTGCGTTTTATCAAACAACGGTGTATTCAACTTCCTCGGAAAGTTATACTCAAACAGACTCAAAGTCGAAACACTAGCCAGTTCTGTGTTGTCCGTAAGATGAAGCGCCGTCTGCTCCTCCCCAGGTAGAAGTGGGCGCTTTGACGCCTGTATCTTTTTCCGAAAGCTCACGCGTGACATCTTCTCTAGTCCGAGGTATGGAATAGCAACAAAAAGCACAGTACCAGGGAGAAACGAACCCCTCTTTTTGTGGGGAGGGTTCTTGTTTCTGGGCATATTAGGGTGGTATGAGACTCCAGCGAGGAATCTGGACATTGAGGCATTCCGGAACTTTATCATGGCTACTTTAGGGTTGTTTATGAGCTTTTTCAGCGAAAGATTTGTCATTGCGTTGCGGACTTCAATTGTCTCCTTCTTTTGGCGACCAGTGGGAGTTGGCTATATCCATCAGGTTAGCAAGACATACATATAGGATTAATAGAACTACGATGGTATTTGCTTACTGGGTAATCGATTGTCCTATTTCTCATGGTTTGCAGAAATTCCTGTTAACAAAACGTCAACATTGTCCCTCTATGGTCTCTAGATATCCTTCTTTCAAAAGACCAACTCCAAGATCTGGGACATACTTCAGCATAGCAGGTTGTCGGGAATTCACTAAATTACCCCCATTATATCAATATCTAACCTTCTAAACCCCCCAAAACTGGATCATGCTGAACTCACATTATCCTCAACCTCCTTGGCGTTTCTAACTTTGACTTCAATGGTATCTTATCAAAATCCATGACCAACCTCATCGGCGGCTCATCCTTACTCTCCCCTCTCTTCACCTTACACATATACTGCAACGGGACCGCAAAATACGTCGGCGCCGTCTTAGACCCCGGAAAGTCCTCTCCAAATTCATCCTCATCGACATAGTCCCCCAATGACCTACCACCAACATGTCCAAACGTCCTTAACTTCTCCTCGTCAGGATCCTCCTCATCGTCGTCCTCATCAGTGGAATCAGCTGACCGCAGCTCCTGCGTGTAGAAGGTGACAAGGATCTCGCCAGGCCGGTCACTCATTGCCTCTGGGCCATAATCCCAGGCTGAACCGCGGCGGGCCTTGGGGGAGAGGGTGGGGAGCCTGACGTATTGGCTGAGCAGATCTCTCCGTTCTTCTGACCTCCCCGATCTTGCTGCAGCTAGAGAGAGAAAAAAAAAATCTATTGGTTGCCGTTTTTTATATAAAGTGGGGGGAAGTAGATGGACATATTGCTACTTACAATGCTTTTCCTTTACCGATGAAATGTACTTGTCAATCTCAGTATGGTCCTGATCGAGAATAGCTTTAACCTCCTCGTAATCCCACCGTAGATGCAAGCGATCCTGGTCCATCTTGCTGTTTTTCCTTTCGCGATGGTTTTATGCTTTTGTGGAAAGACGGGGCCTGGTGACGGACAGACCGTTGATTGATTTTACCTGGTACACCTCCGTTCCTGCACTCCATATATATATACACCCCACCTATGGCTGCTCTAGACGTTGAGCGAACCCCTCAAATCCATGACACTGCAAGCTGCCACATCGGTGCTGCCTGTGTGTCACATTAAGGGTAAAAAAAACCCCATGAAAGCCCTACCCACCTACTGGTGAACACGCTTTTAGACTGAGATATCTCTTTCCTAGTCGTCGAAAGTTGGTGTTGCGCATGGCATTCGCGTGGTAAGCTAAAAGTAGAGTATTGTATCAAAGACATGCACGTTGATAATCTCAGCCAGTCAGTAGCCTTGCTTCGCCCCGGTGGAGCCAATGATACTCACGACATGCGGTCAAAAGTGCAGGGGACTGTCGAAACATCCGCGGGTTGCAAATTAATCACTGTCAAGAGTAGTGCGGGCCGGTCGATGATACCGAGTTGCTCTCATAGGTTACTGACCTAGGTAGTTGGTCACATCTGCTCTCGTTTTTCTTGGGTAGCAAGGAAGGGCGAGGAAGCATATGCGCATGGGCCATTGGTCTGCATAAGGTTGTAAAGTGCTCTATACGAATAGTAAGCATGCGCAGTGTAATCCTAGTGGGGTAGGCAGGTAGAGTAGTACCATATCTACCTAGCTACTTACACCCACCAACCCAGGCAATGGATCGACAGTCTGTAGGTAGATCATGTCGATGGGGACGTTATCTGGTTGGTTTTGTTATGTTTGTTATCTGTAGCAATGTTTTTGCTTTACTAAGTAGAATAACATCTAGGCACTTCGTCATGAGCTTGAGGAATCTCCTCATTCGAATTGACCTGTTTGATCCGGTTGAGTACTGGGTCAACTTAAACTTCATTCCCAGAGTAGGTAGGTACATACATATCCCCTTACCTCACGCACTTCCAGCTTCGACAACTTCGCACACCCCGAAACCGTTAATTGTGGCTTCAATTAACATGACCTCATTGAACCTCCTTTCGCTCTGCGTGCAGTGATTATTAAGAGCAAACCACACCACTCTAACACCCACTACTGCACTGCGCGTGTTCAATCAATAGGATTCATGATCACTCACCTCGAGTAGAGTAGATACTTACTCAACTTCCCCTACCCACCTACGTGCCTAGGCCTCAGGGTGGGGTAAAATAGGTTAGGTGGCAAAAAAAAAAAAAAAAAAAAAAAAAAAGAATCGCATAAAACTGCGGGACATGCAAGTGTCGGAATTAATTTTCCCCATGTCGAGGCTTCGATCGAAACATGTATGGCCATGGCTGAATGGGAGATTTCCGATATGCCCGGATCGAACCTTGTATTGACTTCCGACTTTGTAACCACTCTGCAAACGGTATGGGGCACACTTTGCTCCAGGATGATTGCGTACCCTTTTTCTTTCTCTTTGGGCACTCTCTAGGGTACCTCTCTCTACTCTGAGTACCGGCGGGACTGTAGAATTGATACACCAAGCACTCAGGATGGAACTTATTGGCCCGCCCCAACTAATCCAATTAGCGTATGTATGATGTGTTGTCTCATGCAATCGGAGACGTACCCCATCGCATTCTTTTCTTCTAGATTCGTAGATCTGGGTTTTGTTTTTTCCTTCGCTTTTTCTCGCAGAAGTGGAAGATCGACAAGGGCCCAGACATAGGGTGGAGGAGCACTTGTGGACAGATGTAGAGTACCTACATCAGAACTGCCATGCTCTTCAGGCTAAACCCCAACTGGCTGACGCTACTGCCAATGGCTCCGAGTAGCTCTTGATATCTAAAGAGAAGCTTTAGCCACTGTGCGTATGAGTATCAAAACCGTGTCTCTAGCTATATATAGGGGCTGAGTTCTTGTAGTTGTGCAGCTAGAAGATGAATGGCCAATTCGACGCACCGCATTGTATTAACAGATGAATCATAATATAAGTCCTAATGAGTCAAGTACGAGGCGATTGCCTGAGGAAGCCTTTGTTGGATATATCTATGTCCGAAACAAGGATGAGGAAACAAAACCAAAGAGAATGTAGCTTTTATATAACGAGGCCTGAAGTGGCTATTTGTACCTCGTGATACCACGCGTCGTACAACATTGCTATGTCGTTGGAGTCGACCCATTATTATATCGAATCGGGATTCTAACCTTATACCGTAGCTATACTGTTGTACAGGATGTGTGAGTACGTATTGTCATCTACGTATACTACAACTGTGGGCTTATGTTGATCAATTGAGGAATAGCTGGCCTGACAATCTGTCCTCGATTGTCGCACATATAAAGCTAGAAACCTTAGTAGTCCTATTAATATCATCATCGTCTCTTCTCTTATCCAATAGTTTATTAGATCCTGCTATATACAGGCATTAGTTCGATAATTGGAACACATACTGCCTTACAGTACTGAATTCATCCGCTTTCTTGGTTCTGTAGTATGCCATTGGCGGGGCCCATAGCTATTGATATCGATTTACAGAAGGCGCTCCGTCAGGTAATACCGATCCCCAATAAAAAGTGGCCTTACTAACAGATTCCATTAATTATCTCTCTTATCAAGTGCTAGATCTCCCATACAAATTCAATTCCTTTATTACAGGTTGTCATCAATTGCTGGTTCAAGTGATAGCAGTTAAACTCCACGTATGTGCATCACGCACTTGACACTTGAATCAACTAACTACCCGTAATTCCATAGTGTTTCTGAACACAACTGAGTGTGCATACCCGCAAAATCCTGTATGAGACTCCAAATACAATTTGGTGGTATGTATGCAGACCCAGCTGTGTTCAAGAACGCTATGAAATTATGAGTATTATCAAAAGCATTGACACAATCTGCTAGCTACAGTTCTCTTCACAACAGCTAACAGTGATTAGTAGCTGCGAAATAATGTTGAATCCCGGTAGCGTGTAACCAGCTTTACGGCCATGGCCACCTATATACCAAGCCATGCCATGTACCAGCGGCCAGCAGAGTACATATACGTGCTTAAGCGCTGTCCCTTTCTCGGTCATATGTGGATGTTGAGAGCTCCTGTGTCAAGATGTGCGAGAGATGCATGGAACCGCGCCATTGCGGCTCGGGAAGAGCACCGGCATGGCTTAATCTTCCGTTGGCGGGAGTTTGAGATCTATCTAGAGCAGAGCAGATCAAAGGAGTGTTATTCGGCGAGGCACGTGACCGGCGAAAGAACGCGTAAAAAACATCGAGGCACTACTACAATGACTGGCATGTGAAAAAAAATCACCACAAAATCTTGATTCCAGGAGCTGCTATATAGACCAGGCAGTCTTCCTTGCCCATTAGTTGTGGATATACTCAGCTCCACCATCCGCAATGCCTGAGTACCGCAATGCCTGAGTACTGTTGACTACCAGCGCCAAGGCAATCCCGGTATTTGACATTATTCCACAGCTAGGGGTGAATTCGAGAGCTGTTCTATGCAGGTGAAAGGAGAAATCCGGACGGCGCTAGAGATGCAGGAACTGTTGTGGTGGTGAAGACCTCATATTCCCCAGAGCGCCGATTACTGATCTATCGACACATACCCTATTAAAGCGGGAGAGGAGCGCTTTCACTCAAGGCACCCCATCGGCTGGCTTCTGCTTCTACATACATACATACTCGTATTTCTCTGACGTTTGTGGACGCGACTGATATTGCATGCCATACAAAAATACGCCAAGCTCATGATTTTGGGTGTATGCAATAATGGCCCAGTTCAAAAACGTCAGAGAAATACTAGCTTTACCCTGACACATACACACACACACAGTTCCAATTTCCGATAATATATGTACTCTACTCTATGTAGTCGGTGTGTTGAAATCCCGACGATGTGCTGTGCTGTGTGGTGTCGTGTGCCCTTTCCCCAAACTGGGATGAGGCGCAGTGGAATAGGGTTTCTGTTGTGGGATTGGGGAATCACACCTCATCACTCAGCCCTAACCTCCTCGCCCAGTCTCTTGTCTCCACTCTCTCCCTCCTTGACGAAGACTCACTCACTCGCCCGTGCTGGGGGCTGTCGCTAGCCGAAGTGTGCTTAATTGTGCTTGTGCTTGTGCTTGTCCTTGTCCTTCCTCCCTCCCTCTCTCCCTCCCCCAAACAACGTGTCTCTCGCTCCCCAACGAAACCCGCTGCCAACCAAGCGTCTGTCTGCGTTCTAGTGCAACACTAAGCGTCCCCGCCAAGGCCTGTCTCTCCCGCCAAAACGAAAAAAGAGCCCGCCCAACTCATTCTTTGGCCCGCCCCATAAAACTTTCCTCTCACCTCACCTCACCATCACAACTATCTCACTACACCACCAAGCACCCACCATGCCACCATCACTCACCATGTCCACCACCACCACCACCACCACCACCACAACTACCACAACCACAACCGCAACCACAACCGCAACCACAAAGACCCGGGGCACCACATCCCCCCACCCCTCGAACCTCGACCAGTTCCTCGCAGCACCCACCCCCTTCCTCGCCCGCGTGTTATACAACAGCCTCCCCGCCCAGCGACGACAACCACACCCCCCACCACAGCAGCAGCACGGGGATCCGGAAGAGACACTGACAGTGGTATGCGTGTCAGACACGCACGGGCAGATGCCACCGCTGCCCACGGGGGATCTGCTGCTACACTCGGGCGACCTCACGGCGTCGGGCACGATGGGCGAGCTCCGGGCCACGCTGCAGTGGATCGCCTCACAGCCGCACCGCTACAAGGTTGTAATAGCGGGCAACCGGGAGCTGTGTCTCGACGAGGAGTCAAGAGGCCGCTCACTCGGCATCTCGCACGGACCCGGAGCTCACGATGAGAAGGGCACATCTACAACAACATCCACAACAATAGACTGGGAAAAGCTCTCGGCCGCAGGCCTCGTCTACCTCCAAAACAGCAGCATAACCCTGCACTTTCCCGCGCCGCGCGACCGCTGCATCAAGATCTTTGGCTCGCCGCTCTCACCGCGGCACCACTCCCCACACGCCGCCTTCCAATACACCCCCACCGAGCACCCCTGGCACGGGCTGATCCCGCCCGACACGGACATTGTGCTCACACACACGCCGCCGCAGTGCCACCTCGACAGCTGGCGGCGGTTCGGGTGCGGGGCGCTGCTGCGCGAGCTGTGGCGCGTGCGGCCGGCACTTCACGTCTTTGGGCACGTGCACGCGGGGTACGGGGTTGAGGTTGTGCGCTGGGACGAGATGCAGCGGCTGTACGAGGGGGCGTGTGCGGGCGGCGGTGATGGCAAGGGGAATGCGTGGGCGCTTGTCAAGATGGCGGGGCTGTTTGTCGTGTGCTGGGCGTCGTATGGGCTGTTTGGCGAGGGCCGGTGGTGGTGGCGCGGGGGGGACGGCGAGGGAGTGACGAGGCTGGTGAATGCGTCGGTGGGTCGGAGTAAAGGGGAGGGCGCGGTGGACTCGCAGTGGGAGAATGAGCCGGTTGTGGTCCGGCTTTGACAGATGGGGGATATGGTATTCTACTCCTTCTGCCCAGCAGCATTGCACCCCACTACTTTTGTTCTGTGCTGTGTTATTTCATCCTATTTTGTATACAATGCAGCCTGTAGTAGTAGTAGAGATCAATGGGGGCGCCAATACAATAGACGCATTTCGGGGTCTGCGACCGTCCCGAGTGAGAATCCGAGATGCAGCGCCAAGATGCGGCAGCCAAGCCTTTTTTTTTCCATGATAACTCAGTTTAATCCATTGACGGCCAGTTTCTTCACCACAGCCACACAGCTTCACCGAGATTCTCACCGCCCGAGCAGAACTGCCAAAACCTCACCACAATCCCACCACAATCCCACCAATCCCACCACAATCCCACCACAATCCCACCACAAATGCTGGCCACGCGCCACACCCTCCGCCTCCTCCCCCGCCCCCAATTACTGACGCCCGTACTTGGACGCACCTTCGCTACTACCTACCCCCGGCTACAAAAGCCCACCACCAAAGACAGCGAATCCGCGCGCGAAGACTACGTCCGCAGCGTGCGCACCCAATGGGGCAGCAGCCTGCCCGAGAACCTCCTCACGGACCGCGAACTCGCCCTCTACGAGCGCCACTACGGCAAGCCCGTGCGCATGCTCAAGGCCGGCGAGGAGCTCTTTGGCGACGGCCCCGCCGACACCGAGGGCGGGAGTGGGGGCCTGGAGGCGGGCACGACCACGCTGCAGGGCGTGGATGGGGAGGATATCGTGTTTGAGGAGCTGGAGATGGAGATGGAGGAGGGGGTGTTCGAGTCTGTGGAGCGCGCCTTCCGTCACCGCCACCACGACAGCGACAACACAGACCTCGCCGCCTACTCCACGGGCGAAGAAGACGTCCCCGCGGGCGCCAGCGACGGCCACATCGAGCGCACCCACCCACTGACCTCCATCGGCCGCTTCGCCACACACCCATCCACAATCCGCGTGCCCCCCTCCGTGCAGCAGCAAACAATGGACTCCCTCTCCAGCGTGCCCAACAAGCACCTCGACGCCGCAGCCACGCGCATCTTTGGCAGCAGACAGCTGCCCGACTCGCCGGTGTTTACAAACTCGGGCGGAAAGACGCTGACAAAGGTGCTGCTGGACGTCGAGGATGCGCGCATGAGCGATATCGAGGCCGAGGTGTGGCTCGCCACGGTGCTGCCCGGGTATTATAGCCAGAGCTTGAGCGCGATGACGGAGCTGCGGAGACGCCTGGGCGGGGACTGGGCGCTCAGAGTGCGGAATGTGCTGGATGTGGGCTCTGGCGGGGCTGCGGTGCTGGCGTGGCGGAGCGTTGTAGAGGCGGAGCAGGCGCTCCGGCGCGACGAGGCGCGGGCGCGGGCGGGCGCAGAGGAGTCGACGCTGCCGCCGCCAGAGGCGGACCTGAGCGGTATCAAAGCGACGGTGGTGACAGCGGCGGAGCCACTACGCTACCGCATGGCCAAGCAGCTCAGCGACACGACGTTCATCCCGCGCATGCCCGACCGCAACCCGGACAACGTCTTCCGCAGCCCTTCGTTCGGCGCTGGCGGCGCCACGCTCGAGCCGAACCAGAAGCAGGTGCGCAAGACATACGACCTCATCGTCGCAACGCACAACATGCTCCCGCTGCGCGAGACGCACCACCGCCGCGACCGCATCAGGAAGCTGTGGTCGCACGTCAACCCGTCCGGCGGCGTGCTGCTGCTCATCGAGAAGGGCACGCCGCTGGGCTTCGAGGCCATCGCGGGCGCGCGCGCAGCCCTGCTGCGAAACTACATCGCCTCCCCGGACTCCACGCACCGCGCGGTGGGCGGCAACAGCGCGGTGGAGGCCGGCCTGGACCCCGTCGAGAAAGAGGCCGGCGCGATCGTCGCGCCGTGCACGAACCACAAGGAGTGTCCGCTGTTCCCGCACGGCTACACGGACGGCGTGGGGCGCAAGGACTGGTGCCATTTCGTGCAGCGCTATGAGCGCCCGACGTATCTGCAGCGCGTCATGGGCGCGAATGCGCGCAACCACGACGACATTCTGTATTCGTTTGTCGCCGTGCGGCGCGGGGTGGACTATCGCCGCGCCGGAAACCCCGTGATTGAGCCCGACCCCGAGGAGTTCCGGCACCCCCCCGAGGGGGCGGGGGCGGGGGCGGGGGCGGGGTGGGCGCCGCCGACGCAGAGCCCGTATAGTATGGACCAGCTGCGGCGGTACGCGTTTACGCTCCCGCGCACGCTGTTCCCGCCGATCAAGCGGCACGGCCACGTCACGCTCGACGTGTGCACGCCGTCGGGCACGCTCGAGCGGTGGACGGTGCCCAAGTCGTTTTCCAAGACTGCGTTCCGGGACGCGCGCAAGAGCCGGTGGGGGATCTGTGGGCGCTGGGGGGAAGAGCAAGACGCTGCGGAACGTGCGCGTGGGTGGAAGGGCGCCGGCGGGGAAGGTTGCGAAGCTGATCCGCGTGCCCGATGGGGAGGGGGGCGTGGAGGAGCGGGTGTCGTATAAGCGGGTGAATGGGGCGGTGAAGCATTGGTCGCGCGGCAATGCGGAGCTGGGGGAGAAGGTGAGGAGGAGGAGGGATATTAGGAGGGGGATTAGGTGGAGGGCGAGGGAGAAGGAGATGGGTGCGGAGGAGTATTAGAAGGATATTGGGTGAGGCGCGGGGGGGGGGGGGGTGGTGTGTATATAGACTATATTTATGGAGGCTGTGCGCTCTCTCTCTCTCTTCTCTGGGCGGTCAGATTGTACATGTACGATAGCAGTGGTGTGCGTGGGGGTGGACCTCTTTGTATTTATATACTCACAGAATATGATGCCCCGCGGGGTATACTTACACAAGGATATAAAACAGAGTTATTCCCAGGCCGACTGCCACCCATAGCAAAAATGGATGTCTCAGGTTGATTTCGAATCACAATAATCCCACGGCCCAATGATAAATGCTCTTAGACTACGACACCTCCGAACCCGCTGGAGAGGGGGGGCAATCAAGGCTTGCCACTGCCCAATCGATCAATCCTCCTCCTTTAACAGGGGGTGTGTTCCAGCCGAGTGATCATCCATGATCGAACACGCCCGTGGATGACATACCGGTCATGCAAAATCACTCGGTGGAACAAAATAGCCGCCTGTCACTGGCCACACTTGATCCTTCGCCTGTACCCAGGACTTGTAGCAACGACACAAAACCCGCAGACTCGGCTGTCGGCGGTGTGCGAGGCCATCTCAACCGAGTGCTATTTCGAACAATTTTGATTGATCAGGACGCTCATAGGCCGATTCGCGGGAACACTAGCTAGACGAAGGCATATGCTTAATAGGTAGTGAGTTACATGTACTCCAACACCGGAATACACCCGCAGTAGCTTAGAACGTATATATAGATCAATTATTAAACCCGATATTCTTGATGCCTCGTTGTACTCGTGCGCTCGGGGCTCTTAGTGGGGATTATTTGCAGCGTAGATTTTATAAGAGACTGAATAAATTAAGCGAGTCGTATATATTGTATGATTGATGATTAGTAAGAACAGATGGTACAAGAACAGAGGGCAGAAGCTCCTTTTATAATAGAAGCATTGTAAACACGGATCATCAAGACACCCAAACCTGTTGTTTATACACGTACTAATAAAGATAACAACTGCAAAAACAACAGCAACCATTATCCGACCAGTTAATGGACATGCGAGTACGTATGTGATATCAAAGCACACCAATAAGCGTCAAGATAGCGCTACAGAGACCTGAGCGGGCTCGTTCACTATATTTCACCCCCCTCCGGCCTTTCTCAGCTTCCACGAACTTCCCCCACAACAGGAAGCAACGCGAGAAACAACACAATCAACATAAATCATCTATTACGAAAACCCAGACCCCCAAACCACAATATTTAAATTTCTACACAAACCCCACCCACTCGCCCACTCACTCACTCCTTCGCCCCCCCGCACCCCACCACCCCTCACGCACTCAATCCCCTCACAACCCTCATCTCCTCCTCAACCACATCCATCTCCCTATCCAGCGCCACCAGCTCCGCCTCCCTCACCCACCAAACTACTTTCTGCTTAGAAGCGCGAGAACTTGATTCTCTTCCCCACACAGCGACTTCTTCGCCTTTGCTATAATCCTCGCCGAAACACTCATCTGTGGGCTAGGGCCAGGGACTTTATCCGTTGCGATGAGCTGGGAGAAGCGCAGAAAGACCGCGTCGTAGTGGGCTTGCAGCAGCTTGAGGACGCCGGTGCGGATGGTGATGATTTGGGCTTTGAGGGCGGGGGGGGGGGGGGTAGGGCATTGTTGAGGGCGTGTAGAAAGTGTTTTTTCGGTTCCTTGGTTTGTATGTAGCTGGGGACATGCTGGGTCCAGCGCAGTAGAGGGCAGGGCTGGTGGTTTAATATGACTTTTTCTTTGGATGGCCTCCAGGGGCCGTAGGGAATGGAAGGACGCCCGAAACTCACTCTGCATCAAAGAGTCTTGGATCGGGATTATTCCAGATACATCTAGTAGTCCGAGATTCCAAGGTTTTCTCTACTAGAAACATTTTAAGTTTATCGATTTTGAAGTATATTGTGCGCGCATCAAGCTCACTCGTCCTATTAGGATCGGAGCTCGAGGTCGTCTCTTAACCAGAGTATGGCCCGGCCCGGTCGTCGTACAGGCGGTCGTGCGCGCAAGAAATCTGCTGCGCCGACCGTTATCGGAATCAATATCTTACTTCTCATCGGCTGCTCTCCCATAGCTGCCTCCGAGCCGTGGAGAATAATGGCCATAGATTCGTAGCAGGCTCAATTACGACGGCCTAGTGGATAAAATGTTCCTACTGCTTTTGCTTTACCCGACCGGGATGCTAAAGTAGATAAGTAATCATCTCGTTCTTAAGAAGACGGCGCGCTCGGGAACCGTAACAGCTCAGGATAAAGAACTTCAAAACAAGGACGGGAGTTGGACGCTTTGGATTTGAGATGTGATTTAGGTATTCCCGTTGAACTCAACAACAGGCTACAGTCGTTTTTGGAGCAACGATGAAACTGGTTGAAAGTGATGATCAGGAACTGTTGGTAGTCAAGCAGGATGACACTCAGGCCGATATCTAGCAGATCGATTGGATGAAACCCAGGTTCGTCGTTACTCCAAAAGCGACTGTATCCATAGGGAAAGGACACGAAACTAGGTTTTAAGTTACGTGCTGCCCATCCGTAAACCTACGGTAGGTTCTCTAGAAGACACAAACCGACCGTTCGTGAAAAACGTAAGGCCGGGGCAAACGTTCCCACGCGACTGTCGGGGCCGATCTGCTATACGAGACTGAACCTCTGAAGCCGTGAGGTTCGTTATAGAAGACGGAAAAAGCACCCTCAAGAAGAAGAACAGCAGCGTTCGAAGATCCAGTCAATGATAAACAGTAAGGGAAATGACTTCCACTATACCCGCAGCTGTCATCAGCTAAAGCGCCGGAGGAGACAATACTCACAACAAACTGCAAAATTCGATAGCAACATATGGGCAGGAACTCAAACTCGAATCCCCAAAGTGCGGTAGAGCCATTCCCACAGAGGCCAAAAAATGGGCTTCCTAGCCCACCGGGCCGCCACCTAGACGGACCCCACTGCTCGATCACCCACCTGAGCGAGGAATCCAGGAGAACTCTGAAAACGAGCTGAGAATCTCCTGAGGATGTACACTTCTCTGTCTTGCGCGCGAGCCCAATCGTATTAGTTATAAAAAAAACTTACTTCCGGTAAGCCCCCCCCCATGCATAATATCACGAACCAAGCTCACTTATCCCTTGATGGTACGACAGCATATCACATTTCTCCTACAACTCGGGGAGAAGTCCATCATTCTTGCCCCCCAAGCTACGCTGGATTCGGATATCATAAGTGATCGGCGAGGAAAGCCGTTCACCAGAGTACTAGTAGCAATATTTAGTTCTTGGTATCACACTCTACCTGGATGGTGGTGGTCCAGTAATTTGCATGTTACACCCATTGCAACCCGGGATAATTGGATGTTTTTTTTTTTTTTTTTTTGATGCTCATCGCATGAGGAATCGTTGTAGGATTACGATTCCGGTGATACCTCAATTGCAGATCAAAGTCCATCGTTACTCTTGGGAGCGTAGGGGAACCGGCTCTAATCCGACGGACGCTGGTTAAACAGGCTCTTCATTTTTTTGACATCTGTATGCACCACATAAAGTTCTCAGCTACCAGCCTCGAACCCCTGAGGCCATACGTACCAGGAGAAAGAGAGCCTTAGGGCGTACGCGTTTGACGCGCCAAACCCCTCACCCCAGAACGGATGAATTCACACGGTGCAGCTCCTCCCGCTTGACCGAAATTGAGACCTGGGTTTCTCCGTTGGTTGAAAACACTGGTTTTCCAGAAACCGGAATAACCAATTTCCTAACTGCGCCGTTAGTCTGTCCACTAGTGCTAAATGTGCCAATGATGTAAAAGTAGAGCAAGTCGACTACTAACTATAAGCTAGTACTCTAAGTACATGCAGTGTTCCTGCTTATGCGTCCCGTGACACGTACGATAACCTTGATCTCTGAACGGTGAGAGCAAATGTGCCTAGATGCAAGGCCTATCCTAGGGCGTCATAACTAGGGGTATTAAGGAGATAATGAAAAGGAATTGATCGCCGTAATTACCCGATGAGCCAAACCGTACCTATTTTCATATATGAACTTCAGATGAAAAGCAAGTTAGCATTTGAGTTGTTGGGGTCTGATTATTGGTATTTAGGGGGACTGTGAAGAATACGAGTGATTTCGCATGAACGTACGGACGTGCGTACACACAGTGACAGTGCCCCCCCCTTTTCCTTCGTCACCTTAAGCTTTCCGGCCACTGTTTTTGCAAACATAGCTTTTGGTCTTGGCTCGTGCACCAGATGAACCATCGATCGAATCCAGCAGGAACACACGCGCACGGATTAGAGCCGTTGAAGGCCATGCATGAAACAAGCTTGTACTTTAGATTCAATTAAAATGGACGTTTCCCAATTGCACGCCAAAAGAAACCAGGACTAACAGGATTCGTGGTGCAACAATTTAAACACCAAGATCACGAAAGCTTCAACACACGATCAGGATCCAGGATGCGTAGTTGTATTGCTATTTCAAGTATTTCAAGCTGGTACATGGCGGCAAGCAACACGCGCGATTTTTCCGCGCCAGGTCAGGTCTCTGTCATGGATTCTCACCCAAGGTTTCGATCCCACCCCCGGGCCCTTCCCCCCTCAATGTCTTAGAATGAAGTTGTTACCCCTGGCCTAAGCAACCACACGGGATCCACTTTGTGTGGCTGGTGTTAACTAATATCAAGGTACCCCGCACTAATATTAGTAGAGCACCTAGACCCCACATATCAAATAGATTTCTGGTTAGAGTGGATATTTGGCTTGACCGCGTAATCCGTCCACCTCCAATTGCAAGGGCAACTCTGTATTTCTCCCGTACTTGTACCATCAGTCCAATAGGAAAAATATGCGTGAGGTTACACATATCCGTCCGTTCGTTCCCGCAAAGACTTACATCTTCGGATCGTGAGTTTTTCCGTCGCGTGCGTCCGTTACGTTTTTCCCGGTAGGAAAAAAAAAAAAATATGATATGGACAAATGACATCTGCATGAGGGGTAGTACATAGCAAGGAGGATATTTCTGGTCTGATGTTCCTTGATGAGGTGGGGCAAGCTGATGGGAAGAAGAAGTAGCAGCAGGACCTTGAAACAAGAAACGTTTCCTTCCAAGCGGCCAGGCAGCAGAGCTTGTTTGGACGATTGAATATGGAAGGTCTCTAAGAGGTGTACCATGTTTATGTGGGGTCTCCAAATGATGGTTCCTGGGGAAGGGCCCGTATGTAGACACTTTTGTTGGGGATGATTACTCCACTCTAGAGCACCAGCTGGCTAACCAAGAGTCGTGTGATGAAAAGCCCCGTTGGATACCAATCGGTGAGACTAGTAGAGTACCTATGTAAAGACTCGATTCCAAAAAATCTTGAGTCAAAGCGGGAGGCAAATAAAAAATAAAAAATAAAAAATTAAAGGCTAGTTCTGCAGGATGAAGAAAGTCTCGATGTTGTCTATCTGCATGTGAGTACGGATTTACTTTTTTGATATCTCAGGTGGTGGCGGTAACGGAAAAAGTGTATCGGCGAAAAAATAAAAGCAAAAGTGAAGTGCATTGCCCAGAAACCAGGTTTGACAGGCCGGAGAAACATCGGACAATTCTTTTTTTTCTTTCTTTTCACGATAATGAAAATCGCGCTTCCACAAAATTAACATCAACGTGTAAGATGCTGTTGTGTGTGGATGAAAGACCACATTCAATTTCTTCGATTGTAATCTTACGTAGGACATGAACTGAGCAAGGTATGAAGATGAGTGAAAAGTAATCGGTGTTGTGCCCGTTGACCCCGCGAATTCAAATATCTGGAGAAGATAGCACAGTAGCACAGTGTGGAGACCCCTCGTTTTCCTGTCCCCGCGCTGTTGAGAGGCAGAGCTACCACTCGAATGGTAAGATCATGATAATTAGACGAGGACGGTGAGCCAGGGTGGAGGGCGTCAATCGAGGTTTTTCCATCTTCATGCACATCTTGTGCCCTATCCTGCAGGGCCGGCATTGAGTCCTGTTACATCAGAGCTAGAGTTCTCGGCGATATCGCCGGTTACACGAATCTAAATTCTAGAAGTTGGGGTTAATCCGGGGGGCAAGCTTCAAGCCACCATGGTCGGGGAAAGAAGGTGGGGCACCGCGTTTTAGTGTCAAGGCCCAAGCCTCTCTTTCTGATCCACTCTGACCGCTCGCCCGCCCAACACGGCTAGTGCGGGTAAGCTGTCTGCTTTTTCCCCGCCACGAAAAAGTGTAGCGAAATTCCCCGGACATGTTGATTCGTCGTCATTAGGCGGTCGTGGGCTAAGGCCTCGGACTTGGCTCCGGGAAACTCTTGACGAGAACCTCTCTCCAACAACCTTCTTCCCCAGCCAACCACCAAAAATCAATCTGTGGGGCTCCAATCATCACCTCCATCTCGGTAGAATTATTAGCCACACCTCCATTTACAATTTGACTACAGCCAAGCGAATTGCGGGACTACCCTTGTCTAATATTATCCGTTATTGAGAGATTTCCGACCCCTCGCCCGCCTTCCCCGTAATCTGGGTGGTGGCCATGAGATGTGTGTGAAAAAAGCAAAAAAGCAAAAAGTGAATTTTTGTATCTCAAGTGTTGATCGCAAACCCACCGTTGCCTAGTGCTATTCCGTTTGGAGGCTTGAATCTCGGTGAAATGTCCATTACTGTTTCTACGGCCGGCCGCTGGGACCGTAAAGTGTAGTGATTGACGTAAGAGTCGAACATCTACTATAAAGACAACACGGCTTCCTCGAATTCCAAAACATCATCAGCCAGCTTCCCCAGCAAGCCATTCCCCATCAGAAAGGTTTATTCTTCACAGTCGATTCAACAACTCGGAATACCTTCGCAATGGCTATCAAGAAGTCTACGAAAAAGGTCGTTTCCGACAATGTGGCCACGGGAAACAACGAGATCACTCTTAGGGAGTCGATCTTCCCCCTCTTTTTGGTGACGATCTTGTTTTTCCTCTGGGGATTTGCATACGGATTGTTGGATGTCTTGAACAAGCATTTCCAAGAAGTCCTGCATATCACTAGATCTCAGAGCTCCGGGTTGCAGGGAGCATACTTTGGGTGAGTAGTATTCGGCCCAACACTGTACTGCACCTCAAGTTGCTAATAATTCATAGTGCATACTTCCTCGGCCCCTTGACATTCTCCGGTTACATTCTCCGCCGATGGGGATACCGCGTTGCCTTCATGACTGGTCTCTGCATTTACGGAGTCGGCGCATTGATGTTCTGGCCCTCCGGAATGAAGGAATCCTTCGGTGGATTCTGTGGTAGCATGTTCATCGTCGGATGTGGTCTTTCAACCCTCGAGACCGCTGCCAACCCTTACATTTCCGTCCTTGGACCCCCCAAGTACCTCGAGATGAGACTCAACTTGGCCCAGGCCGTCCAGGGTATGGGAACTGTCCTCGCTCCCGTTCTCGCTTCCCATGTGTTCTTCAAGAGTGTCTCCGACTCAGCACTCCAGAGCGTTCAATGGGTCTACCTCGCAATCGCCTGCTTCGTCTTCTTCCTCGCTGTCGTCTTCTACTTTGCTCCACTCCCGAGATTACAGATGCCGATATGGAGACTCAGGCCCAGGACGATGCCGCAGAGGGCACTGAAACCACCTCCTCCAAGCCAATCTGGCAACAGAAGACCCTCATCTGGGGTGTCCTTGCTCAGTTCTGCTACGTCGGATCTCAGTGCGCCGTTGCTGGATTCTTCATCAACTACGTCACCGAAGCTAAGCCTGGTCTCTCCTCTGCCGAAGGATCCAACTTCCTCTCCATCGCACAGGCTGGTTTCGCCATTGGTCGTTTCATTGCCGGTTTCTCCATGAAGTTTGTCAAGCCCCGTCACATTCTTTTCGTCTTCTTGGCTGGATGTGTTGCATTTGCCGCCGCCTGCATCAAGGGAGAGGGAAACACTGCTGTTGCATTGATCCATCTTGTCCTGTTCTTTGAGTCTTGCTGTTTCCCAACCATCTTCTCGCTCTCCCTCCGTGGTCTCGGAAGACACACCAAGCGTGGCGCCTCCTTCCTTGTTGCATCCGTCTGTGGTGGTGCTGTCTTCCCACCAATGATGGCCGTCGTCTCTGATTCTAGGAACTCCACAAGGTTCGGAATGATTGTACCAATGGCTGGCTTTATCGCGGCATTCTCATTCCCCATCTACTTGAACCTCTTTGAGGCCGAGAGGCTTGACTCCTACTCCAAGTCCACCGTCGGTCTTGACAACAAGATGTCTGATTCCGAGAAGCTCGGTATCGACAGCGACAAGGGCACTGAAGAGATCAGAGTTGAGAAGTTGTAAATCTAGGAGTTGTTTGATTGTTGGTTGGTTGGTTTTATGCCCTGTATGCCATATATGTGCTGCTGTACATGTGTGTGCTGTTTATGTTTTTACCTTCTTCGGTTTTGTACAGTTGGAGTGGACCGTCTAGAGAGCTTTTTTAGACCTGGTTTCCTTTTTTTTCTTTAGTGTTTAGTATTTCCTTCAAACGGCGTTTATGAAAAGAGAGCACATTCATGTATTACGATAGAAAAGAACGAAAAAGAAAGAGAGATATAGACTCACTTTTTATACACATGTCCCAATCCTTCCTTCCCACCCTCCACATATGTGATTTACAATCGAGCCCGGTGCAAAGCACCCCGAGACGAACCCAGGCAGACTAGCTTCTAGCTTAGGGGGGAAAGAAAAGAGGTTCGGGCCTCGGTAATGGGCAAACAACAAGCCGATTTGCGCCTATCGAAATCTCACGATACCATTTTGAGGCTGCGAGTGACGCTCTGTGACTTGGATTTAGCCTAAATGGACAACACACGGCGGGCCGGGTGGGCAGATGCTTTGGCTTGTGGGTGTTGGTGTTGGTGTGGTGATGTGGTGATTTTGATGTTGTGCGTCTTGCGTGCTGGTTGGTGAGCGATGTTTGCTATATTGGTACGGTATAGTGAGACATGGGAGGTGGGAAGGAGAAGGGGAAGGGGAAGGGGAAGGTGGGGGATGGGCACGAGTGATGCAAGATGATCGTGGTAGAATAGATACATGCCTGCGCGGGCTCTTTATTTTCAACCAATCATCCGCACGCCCCCACACAGAATGGGGGGGGGGGGGTAAGCATGGGGCGATAAATTGGTAGAGTCATGCCATGAGAATCAGAGGGTTGCATCCTAGGAACAAAGAGTTTGTTAGTCAACCAGGATGATGGCGTTGTTAATTGGTTGACGAATGTGGTTAACAATTTTAGGTTGGATCACAACGGCAACCGCACTTAAGAGTTGAACCCTTGGCAAGTGGTAATGATCATTGGTGGATGTCAATGATAGTTGTGACAGGCCGGGGCTATAATTCCACCAAGGCAAATTCATAGGCGGCAATAGCGACAGAGATCAATACAGTTTATAAATATGGGAAAGGGCCATATGATAGCTTATTTTCCCTCCTGTGTTTTTCGCGTACAAACTTGCTGCCAATTCCATAAATACATAAAGATCTCGCAATGCATGCAGCAAGCCAATACCGTACCAACGCCTCGAATCCATCGATATCAGAGTCCCCTTTCCCCTAGCGGTCATATAACTATTGTCAACCCCACCCATATACGCCCCGAACTACCTCTCTGAAGAACCGCCATGCTTGCGCCAACATTCCGCGCCCCTCCTCCCTCCGCTCTCTGCTAACATCCGCGTCATGGTCCACCAGCTCATTCACCCTGTACGTGTACTCGGCCGGCTCTTCATGCCACTCCAGCTCCGGAACATTACTAACGTGGACGGAAGTCATGTCAAACGCTATTTCAGGCGTGGGCGGTCCATTGATGACGTCGGAGGTGACAAGGACAGAATCTCTGTCGAAAGCTATCTCGCCCTCGAGGAGGGTAGGTTGATTTCTGACAGGGACGGTGACTCCGACAGAGTGTCTTACTGGAGAGGGCTCGACTCGGTGGTTTTGAGACGGCAATCCGGATGCGATGGTGGGCGAGGCCGCAGTGTCCTCAGTTGACAAAGCGGCCTGGGGGTAGGCCCGCCCCCACCGGGCGAAGAAGCCAGCAATCATCTCTATCTCTACCACTGGGAACCAACCCATCCATGGTCGTGACGGGAGGGTATTTATTAATGAATATCCCATCTAGCTGTTCGCCATCATGACGCTAATTGATAATAATTGTGTATCGTATTTGCCGTTCATCGCTGACGAGCATATGCATGTATAATGAACGAGTAAACTCCTTTCTAGGTGCTTCGCTCATTATTCATGCATGCTCACTCGTGCTTGGCGGGGGCACTTTTTCATCATGATTAGCCATAGAGCTAGGAGAGGTTAGTGTATTTAAAAAAAAAACTTCGCATGAGGCTAGCTCAACATGACGGTAATTGTGCACAAACTCTTCATTAGGGAGCTATCAGATATTGACGTTTCCAGGCTGTTGGTGATCGACCTTGAATGTTCGGGTGAAGACGAGAGTGATGATGATAGTGATGGTACTTGGATTAGGCCAGGTGGGTTGCCACAGCTCAACATAGGTTTTGAACAAACACATATGCTTAACCGAGTCGACCATGTAGCCGTTGAAACGTACCATCCTCTGCTAAACTGCCCCACATCGTGAGAGCTACGTAAGCCGGACAACAGAACTCTACACTCATCACACACATACGCACCCCACCTACAGAGTCCACAAAACCCAATAAGCAGTCACCACCCTCTCCTAAAGAAGCAAGTACCACAACTATGTACGTACGTATCTCAACACGAAACAAGGATCACACAAACACGAACCTCTCACTCCCCCGTTCACACACCACTACATGAATTCAGAATGATCTATTCTAAACCGTGGCATTAGGTTGATATAGGCCAGCGTGGGGCGACGGGCAAAGACGCTGCATCCGGACCATCCCTTCTACAGGAGTCTGGAAATAGAATGAATTAAACCACAAAAAAAAAAAAAAAAAAAAAAAAGAGTCCGGAAATAGTGAGCAAAGCTGTCTAGTCTACAAATGTTGTCTGAAGCGTTAATTCTACCTTGTAGATCTAGATATTCGCACCCGCGCGTTCGTAATATAAACCACCCTTTAATGAAAAGCACCAGTCATCTGTGCTTATGGAAGCCCACGGGAAGATTAGAGACCCGCTAGAACCCACCGATAGACCCGCTCTGTATTTTTTTATCTTCAATTGCCAAGAACCTGCCGGGGACAAAGATCATTCCTTTTTATTCAATCATGAGTTGTCACTCTCGTCTAAGAGGGTCAAATAGTGTAGAGATGAGCCCATGCCTCAAATAGTCCCAACGACACGCTAACCGTACATAGATTAATATATATTGCTTCAGCTTAAATAAGCAAAGGAAAAGTTAACCTACAACACAATAACGTCCCTAGCTGGACGAAAAGGAAGAAGAACTCTCTCCAAATTATGTAGATCTCCTCTACAGAACAAAGGTCCTTACCGGTCGTATCGGATATATACCGGGGTAGTTAAATATCAAGGTAATCGAATCTAGCATGTAGCTATGCTTCTCCTCGAACCTGCACTAGTCAATATTGACGCAGGGACTATATATATTTAAGCAAGTCCCCGGGAAAGGTATTTATAAAGTCATGTGGAGGGGAAGTCGCTAGGTATCATCAGTAAAGGAATTATATCAACCCAGTTAAGAAATGCATCACCGTATGGAAAGGGTATTTCCACACCTCATGCCTTGGAACAGCGTTTTTCTTTCCATAAGCACATGGTATCCCTTCAAAAGAACTTGAGGTGGGCAATTGCAATGAGGGAATTCAAAACAAACGTAGAAATATGATCAAAGTTATAGTTACTAAACCCCAACCCTTACAAAAAGAGGCTTTTCCAGACCACACCTAAAGTAACGAGAACGGCCTCAAGACAGTCTAGGATGTACTCTACACTACTCTACATGTACACGCAGCAAGGGAATCAAACAAGTAAGATAAGCAGGAGAAGCCCAAGAAGGAAAGAATGAAACAGGCAAAGAAACACCGTCTACATCTGCCCAGCCTTCTTCTTCTCCCTCTCAACCGCCCACTTTACCGCCTCGAGGACATTCTCCACCACTGATTTTGCGCCATTGGTGTTGTCGCCCTCTCTCCACACGCCTGTCTTGACGAGCACACTGACCCACTCTACACCTCTATCGCTCTTGAATCTATTTGCGCCCTCAATGTCACTCGCTGGGTTATCGCCGACCATATATACAGTCCTCACACCCTCTGTGACCCCCTGTGCCTGCCTCCATTTCCAGAGTACGTCCTCGGCGTACTTGTATGTCTTCTCGTGGGGCTTTCCAATTATCTCATACGTCAACCGGACCCTTGAGCCCGTCGCCTTTCGCACCGCTCTAAACACGCCCACAAATGCCTCTCTGAACCCTCCCTGACCCAGCCGTGGCAAATGATATTTATTCGCCCACAGCAAGTCCGGGTTCGAGAAGTACAAGGGCACATGCGGCGAATCATCGTCCGCTCGACGCTTCGTCCCCAGCCGCCCCTTGTCCGACATCACAACGTCGATCAGCAGCTGGATATCCAGTGCCCAGTCGCGCGGGTCGTTAAAAACCATCACAGCGTCCACCTTGACATTCTCCGGCAGCGGGTGGGCGTGCGGTGGGTTCTTGTCGATTGTGAACGGCGACACGGCCGGGTAGGCTGCCAAGACATCTGCAGGAACTATGACGTTTTTGAAGCCATACCCGTGGGCAACTTTACGGCAGTTGTCAGACTCGCCGCCAACGACAAGAACGGTGTTGAGGTTCTCGTCAGCGGAGAGAGGGGAGAGCGGGGTGTGTGATTGGACCAGCTGCGACTTGTGGATGTTGTGTTTCAAATGGTGAGAGAGGTGGTTAACACGGGCCTCTTCAGTGTGGCCACCGCCATTGGTGAGGAGGATAAACGGGACTGAAGAGGTTTGCAGCAGTGTCAGTGCCTCGGTGGCGGTGGGCGTTGGTGTGGTGTCGTGCATGAGGACGCCATCAATACTGGGCAGGTTTGTTAGCTATGTCGAAGCTTCCAGAGAGCCCATAGAGTCCAAAAACCGTCAGAGAGAGATCTACTCACTCAAACGCAAACGCAAAGTCAGCGGACGTCGTTGTCACCGTTGGAACCTGTGTCTGGAACGAGCGCGGAAGCAAGGAGCGGCCCGGGATCGAGAGAGATCTCGGGAGCATGCTCAGCAAGGGCCTCCTCAGAGCGGGGAGGTAGAACGACATCTTTGAGGAGGCTTCGGGAGATCAGATTATCCGTTTATAGGTATGAGAGTGTCTGAGCTGTGAGTGTACGTGAGAATGTCTTTGGTGTTGAGGTCTCGGATGCCAATGACCAAGATAAGAGGTGGCCTGTGCTTGGACTTGGCAACAGCTGGTCCCTGCGCTGACAGACCTTGGCAGGGGGATATCACCCCACACCCGCGCTGTCATACGACGGCGGCAGATAGATTGGAGACTGGGGACTGGAGAGGTAGGATTCGGTCTGCACTCTTTGGGGGTTAATCCCACTCCCCCGCCAGCTCTATTCTGAATTAACGGTTATTTAACCATAGTGCAACTACGATCCCCCTTCCTATTATACGCAATATGAGAGGCATACATGAATTAAACAGATCCGCAGTCTCCCTCTACCCGCGCCTGCACCATGGCCAATGATGCTCTGGCTGACGAAACAACAACTCCTAACGAGGTCAAAAATAAATACCCGGTAAAACATGCCAGGATCTCCGTGTAGCGAAGAACACAAGAACTTATGAGAAGATGGGCATTAATGCATCCAATGGCCATTATTGTCTCTCTTTGTTATAAGGCAGCATCCCCGCAACTCAGTAACGTACCTCACTCAATTCGACCCGGCTTCCTCCCACTAGTGCGCTCCGCACCTTAAAATCAACCAGAACAGAGACAGTACTAGAACACATGTAGGCACACATACCAACCTACCGCATTATCAACACAAAATAAAAATACAAGCAATAGTAAACCATTAGAAGTTCTAAAATGATACAGCCCCGGCACACGTGCTCTTCAATAACACATAATACAAAATGCTATGATCCAAAAGGAAGTAGGTCATTCAAAAGCTAGAAAAGTCTGCTAGAGAATGGTTGGTGGACGTGAGATTGGAGACCAAAGAGGTTCACAGATTGAGTGAGAGTTAGGTGAATTACAACGGGAATTGTCTGAATAGGTTAATTTCTATGAAAGGAACGAAATAGATAGAAGGCCTAGAGTACTTGACCTCACGCCGTGAGTATAAACACCTTAGGCAAAACAGGTAATGAGGGCCGAATTCCAGCCCCACCACTTACCCCTAGCTCCCTCCTCTAGATAAATATTACAAATAAAAAAACAAAATAAAAAAGAGCAAAAGGTACTGCAACGACTTATTGCTGATTGAGCGTTACTACCCCCACCCCTTATCCTGGGTAAACACTCGGTGTCTAACCCGACGAGCAGTCTAACCATTAGACCACCCGCCCATGGGGGATGCTACGCTGGAAGTGATACTTGATCTTGGCGGTGTGCCAAGATGTCAATGTTCATCCGTCTCTTGTGTTATTGTAGAGCGCGTCTACCAAAAACTATGTCATTTTAGATCTTTTCCGTATGTTATATCTATCTAGTAAGGATTCAGTGGTGAAGGAAAGGGTACATAGCCAAGAAGATCCGGAGTAACTCCCGCCCCCACCCCGGGGCGGGGGGGTTAAAAGTTGAAAAAGACTGTCAAATGGGAAATCCCAAGGGCAGGAAGCCGAAAGCCCCCCATGTGGAATAGAGAAATCTCAAAGAATAAAGGAACAAAGATGCCTCGACTTAGGGAGATAGGGTGCTCTATTATTTTTAACTAGGAGGCCAAGTGGCAATTGATCATGATCCGATTGCAAAGAGCAGGGGGAAAAAAACGATATTTAACAACTCGTGGTCGCAAGCGGGCTTCATTGAGAGTAAGTAACGTACGTCTAGTTGTGAACGGTGTTGATGCTGCCGGTGGCCGTGGTTTTAGTGTACATGATCGACGTCTGACGGGTAAGATATCTCTACCATTCATTCCAGTGCTCATATGCATTCTAACCTGATATTTCGCTAGCATATTGGTAATGCGCCTCAATAACAGCAGAATGTTTGTCGAAAAGAACGTGTTTACTGCAATATTAAGGAGTAATATAAGGAACAGCGTCCAGGGGTATACTACACGTAGCTTATAGGGGAAGCACTTGGACGTACTCCACTCGACCTCACCGATACGACGAGGATCGAACCACTCCGGCCCAGTGAGGAACTGCTTGTTTATATTTTCTCTCGCCTTGGACCTACCAAAGTTCTAGGAGTTTAGAAAATCATGAAAAAGATACTGATGCTCATATTACATGCACAGGCTATTCTTACGATTGATGATTGATATTAAATCTACTTTACAAACCCTCATTCTAGTTCTACGCTACCCGCTCAAAAAAATATATGCTAGCCCAAGCCAAGCCAGCCAAGCCAATAGTTAGATTAAACCACAACCAATCACAACTCCTACCCACGAGTGATACCTCATGACGCACAGCCATAAAAAAAATAGGCATCATATCTTTGCCCCGTCCTTCTCCCCATCCCGCTCATCCACCACCACCACCCCACTTCCCCCACTTCCCTCATCCCCAGAGCCAAGCTGACTCACATCCCACCCCTGCTCCTCCAGATACTCCTTAAATAACCTATCTTCCCTTACAATCGTGTCCTGTCCAATCGACGGCACAAAGAATAGTGCTAGCAACGCCGAAAACACGCACAGACTACTCGACACCCAGAAAGGTGCCTGGTTCCCGCGGATTGAGTCTTCGCCGCCGGCAGACTTGATGATGGTTGGGAAGACATATGTTCCCACGAATGCGCCAATCTACAGCCATACATTCCCATGTTAGTCTATGTAGAGCCAGAGAGAAGGGGGACCCGCGGGGGGGGGGGGGGGGGGGGCAGAGCGCTTATTGCTACCTTTCCAATCGCCGCCGCAATGCCATAATACTGTCCTCTCACAGCCGTCGCACATGTCTTCGACGCCACAAGACCAATATTATCACCAGGCCCCATCTCGCCGAATGTCAAGAAGAGGCCATACACGACCGTGAAGGCCGCCACATACTGCGAGGTCGCAAGGGACGCGTAGCATCCGGCCATGATGTATCCGAGTATGGCTTGGAGCACCAAGCCAATGACGAGAGTCCATTTGGGGCCGAAGTAGTCTGACATGAATGCGCCAGAGAAGGCGCCGGGGATGTAGAAGAGGTTGAGGACGACATTCCAGCCAAAGGATTTATAGAGGGACTGGTCGGGGATGACGAATGTGAGGATAGAAGAGGAGTAGATGCCGGCTGAATAGACGGAGAACTAGTTTTACCATTAGTTGGCGTGTGGATTTGGGATGGAGAGATGGGGAGTTTACGTCGTAGATGAACCAGATTGCTGATACCACCAGGAGGCGCTTCCAGTAATACTTGATAACCAGACTATACGGCGTCTTCACCCGCTTCATCGTATTCTTCTTCGTCTGCTCAGGCTCATGTAGCCTCGCTCTCAAGAAGAAGAGTAGGAAAGGCGGGATGATTCCGAAGCCCAAGCTGATACGCCAATTTGCACGCAGCGAATGCAGATCGTCACCCAAGATCCAGAGAAACACGAGCGGCACAAACGCGGACACTACAAAGCCAAGATCAATCATGAGGTTCGTGAAGAAGATGAACCATCTGTTCCTCGTCCCTTTCTGGATCTCGCCGGTTGCTTCAGCGGCCGCGACGGAACCGGCGGGATATTCGCCTCCGATACCAATACCTATACGTCCAATACATATCAGCAAAAGCCCCGCAACCCCCCAGAGATATAAGAGAAAAGAGCGCACATACCGAGGAAGAAACGGCACACAGTCAACATGGTAAATAAGCCATTTGGTGACCCTCCCGCGCCATAACTAGCCGTACACAGCGTCGCAAACAATATCAGCAACAGAGCACTCGCCGTCATTGCGAACTTCCTCGAGTAATTATCCGCCACCCAACCAAACAGCAGCTGGCCAAACACTGTTCCGGCGAATGCAATCGATGCGACATTCTTCCCTGCGGTGGTGCCCTTGTAGTCGTCTGGGTAGATCTTTGACAGCATCGTATTGACTGTTCCAATCACCTGTGTATTGTTAGGGCCTTGTCAGTTATTGCACTTTTTAGGAGATGTGGGAGAGGCATCTATATACCCCGTTGAGGTAGCCGTCAGAGTAGAGACCAGCACCGCAGGCAAAGACGGGCCACAGACGCTGCCATTTAGTTTTTGTGGGCGGGGCAGCGCTTGTGGGGTCGTTTGGGTCGACGACTTCGAGATCTGGGAGGGGTTCTTCCTCGGCGGGCTTGAATATATTGCGCATGTTTGGCGTAGCCTTTAGAGGCTGGTGACGATGGGGAGGAGGATGGTGAGAAGAAGGAGGCGCTCAGTAGACTAAGAGGGGAGGGAATGGGAGAGACGTTATATGTGCGCTCTTATCAAACAACACTCTTTAATTACGAGGGGAAGTCAAGCTCCACCAGGCGCGCATGGGAAAACTTGATAAAATATATTTTCTGTATCTATTCACACCAATCCAGCCTCAGCGCAAGAAAGTTATGTACATAGAAACCCACCGATCACTACCCAAATAGGAGATGTCTCCCCGCAGCATGGGACCCTTCCAGCTTCGTTTGGGCAGGTGCGTCTCTCTGCGGACCCATCGACTCGGTTGGTATTCCAATCACGACGTGGGATGAGAGCAGCAAACCCCTCTCCCTGTGCCACTAATTCATATTCCCTGTTTCTTATCAGCTCTGGACTGGAGTGCCTCAGCCTTTCAGCCATAAAAACGTCCATCACGAGGTCCACCTCCGAGGTTTCACTACTTGCTGAACACCTCGAAATGCGTGTCTGGGCATGGCGTTAACAAGCTTTGTGGCCCCGCTTGGCTCTCTTGGTGTTCGGCCCGAAGCGATCGTGCAGTCAGTTCTTGCACGTGCGCCAAGAACGACATCCGATCGGTCTCTTCTACAACAACGCCAGGGGATGATTTAGCAGCCGTTGTGGTTTAATATCTTCTTAGAGTACTTCTTTGCAGGGTTAGGGGCAGCGCTTACCGTGAATACTCTATCGATATCTCTATCCACTTTGCAGGCTATCTTCATCCTGGGACACGCGTGTTGGTGGAGACGAGATGGCATCTCGGGCATCTCTGCTGCTAGGGATGGGGATCGATCGTGATAACGGTAGGTTCTTGGCTGTGGTTTGGTAGCTGGAAAGCTGGAAGTACATACTTCCCAGGCGGGTATTCATAAGTGTTGCCTTCATGGATTGAAAAACAGTCTAAGGGCTAACAATCTAGTCACTCACTGTGTTATAACGTTCATTCAATTAAAAGGCGCTTGCAAACGACTATAGTAATGACAATTCCTCCAGCTTTCTTTGACCGTCTTGATAAATGGTCCATTGATAAGGCGAGAAACGAGACCACGTGTACTATAAACAAGGGAAGAAGCCTAAGCCTATCCAATGCTTCATCGAGATATGAACAGGGCATATCCTTCCGCTATCCATGTATTCTAGCCATCTTCATATGCCGTATATTTGATTCGAATATTATAGCTCCCGCCCGTCCCACATTTATACCAATCTGGCAAACATACGTCAAGTATATGTAATTGCCACATACGAGTATATAAAACTCTAAGAGAATGCCTATATATCGGTGGTGCAATTGATAATTGCTCTGATCACCTCGCCACTCCTTTTTGCAATTTAAGGGGATTCTATATTGCCCTCTCGGATATAATTGACTTCTCCGCTCTATAACGGTGCGTCCCTAATATAGCAGATAACTGAGGTAATAATCCCAACTCAATGGAAAAGCAAGACTTGATAGAGACCGTAATGACTGTTTCGATTCTCCAGCGTATGTCGAGGAGGTCGTAATTGGCAGATGGTATTTTAATGGCAACTAGATCTCGTTATAATTATCGATTCCGGCAAAGAGATTTCAAATTAATCTTGGTCGGATTAATACGCGGGATACCGTTATTGGAGTCCTATGTGGTGAGATGACAAGGTCAAGTCAATAAAGGTTTAAAGAGATATCAAGTCCATAACCACCTATCACTCCCGTCTCATCTTTCGAGCATCTCAATCTCACTGAACCCCAACAAACCCCTAAGCCTTCTGTTCGTTCTCAACATGAAAGCAGGGCCTCCCTCCCACTTAATCGCCACTTCTCATTTCAACACAGTACTCCTCACCTCATCTACACACACACCTCAAAACCTCACATCTTATTTCATCTAGGAATCGCTTTTCACCCTGAATCTAGCGCGCCTCATTGGTGTACGTCTCGGGGCCAAATATCGTCCCCAATCGCATTATCGACGAAGTCCAGTAACGTTTTATAGGAACATCTCTGGCTCTGAAGATTAGCACAATGACCTGATGATGATCGGAGGTACTAGCTACCTTTCATTTCAGCGTTGATGTGTCCAGATAGAGTGGGGTTGATATTGTGCCGTGTCATCGGCATTGTTTGTCACGTTGATAAGTATGTGAGATCGAGAACAGCACTTATATGCGTATACTTTAGTGAAGAATCTGAACATAGTTGCAGTTACAGTTATCCGCAGACTTCGGAGAAGAACGTCTACTCCTGAGGCTCTCCGCCGTTCCACCCGAGATCTAATTCGCGCATGTGTATGAGTCAAAGCTAAGGAACAATTTTCGATTAGATGGGTCAACAAAATTCAAACCCCCACTCACAGGCGTGGAGAAGCTTTTACATGGAGTACATGTATATATATAGCTACTCCAGTTCGATCAGAAGTGCTTATTCCTAAACTAGGGCGTTTACTGCGCTTCCAAGCGAGCGTAAGCCCGTACGAAGTATGGCATTATATATAGAGCAGCCCAACAAATATACATACCGTATTTAAAGTTTAATAATAGGAACATCTATAGGGAGGTAGAGTGTCTACTAGGTACATGTACGTAGATGCATGTAGTCATACACCACATATGTCTATACATGTACCTTAGCGTCGAACCGCATACAATTATAAGCCTTATTCAGTCGGCTTATCCAGAACGTAGGCTCACAATAGCCTTATCAGTACAAAAAGGTTCAGGTAAGTGCTATTTAAGCATGTTTTAAGGATGAAATAAGGCTTAAAAAAGGGTTTTTGTACTGATAAGGCTATTGTGAGCCTACGTTCTGGATAAGCCGACTGAATAAGGCTTATAATTGTATGCGGTTCGACGCTAAGGTACCTACACTATTCTACTTATTGCCTTACTGCCAGCCAGCGCAAACCCCTGTAGTCCCGATAGCCCGTTTCAAAACCCGTCTCGAAAAAGGGAGGCCACTTCTTCGAATTAGTATTCAGCTGTAACTCGCACTTTTGATTTGCGTACGTAACAGGTATTTTCTTGATACAAATACAGTATGTACTGTACCAAATTAAAGGCCTATATGGCCAGGTTTTACACCTAAATATGGTGGAATGGATGGGCTTTGGTTAAAGTGCCTACTTTGATGAACCAGACCTACGTAAATCAGCTGATATATCCTCCTCGAGCTCAGGCCCACCCCCCAAAGAGCGGCTTTTTTTGGTTGAAAAACTACATGACAACCACGATAGAATTAAAAGGATTGGGTACAGAGAGTCAATTTACTACGGGGCTTCGAATTACCAATTAGAAACACACAAAACACAAGCCTTATGTCTATTCCAGTGCAGAAGTACATCCCTTTACAACATAAACTTCTGAATCTTAGGATCCTCATGCACTAGGACTATTAGGTTCGAAAGTACATGTATCGAGAAGTACAAGTACCTACATGTATTTCATATAAAGCGGGTTTGGATTCATGCAAAATCACTCGGCACTCACACTAGCCAAGACTGCCAAGTAAGTTTTTCTCGACTCCATATATTTAATTCTTCCCTCCTATTCTCTTTTGAGAATTGAGGGAAGGGCGCGAAGGAGAGATCGAAATCTGAAAGGAGTCTACAATATAACTACAGAAGAACCGCTTCCGGACGGCATGCCTGGCATGGAGGGTATGTAAATATATATATACTTCGGACTATCTCAGTACTCTACTCCTTTCACATGGACAACAATGGACAACAATGGACATTTACGGTTCAACACGAATACGCTGGAAAGCAGAAGTTAATAAGAAATTATTGATAAAGAAAGACATTAGCTATAGACTAGTTCTAGCAGTTTCTAGCACCTCCAATAATCCAGACCTTAATCCTCATGTAGCCCCGTAAAAGAAAGTAAACAATTAACCTAACCATCCACCCATATGTATCTCATCGCGCATTCTCATTGAACGAAGATTCCCGCACTTGTGTCAAGAAATGCATTTATCCATCACTCAAATACAGGCAAACTTACACTACGGAGTCATTTCTTTAGAACACAAACATAGCGCCAGCAACTGCTGCCATGGGTACGATAACACCAATCCACCAGGTTCCCGCAACCATCTCACTGTTACCAAATGCCGCACCAGCTTCAGCAGTTCCAGATGAAGCAGCCGCAGACCCGGAAGCAGTTGAGGTATCACCATCGAACGAGAGGTCCTCTGTTCCAGATGGAGGAATGTACTGACTGCCACCAGAATTACCAAGAGCTTTGCCAGCACCAGATTTCTGAGGTTTTCGTTAGTTATACCCTGAAATATATCGAGATAAGGGAAGACATACCATATATGTACTAGCATCGGCCGGAAGATTGGGAAGAGTGTTGCTAGCCTGCCACACGTCTGTTGCCGCGGGACAGGATTTAGCAGACAAGCCGGTCTGGTAACCGCCGTCACCGGTAGGGTTCGCGGTAGAATTGTACATCTTTGCCAGGTTGTCGAAATCAGTCAACTTCTCTACGGTTTTTCCGTCATCTGAGACCTGAACGAGACCGAATTTATTGTCTTCTTGGGTGAACTCGTAAACAAGACCACCGGAAAAGACACCAGTCATGTCGGTGCTGTACAGTGACTCAATCTCTGCGAATACACGAGGGCTAGGAACATTGCAGCCAAATTCCGAGAGGAAAATAGGAACCGCATAATCGGTGTAGTTCTTGACCTTTTGGTCCCATCCAGAGATTTGGAATGACGATTTTGAGCCGCACCAAGAGTAATCATTGATCTATCCATTTATATTAGTTCCAGGCTCCAGCAATATTGGAGTCAATAACTGGTGGACATACCGCGTAAAAGTCACCTCTAGCATCACTGTCATCGCCACAATCCAAGTATTCGGCCATTTGCATCCTGTTTTCGGCAACGTCTGCTGCGCTGTACCCAACCGGAATAGGCCTATTGACTTGAGCTGCGATGTACTGCTTCATGTCTCTGGTAACGGCCTTGACAACGGTCGCAGCACGTGTGTTGTTGACCATGTTGGTGACTTCGTTTGCGGAAAAGAAACCCAAAGTGTTTGTATATTGCCCAAAAACATCAATCGTTGCAAAAATATGCTGAAGGTACTTGGCATTGTAAGAATACATTGGAAACTCCCTATTAATAGAGAAGTTTGGTGTGTTGACATCCTGTGATAGAGGTATTAGTGGAGCCTCAAGCCTTTGCCTCTCCAGATACTTACCAGAATAAGGTAGATTCCAGCATCCTCGAGCATTTTCATACATTCATCATGATTTTCCGAATTATCAACGGTATCTTATCAAGTTTTAGTCTCCAGTCATGCTACTCACAAAATGGCAATACAAAGAATGAAACCTACAAACTCTGAGAGTGTTGATTCCCAACTCCTGCATGATAGGAATATCACGAGAGCACGAAGTTGTATTGGCTAGAGGATCTCCCAAGTTTGAAGAACCACCTGGCTGATAGTCGACGCCGCGGATATAGAACTACATGAAGAGCATATCAGTCAAAATTCCAATAATTGTCGCGAGGAGGGAACATACACGCTCGTTGCCCCGGAAGAAAGCATTTCCTTTCACTGTTATGGCAGTGGTAGCTGCAGCAGCGGAAGTAAGTGTTGAGAAGGCCAGCACAGCGGCGGCGGCAGAAAGACTGATTGTGCGCATATTGAAAGAGTTGGTGATATCAATTGAATGGGTTTTTATCGGTGCAAAAACGAATAGTGAGTATTAATTGAGTAAACGAAAGTGACCTTTGAAAAGCTCTGAAAGAGTGATAGAGCTGTTGGTCAAAGGTAAACTCTGGTGGTGATGATGGTGAGAAACGAGAGTAGAAAAGAAGGAGAAGGAGGGGGAGGGTGTGAAAGAAGTAGGATAAGTGGGAGAAGCGGGAAGAAACAGGCACAGGAAATGAGAGACTCTGGATGGAGATGTTCTGGAAATAAAACCGGGCGAGTTACAGCCCAAAAAGGAAGCCATCCCTTTCACAGGCTAGGATAGCAGGGGCAGCGGATGTGTGGCTTGGCATAACACTGGCTAAGAAGGTCTCTTATTGGCTGATGATGCCTGTAACCTACATGCTCTGCCAGCATGTTTAACCCGAATTATTGTTTCCTCTAACAACCCATTACCCCTTGCTCTCTGCTTTAAGAAATAAACGCCAGTACTCTCATCTTCTCCATGACAGGATGACCGTGTAGACTAGATCAAGTCCCTCCAATTTATTGTCAAGAAAGGCCATTCAAGGTCTAAAGTTTGGCTACTTGATCAGCAACTGCTTATTACTTCCTCAACTCCCACCCCCCAGTAATTCCGAACGGCTCAGTTCCACGATCTTTAGCAACCTGAAACTGGCTGCCCACCATCTTCTCGACAGCTACATACATACAGTAGTGCCACCACCACCACCGCTATCTCGGCTCACTGACGTCTATTTTCTATCAATAGGTACTGGGCAGACGTCTGCCGCAGATTGACTCGCGGCCCCAAGACCTCCAGCTCAGCAGCGCATGCCAAATCTCCTTCAAACGAAATCCCCATTTATTGGCGCGCTAATAAACCAAAGACGGGTGTTTGTTCCGTTCCCGTTGATTTGAAGTCTGGCGAAGGTTTTGGCAGGATTAAGGACAGGATATACCCCTGATTAGAGTTAAGTCTAATCACTAGCATAACCCGAGGATTTTTGGTGTGCGGAGAACTCCGTTTAGAGTTGAACGCGCGCCGAACAGTTTCCTACACAAACAGCCTCCTTCTTCTCCTCCTCTGCCGCAGTAATAACAACGCCTTGTAAGCTGAAAGGCTCTTTTCTTCTACATTTTCCGTAAGGTAAGGTGGCGTAAAAAAAAGTATGTATAGATCTTATATCCTTAAGGGAATGGTGGTTGCTGATAAGAATGGCGCTTTTCCTTTCCTTGCAGTTGTTTGAATCAGCCTCAACAAGCTGACTTCAAAAGGTGATCCTCTCGAGTAAGAACACATCAGCTTTCTCTTTGTCTTTGAATTGATTGGCAGGTCCAATCAGTTGGACAAGTTTGCTGCGCATGCAACTTTCCATTTCAACCAAATAATGTCAACGCTAAAAAATGGCCAGAATTCCGATCAGATGGCGGGAATCAGTATCGGAAATCAGTATCGACTCATTCACAGTAACCATAAAATCTGTTTTGATTGATACCTAAGGCCCAAATGGCGAGTAATCCATGGTTTTCCGGAAATCGGCTAAGCCCACATGTACCATGTATTTTACATGTATCTTCCCTGGAAGTAGATACACTTTACATATCAATCTGAGGCATGCATATCAAGCGATCAGAGCGATTAATAAAGGGCCCGGCCGTCCTATGAAACCCCTAAACCTGTCTAGCATTGAAACCTCACTTGCAGCTTCACATACCTATGATGTTGATATTTGGTCATATAACACAGGTCCCATCTCCTTTCTTTTTTAAAAAAAAAATAACCCAGAGCCCGGTGCTAAAGTATGCTATCACGGATGTCAAATCGCCGGTTGCGCTAGAAGAACCCCAATTCATTAATATTAAAACGGGAACGAGTGGTTTAACAGGACTACATGTTTTAAGCGACCATCTCAGGAAATCAATCTCTCTGGCGATGAACTACCCTGCCATCTGTACCAAGCTTCATTATTTACATCTCAAAGCTTGTGTTAAACAGCCAAGAACCAAGAACTCAACATTGCACGGGCCATGGACTCGGTAATATCGGTTCATACGCACAAAAAACGGTAAAGATGTCGCGCATAGCGTGTCTTGGGCCCACACCTACCTAATATTTGGAGCCCCGGGCCAGTCCGGGCCGAGACTCTTGGAAAAGGCTTAACTTGGATCAGATCCCGCACAAACGGTTCCATACCTGGCTCTAGTCTGCTGACATGCGCTGCCAGGAGATGTCAGTTTCCTTCGACCCTTGGCAGGAGGGATAGCTTGGATAATTCAGGCCATTGCTATTAGGTGTGGCGGCCATATATCCATTTTGAGCTCAGCAGGAAAATGGACACCGTTTTGGCACGAAAATGCTTCCTCGAAAGAACCACGCTCAGACAAAAATTGATCTATGGCTTTTTCGTTGAAAGTCTACATAGTAGAAGACAGGAGGTGCTATCTAAATATGATAGAAGCATGCATGGTGAGTACAGTCGCAACTCGATATGCCGGATCTCAATACGCCGGATCCCTTGCTATCCCGTACGAAATCCTCTGGGGTTTTGGTTTTTTTTACTGCAAGATCAATTTGCTATCCCGGAATTTTTGCTATCCCGTATGAAATCCTTCGAATCTTGGCAATCCGGCATATCGAGTTGCGACTGTACAGGAAAAGCGTTGGGTGTTTATTTCGGTTTATTCCGGGAAAGACATCTTCCCCACAATACTGGTTCCTAAGCTTCCAATTGGTATTTACTACATATACTAGCAATGTACGTATCTATAATGAGATGTTATGATTACGTTCATATATAAGTACACGATATTACATCTTAGGACGGAAACATTATCATGCCAATCAGGAGAGAGAAAAAAGGGTCTGTACGCGTTTGGAAGCGGCCAGAAACAGGATTATTGTACATACATGTAATCAAGAACGCCGTTTCGAGAGAGTGTTTTATATTTGACAGGTCAGTTAATTTGCGAGTCTATATAACGCGCACTTCCTTACTGAACACGGAGGTTTTGAATCACTACATTTGACTTACTTTCACCATAAACACTGTTGCAGCATTCCCCCGCTTACAATTTGAGTATATCAAATCAGCGTTTCCAGTTACACGTGTCGATGCAATGCTTCTAGGTACTCGAGGGGATAGGAATACATGACTAAGTTGTTGAGCAAAATTACCTAGTCATGTTTCACTAATTGACCATAGACTCGGGTGCAATTTTCACCAGTACGCTAGTGAAACCTTATATCTATGATCCTCCAGCTATCTCGAGACAATCGGCTAGTCTTGTCAAAGTCTTAAGACGTTTAGGCATGCGAGCCTGCTAGGAAGGCTCTGCAATTCATGAACATCGAATAATTAATGCAGATAAAACTTCAAATTTCTCGGAACAGGGGCCGGGAAAGACATTTAGGTGGCTGAAAGAACTGAGAATGTCTCGAGACTTCCAGATTTGTTTGATCTTATCTCACTTTTTCTTGTCACCTCCAGGTTTTACCCCGTACCCTTAATAGTTTCGAGGTCACTAACTTGTCTCACGCCTATCACTACATATAATTCCAACTTTCACCTATCGGTGCAAGAGACTTGAATTCATATATACGTAGCTAGAAATATATACATGTAGTAAACTATAATACGGATAGTATATATTTCTCAAACTAGGCTCTCCAGGAAAGAAAGTAGAATTTATCACCAATGGCAAATTACTCGGAAAGACCGTTCTTCGTCCATCACCTTTTCCTCCTTGGAAGTCAAGTATTGCTTTCAAAATGACTGACTCACTTCTAAGCTAAGGGAGACTGATCAGATAAGTAGGTATGCCGAATCCGTACGTATTCGAGAAGATGTGTCGGACCGAGTGATAGTCCATGATGAAAATTTTACGCAGACATGTGTTTCCCCCAGCTAGTCCTAGAGATATTTATTTCTAATAGTTTCCGAACTAAGTCTGATTAGTTAGTTTCAGGTGAAATATCTCTCGGACCCATTACTGGCCGGTACGCCGTACTGGGTGGAATATATAGCTAGATATTATATTTAGGATATAACACATGGTTGAGTATTCCATTTTTCATTAATATTAGACCCAACGCGACCGACACGCGCAAGCCCCCAATTCATCAAACGGTATATGTACATACCTTTAGCTACTACGACTCGAAACGGGATGAAAACAATCTCACACAAATGCGAACGCCTTCACATCCCCGTGGTGCTGTAAGTACCCGATCGAAAGCAAATGGAAGTATGGCCCATGAGATACATTGAAGTGGGGAGAGGAATATATATATCAGGTTTATTCCCCTCCGTGGTAGGGTTTCGGACTAGTACGTCAAGCTAGTTGACTCGATATATCTTTCTCGAGTCTTTTAATTGGCTACGGGTAACAATGTTTATAACACACTAGGAAATCCAAATAAATACAGTACGAAAAAAACGGGGTGAAATCAGGACTGTATGACTACGGATTTAGTGTATTACAAAAGGAATACCGTAGTAATGCCGTATTCTTGCTGCATTACTAGCGCATTAAGGGGAATAACGTAGCGAATGCATACACTTTTTTGGTATTGTAAATACTATATATCTCCCTGCCAATTATGTATGTATACATCTCGATCACCGTACCCGGGCATGATTATACCCAGTATGCTGACCGCTTGAAAAACACCGAGTCGATCAATAGTTCTAGGAGTGCACCATAGAAGAGGTATATATATGGGCATCGTTCGTGCTTCTAGCTGGAGTCTTATCTTGAGTCGAGGCTAGGCCTTGTGGACTACACTGATATAAAACGGATGCCATTGGAATTATTAACTCGATGAGAATCAACCTACATTTTACCTTTCGGTATGATTGTTGCCGGCCGGTCTTCCCATTATTGGGGTTGAAATTGATGTTGATTGTATACCACTTATAATGTCAGGTAGATGCATGGAGAAAAAGATTAGTGTGGGCCATGAGCCGGCTCGAGTCGAGCCGGACAAAA